AGACAATGAAGTGATAGCCCATGGAATAGAGATAACCCATAAATCATATATTGATAAAGAGCTTATACCAAGAATACGTAAATAATTCCTACAACACAATAGCAAAAATAAACAAACAAACTAACAAAACCAATTCAAAAATGGGGAAAGGTCATGAAAAGCCATTTCTCCAAAGAAAACATACAGCTAGCCAGTAAACACATGAAATGACGCTGGGCATCATTTAGTGAGTAGGAAAATGCAAATAAAAACCACGGTGACATTCCACTTACATGCCCATTGGTATGGCTGTTATTTAAAAAGCAAAAAACACTCCCCACCAACAGTAGAAAATAACAAATGTTGGCAAGGCTTTGGAGAAATTTTGGGTATCGTTGGTGAGAATATAAAATGGTGCATCCAGGGTAGCCAATAGCAGTTTGGCGGTTTCTTGAAACTTAAACGTGAAATTACCAGCCATTCCCTCTCTGTGCATATACCCAAAGGATTGAAAGCAGGGCCTCAAACAGATACTGGCCCACCGATATTCACAGAGGCATTACCCACAATAGTCAGAATGTAGAAACTACCTGGTGTCTACCAACAAATGAATGGATAAACAGAATATATATGCAATGGGATGGTGATCAACCATTAAAAGAGATGAAATTCTGATACATGCTACAACATGGATGCACCATGAACACATGATGCTAAATGAAATAAGCAGAATGGACCAATAAACACAAATGGACCTATATCGTATGGTTCTACTTCTATGAGGTACCTAGAATAGGCAAATTCGTAGAGATAGAAAATACAAAAGAGGTTAGAAAAGGCTGGTAGGGGCGGGTAACAGGGGACTGTTGTTCAATGAGCGTGGGCTTTCTGTTTGGGGTGATAGGTTTGCTACTGTTTGTATTCCATTTTGGGTTCTCCTCCCCTCTGACCGATTCTGATAATTCATTTCTTTGGATATGTGAGACATTTCTATGAATCTCAGAGTCAAAGCTACATAGGAGAACATCCGAATGCATAGCAGTGTTACTTATAATAGCCAAGATCTGGAAACAGCTCAAGTGCCCGTCAGTAGACGAGTGGATAAAAAAGCTGTGGTACATTTATGAAATGGAATACTATGAGGCTGTAAAAAAGAAAGAAATCTTACCTTTGCAATAGCATGGATGGACCTGGAGATTATCATGCTAAATGAAATCATCCAGACAGGGAAAATCAAGTACCTTATGATCTTACTTATATGTGAGATCTAATGAACAAAATAAACTGATGAACAAAATAGAAACAGAGGCCTGGACACATGGAGCAGACTGACTGACAGCTGTCGGAGGGGAGGCAGTTGGAGGGTCCCATATGAAAGAAGGTGAAGGAATTAGCCAACGAATGCACATATATATATATATATATATATGTGTGTATATATTACATATATAGACACATATAATATATGTATATTATACACATGTATGTATATATAATATATATTCTTCGTTATAAATATTATTTGTTGTATATATTCTTCGTTGTATATATATTCTTTGCTTTACATGTATGTTTATGCATGTGTATAGATACAAAACTTAACTCATGGACACAGACCACAGTGGTGATGGCCAGAGGGAAGAGGGAGTGGGGGCTGAGAGAATGGGGGCGAAGGTGGGGAAAATGGGGACGCCTTCAATAGTGTCAACAATAAAAATAAAGGAGAAAAAAGCTACACAGGAGATGCACTCCGAAAAGCATCTGTCCTTCCTGACGTCCATCCCTTTCTCCTAATTTTCCCCTTCCTTCACCCCTTTGCCGTTCTCACACTGTGGGTATTCCATTTATCTTCCCTGTATATCTTTAGCATAGATCATACATTTGTGTATTTTCTCATATATCCTTCTTACTTAAGTGAAGAGTAACACACCAAAGATAATCTTTTGTACTTTGCTTTTTCCCCACCACACTCTCTTCTTCCTTTTGGCTCAATTTGGTTGCATGCCGTGTCTTGGATGTACTTAGCACTCAGTTTTCACCATCTTGGCGAATTTTATTTTTGTTGCCGTATCCCAGGAGCCCCAACCATTTCCTATACATCCTTCCATTAAGCTGCTTTCAGCATTTTTTAAAGGATAAGGTTGTAATCCTACTGTACTACTTCTTTTGTAAGAGTTTAACTTCTCATGTGTTACTAAGCCAGTATTTCATACTGAATTGTGCCTTTTACAAACATGTCTCGGTACAGAATTGCATAGGCTTTGAGAGGCTTCTTCAAAACTTTCCCCGCATAAGCCCTGCAGTTTGCAGTGAGCAAGTCTGCAAAAGATAAGGCTTAGTAGCAGAAATGCCTGAGTCAGTGGTTTCATCATTAGTTTTCGAGTCTTCCAACACATTTGAAGAGGACAACATTTTCTATTCTATCTAAATTTTCAGGAGAGCACAGTTTTGATTTTGTATGTGATGTTGTTACTGGAAATTTTATTCTGAGCCAAGTACCCGTATACTGTTATCTCCTCAACATAACCACTTAACTATATTCACTTTTGAGTGTCTTATTTATAATAACTTGCAACCGTGACGACATTTAGGAATAATTAGTAAACCTGTATACGTTTCTTTATGCTTTTTAAAAGTCAATTCTATCCTCTAAGCACCCCAAATTGTTCAGACTCATGCAATTAAGGAAATTCAATCCAAGATGTTACTGCTTAACAATCAGTGAGTCACAGCTGAGCTCTGTTAGTGGGACGTCTTCCCCAGGCCCAGAGAGAAGAATGGCTACAGGAGCTTCAGGACTGGCGATAAGGCTGCAGTGTCATTGCAGAGCAGCGCAGGGCTTTCAAATTCTGTGTGTACACATAACTCCAGGATCTTGCTGAAACGCAGATTTTGGTTCCATAATTCTGGGAAGGAGCCCCAAATTCTGCAGCTCTTCAAAGCTCCCAGGTGACACTAATTCTGCTGATTTAGAGCGCTCGCTTTGATAAAGAAGGTTGTAGCTGCTAACTCGAGACAGCGTTCAGGAGAACCTTCTGCAATAACGGAACTGCTCTGCATCTGCGCTGTCCAAGAAGGCAGCCCCAGGCCACGTGTGGCTACTGAGCACCAGAATGGTGCCTGGTGAGACTGAGAAACTGAAGTTTAAATAGAATTAAATTAAAATTAATTTAAATGGCCACATGTGGCTACTGGCTACTGTCTCAGTGAATATCAAAAAGCATATGCATCTTCACTATTGACAGCTACCTCCAAATTGCCCTCTGCAGACTGTACGGATACGCACTCTCAACACGTCCATCAGCCTGCGGCTTCCCCACGCCTTCAGCAACATGACATGTGCTGTTTAAAACTGCTTGAAAGGAATATGGACAGAACTTAATTCCTGCTCTAACAGATGCTGTGGGCCTCCCACCCACTGACCTTACCAGCAGCCACCGAGGACAGTGCCTGCGTATTCTGCCCACCTCCAACTGGTGTCTGGATCTTTCTGTGTCTCCTCTTGAGTTGTTCGGAGGTGTCATGGAACTTGCTCCGCCCAGGCAAGGGTGGGCTTTGCAGCCCACCTGTTGGAAGTAACAGGGTATCAGGCTCTCAGAGGCAACTCTTGACCAAAGAGGAGTGGGAACCAGTGGACTAATATCGAAGTTTCCCTGTCCCCCAGCGGCCGGTTCTTGCCAATTTCTCAGGCTGGAATCCAGCTCTGGTTGACCACGGCATTTATCTTCTCTTCAATATCCCCTTCACTGGCTTTTCTGCCTTCCTTATCTCACTTTCTCCACTCCCTCACTTCCTTTATCACCTCCCAAATAAACTACATGCATCTAAATCCTTGCCTCCAGGTCTTTTTTTGGGGGGGGGGGAGGGAAACGGAACTAAGATAGATGGTACCAGAGATGGCCATAGAAAGTTAACCCTCAAAAATGTCCTCACTTCCTGGTCAGGGGGCTACACGAACCTCGTTGCTGGTCTAAGTGGGGGCAGTGATACCCAGGGCACGCCGTAGCTTCAAGGTTCCTAAGACCTGCACCTCTGAGTGTTTCGGGTGAGGTGCAGGGACGGGGCTAGGGAAGAGTCATAGCTCTCAGGAGGCATGGGGTTGCAGTCATGATAAGGATTGTAGGTGGCTGACTTTGAACTCTCCTGGAAGCCTTGAAGGAAGAGTATGGGACATCACTTCAGCCAACTCTCAACTCAAGGCATAGTGTGAAAGCCAGAAAGCATTCATGGCCAACTTTATTTAGACTCTCCTCTCTTGCAGCAGGAGGGAAGACTATGCTGAATATTAGCCTCAGAGTACAAAAATAGAAATGCCCGAGCTATGGATACCAAATGGGTAGCCAGATCTGGTGTTCTGTGGTAATGTCAGGATTGTGAAACCTGAGCTGGTCCCATTTGGGGAGATGCACTGCACCATCTTAACCCCATGTATCTGACTCTTCCAGGCAGGATGCTTACTTCTGAAGAGGGCTTCCCTTTTCTCCTGTGTTTTCCAATAGTTCACTTAAATTCATCTTTATTTTGTGGTAAGGAGTGAATTGGGAATCCAACTTGATCTTTCTGATTAAGCTCTCTAGATCCTCAGCATCACCGATTGTATAATTCATCTGCCTCCACTGACTTAAAATGCCACCCTGATTATAGGTTAAATTCCAGTATGAATTGGGGTCTCGTGGGAGAAAACCCTGGGTATTCACCAAACCCATTTCCTCTTCTTTCGGGGCCCACCCACCAAGGTAGTTTCCCAGCTTCCTTTGCGGGTGGGATGGCCCTGCCCTGCAGAGAGACTGGGAAAGCACCCTGGGGACAGTGGAGCTGAAGCAGCAGGGAGCAGGAGCTCTAGACTCCTTGTGCGGACAAGCCGGAGGCGCGGGGACGCGTTTTGTTGGACTTTATGAAAATGAGAAGTAATCTTTCATTTCATGTGAGCCGTAAGTTTTTTATGTTTTTTTTTCCCTTAAAGCAGATATCCTTACTCCAACAGATATAGGTCTATTTCTGGACACAATGATGTTTCACTTATCAGTCTGCCTGCTCACGTGCTAGTAGTGCACGGTTTTAATTGATGTAATTTTATCATGTATTTTGGTACCTAGTAGGGATAATCTCTTGTATTTTACAGTTTTTTTGTTTTCCCTCGTATAAACATTTCTCCATGTAAATTTTAGAACCAGTGTCACAAGTTAAAATAAAATTTCCTTGGTATGTTTACTGAAATTGCATTATATGTACTTGGATACAGGAAGCACTGACATCTTTATTATATTGAATATTATAACTTTCCATAGATATCTTTCCATAGATATTCATCTCTTCATTTACATTCTTTGATAACTTTGTAATGTTTTCTTTAAAGGAAAGGTGGTGTCTTTTCGTTCACTTTATTCACAGGTGCCTCTGGGGGCAAAGTTATGTTATTACAAGGCATCACATCTTATAGCTAGTTGTTGCTTGTATGGAAGTGTCCTGTGATGCTGTGTTGCCTCTTAGCACGATGTCAGGTGAAAAGAAAACACCAGTCTGAGACCCCAGAAAGGCACTTACAGGCAAAATGAGTCTTTAAAAAAGTTTTAAAATGTCTACGCTGCACAGCAGAAAAGCAGACTGTGTAAAGAGGAGACAGATTGTGGGCTTTTTCCGTCGTCACAGAACGCCCTCCTTTTTGACTGGGATCCCAACGAGCCACTGCACCTGGGACTCCCCACGAGAGCGCCAGCCCTCGGGCGCCCGAGGAGGCCCAATAGGCACCACCGCTCTCCACTAAGTCTCTGAACATCTGAGAAACAGGCCCAGGCAGGCAGGCAGGTGGAGATGAGGATGTCGTTACTAATGGAAAAGCGGATATCGAGAGAACTTAAGTCCAGGGCAAGAAGTGGTTTCTAATACTGCACCCCAGAGAGAGACTCTGCCACCCACTGGCTCCGCAGGACACCTGTCGGCCTGGGGGGCCCGTTCTTAGGAGCTTATGGTACGGAAGGACAGAGCGGGCCGTACACCTCCACGAGAAGGCGTCCTGTGATCGCTTCCTCCCCCGGGGAGCGTGCCGACCAGGCGGAGCAAGGCCGGGGCTGCTGTGGCGCTGCCTGCACAGGGAAGGCCAATCTGGAGGAAGTGGCGCTCCTCCAGGGCCAGCAAAGCTATGAGCATCTAAGAGCAGTACTTTGTAGGGACCCACAGTTCTCAGACAATGGCGTCAATCGCTAGATGTGAATTTTAGGCAGAAAATCGAACCCTATGCAACTTTACCTCACACTGACACATGCGTGTGTGGAGCACGGTTCTTACCAGGTTTTGTCCGTGAGAACAGACGACAGGACAGCAGGGAAGCTGCTGTAAGTCACTCTACGGACAGAATCACGGATCACAGGTAGTAGTTTTTAGCTCTTTTGGACACACCCAATCCTTGGTCACAGTTCTTGTACAATACCTGTATTTGCTCAATTTGCACTCAAAGATAGCATACTCACAAGGAGATATATAACAGAAGGCACATTATAAGGTTTATTACCGCCAAGCCTCCAGTGGCCGCCATTTCTGTGCTCACCACGGTGACAGCCAGGAAGGGTGCTGGGGACTGGGACCACGTGGGGAGCGTGGCCACTGGGGAGGGCAGGGCAAACAGCTAATTACCGTGCGATGCTGGGCACAGGACAGAGCACTCTAGGAACACAGGGCTGAGAACGACCTCTGAAACACGGGGCTCTGACAAGTTCAGCTGCCCCAGTTCACAAAACTGGTAACTGGCTGAGGCAGCACTTGAACTTGGTCTGATGTCAAAGCCACCTGTCCCTCCAGTGCCACTTCGTGACTGCGGGGCCACTCACGGCTCCGGGTAGGACAAGACTGCGGAGGGGGACGGCGCTGCTGTACGGACCAGGGTGGTGTCTGCCCCAAAGCTGGCAGCCAAGTCCAGCTCCAGCTGACTCCACCCCCGTCCCCCTCCTTGAGCGACCAGGGTTATGTCTGAAGGGCTGCCACATGACCTCACAGGGCCAGGCTGGCAGAGCCACCCCACACCCCACTGTCTGTGATGGTCCCATTTTCCTCAGTTCTGAGCGAGCAGGGGCTGCCCCGAGGCGAGCGTGATGTCCAGGGGAAGGGAGTGCTTGGGGGGTTTGGACGGAACAGCAGTGAACCGCTCTGGCTGACGCAGGAGGGGCTCTGTGGCTCGAGGTCCCGTCAGTCAGCAATGTCAGAAACGCTAAGCATAACCCTAGATGCTATGAATGTAATTTATTAGTCCAGGGGACGGCAACTTTCAAACACTGTCTACAGCAGAAGTTTAGCAGCCGAAATCCTAGACTGATTTAAAAGCAGGCAGGAGGGAGGGTATAGAGAGGAAAACAAAATGGGGCCGGCTTTGATTTCCCTAACCCCCTGAGTGCACATGAGGATAGGTTTTAAAGTAGTAAGCGGATGCTTGTACCAACTGCAAGACAAAAATTTAAAGTTATGAGCAACTCTGCTTAAAGTCCTGTTACTTCTTTCCTTATGGGCAAGGACCTGCCCTCTTTGAATAAACTGAAAATCCCTTAACAGAAATAAAGTGGAAGCCAAGATGGGGGTTAAAGACCACGTCAGTGCTTGGGAGAGGCATGAGTACAGCTGAGAGCTGAAATGACCGTCACAGGATATTCTACTGAGGGCCGAGTCGGGAAATGAGAGCCAGTATTTACCAAATGGTTCTTGCCTAAGGCCTTTGTATGTGTTATTCCTCACAATATTTAATGAGTTCCCTTATTGTAAAAAAAAAAAAAAAAAGGAAAAAGGAAAAGGAAGCTGAGGCGGCACAGAGGGCGCACTGGAGCCAGGCGGTAGCTCTCTGAGGCTCACACTTTCCACTACAAGCTACTGTACTTCAGTCACAACACATCTCAGTCCTGGCACGATTCCCACCCACTGAGGTGCCACGGCTTCTAAACAGCGCTGATGGCTGCAGAGATCTGTTGCTACTGAAGAGCACTGTGAAGTCCGAGACATGGTAGGAACGCTGTAGCTGTCGGTGAGCTGAGTGTTCAGCCAGGGAGGTCAGCAAAGGACGTTGAACTGTGCAGCCCCGGCCTGGCTGCCCCGCGGTAATGGGTTCCTGCTTCTGAATCACAGAACCAAACTTACAAAATACTGATGTATAGAATGCCAACTTGCTGATGTGCAATGGTGAGATGTGGTCTGTCTGTGAGGGACCAGAATGTTCGCTGTTCAGAGAACTCTCTCCTAAGAATCAAGGTTCCCAGAAACCTCAGTCTCACCTATAGTCATGAAGTCAAACGAGTAAAGGGAGAGGATGATGCTGAAGGCTGGACCCCAGAGTGCAGCCAGCACAGGGCCAGAGGCCCGGGACCAGGGAGTCCCCAGGGGGGCTGCTTGCGGCTCAGGACGGCCAGGCAGCCCCGCACAGTCCAATGTGGAGCACTCACACAGCTGAGCTGCACGGACCACGAGCATTTCTGAAACACCACCGACAAAAACTGCTTACCTTTCAGGAGAGCGCCTTCTCTTAAGATGTACGGTGAACAAGATAGTCTTGTAGTAAGCAACACACCCCTGCCTGTACGCTACTGGCAGTTAGATGAATGTATTACCAGAAGTTCAGGGTAGCTACTGCTAAAATAAAAATCAGTATTTGGAGATAGTATTATATAGAGAATAAAAGACTTTGACCAAGAGCTCCTGAGAACCTGGAACACTTAAAAGATATCAAAGCTATAGTCTATGCTTACCCTTAAGTCACGTTTTTCAGAAAGCTGTTCAAAATCCCATGCTTCTGTGATATCTGTACCTAATCCAAAACACTGTACTGTGGTATTCCACATTGGCACTCAGAACACACATGGAGGCTGCTGTGATAAATTAAACATCTTCCTATGTGAACTACATGGAGGCATACTTTACTAAGCTGGTTCTACAACTAAGCGATCCAGGTGTTCCTGAAAAGGACAGTGGTGCCGGGACCCTCCCTGAGTTCAGACGATGCTGACCCACACCGCAGCTGATGGGAACTGTGGTGAGCAGCTGCAGACTGAGCCAGGCCCATGAGGTCGCTGCTCTGAATGTGTGGAGATCGGGGATGGGTAATCAGTGCTATAGTCTGGTTGTGCATCTTTACACCCCAATACACACCTTTTTATTTCTTCTAGCACACAACATTAGTTTACTCATAAACCTATTTATAGAACACTAATAAAAATAAAATTTCAAAACTTAAAAATAAATAATAGCATTATTTTGCAATTCTGATTTTACCGTGAAATAAAGCTTTTTGGCACATAATGTTCTATCAGAATGGAAGGTTAACTCAGTTTGCTTTACTTTTCACACCAGAAACGAGCATCCACACTATCAGCTCTGGAAAATCAACTTGGTGACATACAAGAAATATTGGAAAATACAATCATGGGAAAAAAGGGGGATCTGGCGCCATCTAGTGAGTGGTAATGGTAATGCGACCTTCAGCATCAGCTATTCAGTTAGTTAACATGATCTTGTCATCAGGTACACACGTGGTCAAGGCCTGAAAGTTCCATGCAGAAGTGAAAACAACTACTGTATTAGGATTGAGGAATAATGTTTTTTTTTCCTTTAAATTCTGTCCTACCTGTTAAAGGAAAATCAATCAAGTAGATAGTTAAAAATGATTACTGAACAGGATGAATACTGAAGAGAGGAAAGACTGGCCAGCTGAGTAAATGCAAAGCTCCACGATTAAGAGCCAGTTGGACAGGGTCTGTTCCTCACAGGGAAGCTAGACAAAGGCCGTACTGATGGCCAGAACTGGAGATTTTTTTTCCTACTATTTACACAAAGAGCTGTTCTATTTGGAAAAAGTATCTACCCAGGCTGCCAATAAAGCAGCACCTAAGAGCGATAATAATAACGATGCTCATATTGACCATCATGGAGGTACAATACCCGAGAAGGGCTTTTTGATTAGCAAACTAGAGTTAATTTCTGTTTGGTTGAGTTTAGTTAAATAGACCTCCTCATACCAACAGTGCGGAGAGCATTTTTTGCTAGAGCTGGATCATAATACCAGCCTCGGAGAGGTAGACTTCCTGCAACATTTTCATGGACTGGCAAGTTTGTTTATTATTATTATTATTGTTTATTAATTAATTTATTGGGTAGTAGCTTTTGAGAGTGTCACTTTCCTATAAGGCCAGGGTACCCTGAGGACGGGAGCATGCCTAAGACATGTTTGTGGCTGTCGTTTCCTCTCCAACATTTCCTACAATCGGTGACTTGTTTCTTAGCTGTCCCTCAAGAGGGCAGGGGCCTCTGGCCTGTTCTGTCCCTTACCACTTACCCAGCGTGTAATTCTGTCTGGCGCATTTAAGTGTTCAATAAAGGTCAGTTAGCCGAGTGAATCAAATGAATGAACGGATCTCATACAGTCCCACTGACCTAGGAGAAAAATGAGAATGGGGGGAAAAACCCACCCTTCAAGAAAAAACAGGGACATCTGTAATAGCAGAAACAAAAAAACTCCCCCACAAAAGTGAAGACAATTACAGAAGGTGAGCAAGGTAAGCAACAGGGGTAGACTCAATGCCCACAAAATTGCCACCGTTCAGCAACTGACGACACCTGAAAGATGTTCACTCAAAGTTAATAGAAGACCAAGTGTCCTCTGGAAGACTCGCTTACAAGGAAGTGAATGAAAAACCTGTCACTACGCTGAGATGCAGCGGGAGCCCAGTGTTTGGCTGTTTCAAGACGAAGAAGACTCTGCCGAATACACCAGGTGAACGTCCAGACCCCCATAGAGGGAGCGTAGTGCACTGAGGACTTTTTCCTGAATGGTGTCGACTTGCTCAGAAGGGCAGTAATCATCCCGACTTGACCTGGAACCAACAAGAGAAATTAAAAAACACACACACAAATAGGATGAGATCATACTGTGCAGTGAGGAAAAGCTCTTATGTGTTGACTTCAATGTAAAATTGTAATGAAAGTTGCTGGGTTTGGGAATAATAATAGTTATAAGCTACTAAATGTTTGCTCATATCAGGCACATGGCATAAAAGATGTTCTTCAATGTCCTTAGCCACTCTAGGAATCAGGTACATGTACCTTCCCCTTAGAGCACAGGTGTCAAGCTCATTTTCACCGGGGGCCACGTCAGCCTCACGGTTGGTCGCCTTCATAGGGAAATTTGTAATTTTAGGACTGTGATTTTAGGACTGTATACATGTAACTACTCCTTAACTGTTGAGCGAGAGCTCAGCACGGCCACGGGGTAGAAACAAGGAGCGCGGCCACATGGTGGAGGGCCAGACTCGGCCCGCGGGCCTTGTGTTTGCCGCCTGTGATTGAAAGGAATCTGAAACAGAGAAAGACTACCCTGCCCAGGTCACACAGCTGTAGCCCACAAGTGCATGGGGGACAGGACTGGAAACCGTGGGGCCCACGTGCAAAACCTCAGTGCTCAACCACTAGTCCGACGTTGCTGGAAAGGGACCTGTCGCTGGGGAGTCCTGAGGCTCATTATCTTAGTGACTGGGAACCCTTCTCATTCTTTTAAAAAAGACTTTGTTTATATGTTTTAAAGTGAGGGGAAGGGAGGGAGAAAGAAAGGGGGAAAAACATCGATTGGTTGCCTCTTGCATGCCCCCAACCAGGGACCTGGCCTGCAGCCCCAGCATGTGCACTGACTGGGAATTGAACTGGTGACCTTTCGGTTTGTGGGAGGATGTCCAACTCCCAGAGACACACCAGCCAGGGCTTCTCATTGTTTTACATGTACATTAGGGCTAGAAATTATGATGGCAGAGGCCTTCCAACTGATAAAAGGGCCCCACTTCTGAAGACAATGTTAACTCCACAAGCGTACAGGACTGTCCAGGACGAAACACGGGGACGTGCTGGTGTCGGGACCAATTTCCTAGGCAGTAAGTATGGAGAAAAAAGCCAAGTGGGATGGGACAGAAATCAGCATTTTGGTAAGTCTTTGTAGAATTACCAACTGTACTGTGAATGGCCAGGCAGTTCCAGTGTCACTGTCGATGACAGCTGGATTCAAGTCTGAATGACTGGATCAGTGTCTCCTGGTTTGAAATGGGGCGAGGAAGCTATTTAGAGGGAGGGATGGGGAAGACTGGCATAGAAGAGATTTTTGGACAGAAACGGGGCTAGTTGTAATGCCTACTCCCTACCGCAAGTATCTTAGAAGTAAAGATCAGTCTCTAAGACCTCCAATATGCTCATTCCACTCTCTGATGATTAGATTGAGACTTCATTTAACACATAATAATGATAGAAAACAATCTGAAATTACTGTCCAAAATATACATATGGATAAATACCTACTTTAAGAAAGTATCATATATAAAAGATAATTTATGACAAATAAGAGGCACTTAAATGCTGAGTATCTGCGTTTGTAACTGTTACATTTAGTGATTCTTTGTAAAGATGCAAGTCTGGTGCGGCATTTTAACACATTGCTTTGCTCAACTACTTTCATTTCTCCTTTATGTTACAATGATATTGTTGTATGGACATACATATATAAACATATATTTAAATTACGTGTATATGTAGGTTATTGCTATAAACCAAGACTAAACGTTTGTATACACTCATTCCCCCCCTAGCCCCCGAAATTCGTATGTGGGCACCCAATGCCCAGTGTGGTCCGATCCGGAGGGGAGGCCTTTGGGAGGTGGTCTGTCTGGTCATGAGGCAGGACTCCCTCCAGGTGAGATTTAGTGCCTTACAATGGAGGTCCCGGAGCTTCACCCTTCCGCCACATGAGGCTGCAGGGAGAAGGCAGTTGTCTATGAACTAGGACTTCCCAGCCTCCAGGACTGTGAGAAATTTCTGTTGTTTGTAAGCAATAGATCTATGGCATTTTGTTACTGCAGCCTGAATGGACTATGACAATTACATTAACTATATATTATGTACAATGTGTATCTATTTTTAAATTATGTGTGTATGTAGGCTGGATTATCTATGAATTTTATTTTAGGATGGTAAAAGATGTTACAAAATGCTTGTCACAAAAAAATATAAATATTATTTGATTATTAAAAGCACTTATTCTAGAATCTAACAGTTCTATAGAAAACCAGCCCAAAGATTAACATAGAAAAGAAAGATTTATTAAATTGTAACTACACATATAGTATGTTTAAATTTAAAACATGGCAGCAGCTAAATACCCCTCTGTAGGACACAGAAATGGGAATTCTTGTGTTTATCTGAGTTAACATCACCATCTTCAAAGACAAGGTAACATGTTCTTTGGCATCCACTACTAATAGTAAAGAGAAAATGCAACACCTGAAATTTGAGCCGAGAGGGTAAAAATGGGTAAGAATCACTGTATTAGCAATCCTTGGATTAATTTACAGAGATTGTATTAATTTCCTACTGGTCTATAACTAACTGTCACAAACTTAGAGGCTTAAAGCAGCACAAACTGGTTATCCTGCGGTTCTGTTGGAGGTCAGAAGTCCTAAGATAAAGGTGCTGGCAGGACTGCACCTTCCTCTCTAGGCTCCGGGAAAGGAGCCGGCTCCTGGCCTTTCCAGCTTTGACAGGCTGCCTGTGTCTGTTCCTTAGCTCACAGGTCCACCGTCCACCTTCAAAGACAATGTCCCAGCACCTTCCAGTCTCTTGGATGCTGACCTCCCTGGCTTCCCTCTAAGGACCCCTCTGATTATATTGGACCCACCCAGAAAATCCAGGATGACTTCCTCATTTTAAGAACCTTGAACTAATCAACATCTGTAAAGTCCCTTTTGCCATATAAGACAACGTATTCACGAATTTCTGAGAGGATGTGGACACCTTTGACAGGCCATTACTCAGGCTGCTACTCACCTGGCAACTGTCACCAGAGTAGGCTTTGGTAACTTTTCCAGTAAATAACATACAGACTGAATAAGATATTCAATTTCTTGTTCTGTGCTGACATGGTGAGGAAGTTCGGAATAGTCACAGGTTAGACCAGCTTGGTGAACCTGATGTGAGACAATTAAAAATTACACAGTTAAGGTTTTGTTGTTTTTAGAAGATTCTTCAACCATTTAATGACCTTGCTGACAGATCTTTTGATTTTTTTGAGGTGAGATTATTTTTTTCCTTAATAATTTCTGTACCATAGAAGTTATCAATTCTATCAAGTTGAAAAGAACTGACCTACACAACTGTTTGGGCCTGAGGCCTTTTCTAGAAATAATTCTTTAACTATTTTTAAAATTTATTTAATGATTACAGATTCATTGTTTGTCTTTACTTGTGTTTGACAATTCACATTTTCTAGGAACTTATCCATTTTACCTAGATTCTAAAAGCTGATATGAAACAATACATAACATTCTCACCTTATTTTCTGTTCCAACATATCACTTTTATCTTTAAACACCTGCACTTAGTACCCTGTTCAAAGCTTCGAGAGGACGCATGGGAAAGCCTTCCTCCTGCCTTACTTAATGGACTGCACCCGGTTTCTCCTGTACCTGTGTGCGGGCACATGCTACTGAGGTCTGTGCATGTGCTGTGATTGTAAAGGACCGGCACTAACTCAATATGCCCGGGAGCTGGAAATGGCTCACAAGCCGAATTTTGCAGCTTCTGCTTTCAAGTTCTGAAAACTGGGTCTCAAACCCGTCACAGTTTGGACTAGCATATAAGAGTGCAAGGCGTGCAAAAAACACTAATCTGCAGTTTTACTGGAAGCTCTGGATTAACATCAAAGACTTCATGCATTACAGTATTATAAAATGACAGACTCTGCAGAATCTTCTCCACTCAATTGGCTGAAACACCCAGCGTTCTGACCCCGCAGCTGCAGGCACGCCACATTTGATTACATGACCTGCGACTGCGCCCATGACATCCCTTCTCTCAGCATGTACACCCCTCCCGACCACCAGAAAGTCCAGAGGTCACGGAACGATTAAGTAGACTTGCTGAAGACGTTCATTAATGTCATGTGCCTTCAGGGCACTTTGAAGCCCTTCGTGTCTTCTAACTTTCATTTTTAATAACTGCCATTAAGAAGGAGGGTGACTAAGTATGGTGCCAGCAGAATACTAAAAATATTGGGGGAACACTTTGTAAAGTATGACTGTCTCGCCATTATGCTGTACAAAACAATACTAAATGTAAAGAATAAAAATTAAGTAAAAAAGAACGTTGAGTCTTGGATTAGCCACAATTTAACCAAAACATTCTTTAGAGAGTATTTTTTATTCTTATAGAGTTAGCATTAAATTAATATGTGAACTGCAGTTCAGATAAGGCGATTAGGTTGTATTCCACAACTAAATAAAACATTAAAGCTGAAACACAACTGACTGAAGTACAAGAAGCACTACAGGTAAAGGAGGAAGTCAAAGCTTGGGGGTCGCAGCTCTGGCACAAAATCTGAGAAAAGGCACGTGAACCTCAAATGGGAAAATTTGTGCTTCGAAGACTGCAGAATGATAGAAAAATAAAGAAATGACCACCAATGGTGTTGTCTTTTGCTGCTGCATTCAGATCCCTGTTGGCACAGTCTGTTAATGCAGCTGATACCACTGAAAGGCATCACCAGGGCGCCTCCTTGTGTCTTCCGTGTTCTTAATCAGAGAAGTTTACACAGTGTGGAAAGAAGGAAGTAAAAGGAAGGGAGGAAGGGAGGAAGGGAGGAAGGGAGGAAGGGAGGAAGGGAGGAAGAAAAAGAAAGGAAGGAAGGAAGGAAGGAAGGAAGGAAGGAAGGAAGGAAGGAAGGAAGGAAGGAAGGAACTTTAGAAATTGTATTCTTTTTTTCTCTAGGAAGAAGAGAGCTGACCAAAAAGCAAAGCAAAACAAAACACAGCACTTTTGTTTCACAGATAAAACTGGGAAAAGCACGTTTTTCCTAGAAAACTGAAAAATGTCCCAGCTTCTAAAAAGCATATGTTTTTTTCATCACTTAAAAAATTAGTTCATTCACACATCCCAGGAACACAAATAAAGGTGACCTACTTTAACAGAAACCACACTTCTCCATTCAGAAAATAGGGTCAATTTTTGAATAGGGTTGATTTTTCTCTTCAGTATAAAATATTTACCATTTCGTAGTCTGGCACGTCCATCCGTTTTTTCAAACTCTGTACAAGTGGAACTAGTGATTCCATTCTGGAAAAAAGCCACCCCTCAATTAAACATCACACCACCTCAACCAGAATTACAGTAGCCAATGATACATTACCCTTAAAATTCATCATTAACAATATGTTTCGTATGCTTATTTATTTATTTATTGTTCAAGTACAGTTTTCTGTCTTTTAAGTATGCCTCTTGAGAAACAAATAAAGCTGTTTAAATATCATGTTAAAATATTAAGAAGTATTTCCTGCTGTTTTCTTACCTAAAAAGATTACAGATTGTGTTAAATGTTGAAAATTAGCACTCAAGAAACTGAGATTTTCCTCGTCTCTAAAAATGCAAGTTCTATTGTGATTTTAAAAATCATTTTGAAAAGGAAGGGTCGGGGGGTGAAAACGGGAGAGCAGGTGGGGGAAAACTGGGACAAATGTAACTGAACAACAATAAAAAAGTCATTTTGACAAGCAAGAAAACTAAGTGCCTTAAATACAGTGTCAAAAAAAGATAGGTTCCTGAAGGTTTAAGAAAATTAACATACATATATTTACTGACATATATACAATTATAATGGAGAAAGTTCTATACCATTTGATATAATAACAATGGTGTGTTTAAGGTATTTAATTTAGGTAGAACTCTTTAGAAGCCCCGATTAATCAATAATTCTAGCACTTTAATGCCTTTTCTACCAACATCTACCCATCTGCTAAAAAAGGAAAGAAAAAAGAAAAAAGGAGGCAGGAAGTCCCATCTGTCCCCTCCCATTACTGCTACCTTATGGCTGATTCTTACATTGACACTATGGAGAATAATTCCAGTTTGAAAATAAGCTACTTCTGGTCTTCTTTGCTCCTGGGGACAAAAGGTTCTATTTCAGTTTCCTGGTCTCTTGAGTTTATATAATTTAAAACATTATTTTAGAGAAAAGTAAATACACTATTTATGTCACTATCCTTTCAAACCAGCATTAATACTAAGGGCATTCTTCACCCTCTACCTGCCCAAATCAATAGATGATCTTCTTATTTTCAAGGCTGGTCAACTCCGAGAGGACTGGCCAAACAAATGGCCTGATGAAAAACCCAGCTTTCAAATCTTGCTCCCTGATGCCATGGGCAGCTTGAATATAAACTCTTCTACTTGTAGCTGGGCTATCCTTCAGAGGAGGCACGTTTTCCCATTATAATGACCAGTCTGGTAAGTTACTATTCTATTGATAGGTTATTTTTCTTCCTTATTCCACTTAGAACAGGGACTGTCTTACCCATTTTTAATGAGTTTCTTCCATGAAACCTACCACTACATCTTACACACAGTAGGGCCGCTGCCGCAGTGACTAAAAACACACCCACTTACTATTATGTGATTTTGGGCAACTTAACTCTGTGCTTTAGCTCCCTTATCTATGAAATAGAAGTGATAATAATTAAGTCATAAGACTGTTGTAAGAAATAAATGAAATAATGCAAGAAAAAATCTTAGAATTATATTGGGCACACAGAAAGTACTCAATAAATGCTAAAAAGTGCTAGTAAGTTTGTTTTGAAATGTAATACTAATTTTTTAAAAAGTGACTTAGGAAATCTAGTCACATGTCTAGGACGGGAATATTGCAGAGATGCAGAGAAATGTTTGAGGGCCTTACCCAGGGTTCGACGCCCATTTCCGCACAGTTTCTTCATCATCACCATCGCACAAATCAGCAAAAGTTGCTTCTAAATCTTCTAACTGGTGAATCCGAGTATCGACACAATCTACCAAATCCTCCTTTAAATGCATAGAAAAGCCGAAATTATAGTCATTCTTTCAAAAAACAAGTGAAATCCCATCCCAATGAAAATTGCAGTTCAATTAGTTAAAACATGGTTTTCGAGTACCAATCACGGCCTTTCCCAAGAAACACACACAGAAAAGGCTCCGGACGGTCGCTGGGGAGCGCTCTGTGACAACATGTTCGGTTACGCGATAAACAGACAAAACCCAAAGAAGTCAGGGAACGCTACCTCTGTCAGGTTGGCATCAGGCTTTTTAAACTGGTAGAGCTCTTGCAGGATTTTGTATTCCTCCTAAAAGCAAAACAAAAAAATCCATATGTTAGAAAAAACATTACTTTTTTCAATAATATTTAAAAATTTTTTAGTGATATGTTTTAAGTGAAAAATGGGTATGATTCAAAAACTTCTTAGGCATTTAAAGATGAATATGAGAAAATCAGGCAAAACATATAATTGACATTTCATTGTAAATAGTATCATTTCTTTAGGGCAACTCCATCCATCTGGGCATGGCAAGTAGAGGTCTTTGATTATTTAGATAAGTCACAAGGCTTCTGATATGCATACAGAATAAGGATTGTAAAGGACAGCCTCATCATTAGAAATCAAATACTGAACTTAGAAAAAAGAGAGTTAATTTGAATTCCCCCAGAATAGATTCCCCAAGTAGAATAAGGAAAAACTTCCTGAATGCCAAGACAAGCAAAGCAGATGTGCCCCTAAATTACACCTAGGAATACTGACTTGGATCATGAATTTATCAGTTTCTTAAACACAAAATTCCAACACTGGTGATTTGCATTTAAGATCTGCTGAGGTAGCATAAGATCACAGGCCTCAGTGATTAGCTACAAATAGTCCATGTGTCATTAGGTACCTTACTATTATTCACTGAAAAATCTGTCCACAGTTTACAGACATCGAGTATCTCTGGAAAGACACCTTAACAAACGGCTGTGGCATGTGCTTCTTAGGCAAGAAACTGAGGGGATGGGGAAAGGGAGTGACGTTCTTTCACATACACACTTGCATTTACTGTACGACTTGTTTTTTTCCAGCCACCCATTACCCCAATTAATAAATGCAAAATAATAAATAGTACCTAGAGCAGGGATTGGCAACCTATAGCCTACAGTTTTTTTGTATGGCGTTCAAGTTACAAATGGTACATACAGTTTTAAAGGATTTGAAAGAACAGGAAGGAAAAAGATACGACAGAGGCCACACTGACCCATAAGAAAGTCACTCCTATCTGGCTGTGTGCAGAAAGTTTGTTGATCCCTGATCTAGAGAAATGGCGTATAATTCTCAAGGTCTATGTTTTAGAAATACCACATTTACCTGAGTGAATATTTCTTTGAAGGGGTTCTTGACTGAAAAAAAATCTAAGTCAATATCTAAAACAAATGCATCCCCTTTCTTCAAAATTTCCAGGAGTTCCCCCGTGCTGACTGTAGTCTGGCATTCCTGGCTTTCAGAAGAACATGAACATGAAGGTTCTAGGCAGGTCTGGACCCCTCTCTGTGACACTGTGTTCTTTTCCAATCCTTCTGAATAAGAGTCACAGTTAGTAGAGGCAGTGTTTTCTGTGTCTTCCAGTGCTAGCTTTGGTTTCTTAGCAGGAGACACTGCATCATTTTCTTCTTGATTGTTACAGACTTTATATGGCTTTACCATAATTACATCCAATTGTAAAGGTTTTTGATTCTCTAGCTGGTCTTCAGTTACATAAAGACCGTCGCTTAGGAAGTAATGATCTGTACTTGTAACCCTGGATCAGAGGAAAAAACTATTTTAAAGATGAGTGGACAAATTAGCTGACATTTCACATAGCATTCCACAGCCTTGCAGAATTATTAAGATGTTGGGCAGACACTGGGGGCTGTCTCTAATATCTGTACCTCCTGTTCTTCTGTAGCAGCAGCGTTCCCCGGATGTGTAGCTGGGCACCCAAATGCCCGAAGTCAGTCTGTCTCGCAGCTGGGTGTGGCCGTTTGACTGAGGATGTGCCTGGCTCTCCCCTCCCCACTGACTGGCATGTAACAAGCCCACCTTGGACTATGAGGACAAAGGCAACATTCTAGAAATGATGGAGCAAACCAGACAGAAGAAACTGGGGTGTCCCAAACTACACACAGACCTGCCCTGGACTATATGCGGTGAACTCTAATATGAGAAAGAAAGAAATAATCCTGTTTAAGCCAGTGCTTTGGTTTTTCTCTTATACCAGCTGGAACTTTACCTCCCAAAATCGCTGAAGACAAAAATTACATCTGGAGATAATATCTCTTAATAGAAGTTCCCCCGATGTATTTCAAAGCTTCATTATACTTTATATGATCCTAATATTTTAATATAAAAAAATCTTTTAAAAATCTTGTACATGTGCAGAACGTATTCCACAAGTTGCAGATTTCTGATTTTAGACATATTGGCACAATCTTAGCTGTTCATCTATATTATGCCCTGGTAAGTATTATGAATAGCAAAACCAAATGCTTCTTCTAGAGGCAGGCTCTATCCAAATAAAATAATGGTTAATATTTATTATCTACCTACTCCAACATACAGTCTTACATTTAAAAAGATATGATTTTCCCCAAAAAGAGTAATGACACAATAAAACTAGTGTCCAGGCTCATTAAAAACTGTACCATCCTAAGAAAGACAAAGGCTGTACCCCTTAACCTAAATCTGTATTCTTCTTTAATAATGGATATTTTACTTTGTTCATATTGGTTCAAGTATTTCAGATGACATACCTACACGTATGTCTCTTCCATAAATTTCTACTTGCAGGATTAAAATCATGAGATAATCAAAACCTTTCTAATATTATTATACACACCAAGTTTCAAATGTCTGTTTCAGGTTGCTCAAAATTATTTGATTTTGCAGAAACCCGTTACAGGTTAAAGTAACACTGAAGTACTGAATAAAAATGCTACCACTCTTTCACATACACCAGTATTATGTATAATAATATACATAATATCCTGTATGAGTATATTCCCGTATTATGAGGAACCCTATTTATTATTACATTCTCAATAAATAAAATTTCATGCATATACAGTAAAGTGACTTGTGTAATATACAAGAAAAGTTAATTATATCTTAAGGATGTCAGAAGTAAAAAGTATCATATTCAAAGATTATTATTTCATTTTCAATGTGTTACCATTTAATCCCTACATCCTTCAGGTTATAGAAAGATATAGTTCCACTGCTTAAAACATTCATCCCCTCACAAGAGAATTCAGAAGATACCCAAAACACTGGTTACATAGTTATTACTACAAAAGTAGTTGTACATGTAACCCAAGCCAGAGAATTTTGTAATTTAATTTAGATTGATTATCTAAAGCTAATCATATTAATAAAATTAAAACCCCAAATCTACTTGTTAGCCATTGGAATCATAAAAAAAACGTGAGTTACTTTTGCTTTTTCACTGCTAATTTCTCCATTCAGCAAACCATAGTTATGTTGGAAGGAAATAGTAAATGTATCATTAAATATATAAATCTAAAAAGTACTTCAATGATTTAATGGAGTTAGACATTAGGGAAGCCAGAATTCCTGGAGATGAAGATCACGTTATTCAAAGACAAACTGGGCCAACACCAGAGTTTAACTGGTGTGTGGAGAAGTTTAAGAGACTTGAAAACTTGTTCCTGATGTTTTGAGAACTCTTTTTCGAAGAGCTGACGCTTAATCTGACTCTGTACATGTGTAGGGACACTTGTCAGTTATTACAGGAACCCAAAACAGGAGAGCGGCATCCAACCTGTTTCATACTCATGAGGAAGTCACCTGATTGTGGTGGTGGAAGTGTCCTTGCCAACTAAAAAGCGATGTCTGCCCTCTCTGATTTGCTGAGCCCATGTAGGATGAAGCCATATTACGTGAGAAAAATGGCCGGCGTAAACTGCAGGCATGATCCAATTCTCAATACTTAACTCTCTGGAAAAGAAATAGGAAGAATAAAAACTATTAGTGAGAGATTTTTTTCCCCCAAATGTAATTTCATTCACAGTAATATTTTAAGACAGCAGGTCTCAAAAGGGGGTCTGAGGGACCAGCTGGAAGGTGCCTGAGGTACTTCTTGTGACCAGTAGTTAAAAGCAGTTTTTCCCAAACACTGAGGCGTTGTTTTCCTTTTCCGTGGTACTGACATTTGCACGGTGACACAAAGCAATTGCAGGTCGGTGTCCTGAGATTAATCAAGGCGATGGCACCAAACTATACTGGAGTCACCGTGTTCTCCACGACCAAGCACTAACCCTCCCCAAACCCAGTTTCACGTAAAAATGTCCTTCACGATGGATCCTTGATCTTGAGTACACACTTTAAAATATTCTGTGTGGTAAAATTAGAAGTGTACAGAACGTACTTCTACTATATACATTGAAGTCTCAAAGAAAAGCACTTTTGATTGAATTGCAAGCAAAACACCATTTTTCTTGAAAGACTGATGATAAATCATGGTTATTCAGACTTGAATATGAATTGTTGGATTCTACGGTCTAAGCTTTAAGAAACATCCACTTGTCAAGTGTCAGTACAGTATTAAAGAATATTCACAATTATCTGAAAGGCTATAAACATTCTCTGAGTTTTTTCATATACTTCCACCAACACAACATATGGTGTCTGAATAAATGCAGAAGCAGATATGAGAATCTTCTATAGAGGCAACTATTAAAGAGATTTATAAAAATATAAGCATTGTTACTTTTTTTGCTTTAGAAAATATATTTGTTTTTCACAAAAGTATCTTATTTACGCCAACACATAGGGTCTGAAGTGAACTAATGTTTTAAATGCTTCTCAGTTTTAATTTTAAATATGGTAAGTATTGGTAGACATAACCCACATTAAAGAAAAAGCTCAATAATTTTAGGGGTATTCAGGAATCCTGAGACTAAAAAGTCTAATAACTAGTATCCTATGACTACCTGTACAGTTTGCACACCTGCTTCATAATTATGTTCAAATTTGAAAACATAAAACCTCTAAATATAAAAGAGTAAGACAAGGCCCTGGCTGGTGTAGCTCAGTGGATTGAGCACAGGCCTGTGAACCAGACAATCGTGGTTCGATTCCCAGTCAGGGCACATGCCTGGGTTACAGACCAGTTCCCTGCAGGCCCGTTCCCAGCAGGGGACGCACAAAAGGCAACCACACATTGATGTTTCTCTCCCTCTCTCCTTCCCCTCCCCTCTAAAGATAAATAAATAAAATATTAAAAAAAAAAAAAAGAGTAAGACAGTGGCAGACCTACCATGTTTTTTTAAAGAAACCAGTGGTATGAATTGGGGTTTTGGAAAAAGTCAAATGTAATTAATTCAGACAAGCATCTTTCTCTTGCTCATAATCAATAAAAAACATTTTATTGATTATGCTGTAACAGTTGTCCCAATTTTTCCCCTTGTCCCCCTCCACCCGGTACCTCCATTCCCTCCAGTGATCTCTCCTCCTTAGTTCATGTCCATGGGTCATGCATAGATGTTCTTTGGCTACTCCATTTCCTATATAATTCTTAATGTTCCCCTGTCTATTTCGTATCTACCAATTTGTGCTTCTTAATCCTTGCACCTTTTGCCCCATTTTCTTCCTTCCCCCTCACCACTGATAACGCTCCAAATGACCTCCATATCTATGATTCTGTTCCTGTTCTGCTTGTTTGCTTAGTTTGTTGTTTGGAGTTAATTATCGATAGTTGTGAATTTATTGCTATTTTAATATTCATCATTTTGATCTCCTTTTTCTTGTATCATTCCCTTTAGCATTTCACATAATAATGGCTTGGTGACAATGAACTCCATTAGCTGTACCTTGTCTGGGAAGCACTTTATCTTCTCTTCCGTTCTAAATGATAGCTTTGCTGCATAGAATAATCTTGTAGGTTCTTGCTTTTCATCACTTTAAAATACTTCTTGCCAGTCTCTTCTGGCCTGCAAAGTTCCTTTTGAAAAATCAGTTGACAGTCTTATGGGAACTCTTTTGTAGGAAACTCTTTGCTTTCTTCTTGCTGTTTTTAAGATTCTCTATTTATCTTTCATCTCTGACATTTTAATTATCATGTGTCTGGGTATGGTCCTCTTTGGGTCCAACTTGTTTATGATTCTCTGTTTCCTGGACTTGTATGTCTATTTTCTTCACAAAATTAGTTAAGTTTTCTTTCATTATTTTCTCAAATAAGTTTTCAGTTTCTTGCTCTTCCTCTTCTCCTCTGGCAACCTGATCTGGACGTTGTTATATTTACAGGTGTCCCAAGGCTCCTTAGCCTAACATCGTTTTTTTGAAATTTTTTCTTCCTCGTGTTGTTCCAAATTGTTGATTAAATTCTCATTTTCACCCCCCCCACTGTTGGTTCCCGGAAGATTTTTTTTTCTACTGTATATATTTATTTACTTATTTATTTAATTTTAACTGTTGTTCAAGTAGATTTTTCTTTATTTCACTTAATGTAACCTTTATTTCTGCCTGGGTCTTTTAAAAAATATATATATATTTATTGATTACGCCATTACAAGTGCTCTATTTCCCCCCTTCATTCCCCTCCCCCCTGCACATCCCCTCCTCCACCATTCCCCCCCTTTAGTTTATGACCACGTGTCTCAAGTTCTTTAGATTCTCTATTTCCCCTACTATTCTTGCCCTCTCCCCTATCTATTTTCTACCTACCATCTATGCTACTTATTTTCTGTACCTTCTCCCCTCTTCTCCTTCTCCCACTCCCCTGTTGCTAACCCTCCATGTGATCTTCATTTCTATGGTTCTGCTCCTGATCTAGCTGTCCTCTTAGTTTGCTTTTGTTTTAGGTGTGGTTGTTGATAACTGAGTTTGCTGTCCTTTCACTGTTCATCTTTTTTATCTTCTTTCTCTTAGGTAAGTCCCTTTAACATTTCATATAGTAAGGGCTTGGTGATGATGAACTCCTTGGATTTGATCTTATCTGAGAAGCACTTTATCTGCCCTTCCATTCTAAATGAAAGCTTTGCTGGATAGAGCAATCTTGGTTGTAGGTCTTTGGATTTCATGACTTGAAATACTTCTTTCCAGCCCCTTCTTGCCTGTAAGGTCTCTTTTGAGAAATCAGCTGACAGTCTGATGGGAACTCCTTTGTAGGTGACTGTCCCCTTAGCTCTTGCTGCTTCTAGAATTCTTTCCTCCATTTTAATCTTGGGTAATGTAATTATGATGTGCCTTGGTGTGTTCCTTCTTGGGTCCAACTTCTTCGGGACTCTATGAGCTTCCTGGATTTCCTGGAAGTCTATTGCCTTTGCCAGATTGGAGAAGTTCTCCATTATTTTTTCAAATAAGTTTTCCACTCGTGGCTGTTCCTCTTCCCCTTCTGGTACTCCTATAATTTGGATGTTGGAATGTTTAAAGATGTCCTGGAGGTTCCTAAGCCTCTCCTCATTTTTTAAAATTCTTGTTTCTTCATATTTTTCTGTTTGGTCATTTTTTTCTTCCTTCTGGTCCACTCCCTTGATTTGAGTCTGTTTTCTTTCCATCACTATTAGTTTCCTGTGCATTTCCCCTCATTTCAATTAGTTTAGCCTTCATATATTTCTCTAATTTGTGACTAAAATCAACCAGTTCTACGAGCATCCTGATCACCAGTGTTTTGAACTGTGCATCTGAAAGTTTGGCTATGTTTTTGTCGCTTAGAGTTATGGGTTCTGGGACTTTGAGTTCTTCTTGAGCCATGTTTTGGTCTGTTCGTGCCTGTTAGGTATGAGGAGCGGAGCCTTAGTTGTTCACCAGGGAGGGGCCGCCCAGGTTGCTGTGTTGTGATGCTGTATGTGGGGGCGGGGTCAAAGAGGGACAATGGCGGTCCCCTCTGCTGCTTCCTGCTGCCGAGGCCTGCGCGGTCCGTCTCACTGCTCGCTCCTTCACTGGTTTATCTGCATGCAAATGTGTGACCGCAGTCAGCCCTCAGTTGGTCCGCCCGCTTCTCCACACCTGGGATCCGCCCACGGCTGCCTGCGCACCTGGGTCGGGGGGCCTAGGTCAGTCTGGTGGATCTTTCCTGCCTGACCCCGCTCCGCTGCTGGCTCTGCTCCTCTTACCAGTCTGGCTGAAGGGTTTGTTGTTGTCAGACTTCCATATAGTTCAATTTTCTGTGGTTTGGCTGTGTTTTTGTTGCTAAAACTTTGCTTTTTTAAAACTTGGTTGTGCGAGAAGGCACAGTGTTTCCACCTACACCTCCATCTTGGCGGAAGTCTTTGCCGGGATCTTTTTTATGCTGTTACCCAGTGAGTTCCTGGAGCATTCTGATAACCAGTGTTTTGAACTGTGCATCTGGTAGGTTGCTTATCTCCATTCTGTTTAGTTCTTTTTCTGGAGTTTTGATCTGTTCTTTCATTTGGGCCATGTTTCTTTTGTCTCCTCAATTTGGCAACCTCCCTGTGTTTGCTTCCATGTATTAGGTAGAGCTGCTTTGACTCCCTATATTAGTACCATAGCCTTTTATAGAAAAGCGCACCTGTAAGTCGTATGGGGTAGAGCTTTAAGTAATCTCCAGGGTGGGCAACCCATGTCACCACCGTTGCTCTTTGTGGGGGAAGGCTCATAGACGGGACAAGAGGGCTTGTAGAGAGGTCACTGCCTGGCCTCGGGAGTTTGGCTTGGGAGGAAGCTGTCTCTTGGCACTCGCCCTGATGCTAGTCACTTCGTTTTCTCCCCATATGCCACTTGTGTCCTTTCAGGTGTTGCCCTGGTGCTAAATCCCAGCAGGTGTGAGTCCGCTGAGTCCTAAGTCTGTTGTGGGCCCTTGAGAGGAGTCTCCTGAGGATCCTGCAGTTTCTTTGGCCGCCACAACCCCTACTGGTTTTTACAGCAAGAAGTTAAGGGGACTTATCTTCTTGGCACTTGAACCCTGGACTGGGTGGTCTATTCTGAGGCTCGGATCCCTCCTTCCTGAGGTATCTCTCTCAATTTTTATAAATAATACGTGGATGCAGGACCACTCATTCCGTGTCTCCACACCTCTCTGTGTTTCTCCGTAAATCCCGACCCCTCCTACCCATCTGGATGAACACTGCTTCTTTACATCCTTGGTGTCGGACTTCCATACAGCTTACTTTTCTGACAATTCTGGGTGATACCTGTTTTGTAGTCTGGTTGTACTTTTTGCTATAGTTGTGTGAGGAAGTGAGGTATGTTTACCTATGCCTTCATCTTGACCAAAAGTCCCTATCCAAGCATCTCTCCCTCTTTAGGGATTTTATTTATTTTTACAGAGAAGGGAAGGGAGGAAGAGAGGGAGAGAAACATCAATGTGTGGTTGCTTCTCATGTGTCCCCTATTGGGAACCTGGCCTGCAACCCAGACATGTGCCTTTACTGGGAATGAAACCGGCGACCCTTTGCTTCACAGGCCTGTGCTCAGTCCACTGAGCCACGTCAGCCATGGCCAAGCATCCATCTTTTAATTTTATATTAAAACAGGAGAATTACTGCTGTGTAACTTTTTATATTGTACAAGTGGGCTAATTCTAACAAATATGTACATAAAGAGAAAGCAACAATTTCAGGGAACTTTTTTTTACAGAAGAGGGGCTAGTAAGTCATTATTTATAGATACGTTAGGTATGATCCTTCCTGAAGAATAGAGTACAAATTATCAATTTCACTTCCATCTCTATGATTCTATGTAACTGACAGTCAACAGGATTTGTCACCTGAAAATAAACAAATTGGGAGGTTGGAAAAACTCAATATTGGAAGGAGAGATACACAAATTAAATTATTGAATGATGTGTTTAAGACACATCATTTTAAAAGACATTTTATTAATTTATTTTTTAGGGAGAGGGGAAGGGAGGGAGAAAGAGAGAGAAATACCAATGTGCAATAGATACATCAATCGGTTGCCTCTTACACACCCCCAAATGGGGACCTCGTCCACGGCTGAGGCATGTGCTCTGACCTGGAATCAAACTGGCGACATTTTGGTGACCAGAGACCTGGGACAGGACAGTGCTCAATCCATTAAGCCACACCACCCAGGGATAAGACACATTTTTTTTTTTTGTGCCCCAATATTCAGACTTTTAAAGCAGAGAGGAAGGTAGAACTGGCTCAGATAACTTGTCAAGTTTCTTTTATACTACTTGTAAAATTCTGTATTTTAAAGCAAAGGTTGGCAATCACTGACTGGGCCACTCATTTTCTGTAAATAAAGTTTTATTGTAACAAAACCACGGCCATTTGTTTACATAGTGTCTATGGTTGCTTTCACACTTAAAGGGCAGAGATAAGTAGTTACAACAGAGACCATATGACCAACTTAGCCTCAAATATCCACTACCTGGCTCTTTCAGAAACAGTCTGTCAAAGCTTGCTTTAAATAACATAAAGGAGGCAAACAAAACAAACTCATGAGCTTAGCACAGTCTACTTCCCTTAATCACTTAAAATCTACTGCAAACTATTATTTCAAGCATGTATAAGATCATTAACAAAATCATGTATTACCTGAAAAGAGTTTCCTTATCAAACACAGTGTCAGCTGGCATATTTACAGGAATAAGGAGATCTGGATGTGAGTCAAAATGCACAAAACTTATATTACTGTCAGGAAGGTGTTTTGAACCGATAGCTCGGTATATAAAAGGCAGAACCTGTAAAAGACGTATGCACCCGTTCAGAACTGGCACCAAAACCATGACTTTACACTCAAGTGCAGACTGAAAAACAGTGCTAAATGCGACTGCATATAATCTGAAGCACACGAAGCCATTAACGATTGGGTAAATACATGTAGGGAAAAGTGTCCATCGGCAATCATTTAGGTAATGACCTCAAGCTCTATTTTTTTCCTCAGAACTTCCAACTTGCACCTCCAAAGGTTTTAATGGGCATCTTTTGCTGCCACGATTAACTCAGAAAATGTGAGGAAACAGACAAGAACGGAAAAAACCTGCTAGTTAATACACGTACTAACTTGTGTTCAAGCTACCCCCAGTCTTCCCGTCCTTTCCATACTATAAGAAGGTGTGGTTAGGCTAGGAGGTCTATAGGGCTTTGTCCTGTTAAAGTTCTATAGCTCTACATTTAATACTGAAATGGATTAAGCAAAAAAAAAAAAAAGCCTCACGGACACAGACAACTGTTTGGTGATTGCCAGAAGGAAAGGGGGTTGGAGGGAGGTACAAGAGGGTAAAGAGAGGATTAGTGATGATGGAAGAAGACTTGACCTGGGGTGGTTAACAAGCAACACAATAGGCAGATGATGCATTATAGAGATGTACACCTGGAACCTTATGATTTTATTAAGCAATGTTACCCCAATAAATTCAATTAAAAAAACCACAATGAGTGATCAAAAAAATAAAAATAAAAAGACTGAATTTGAAGGCACTATCCAATCCACACTTGCTCTTTCTCTCATGCTTATACACACTATGTCTCCGTCTGAAGAAGCCCAACTTCCTTCCTCTCAACTGTCTCCATCCGTAAACCTGGAATCACCTTTTCCTTTTTTCCGATCCAGAGAACTTTCAAGGTTCATTAATGCTGCTTAAAAAAAAGGTGTCCGATCCATGGATCTGCCTTGTAGGCTTCCAGAAGTCTGCATTCAGGCATTCTTTTCGCTACTCTAAAATAGCACTGCCATAGAAATGGGAAATATTTTAGCGTTTAGAAACGCAGGGCACCGTATTAAAAACTGTATGTGCACCCTATGCACGCAATAATACTAATGGCCCTAAAACTGTCTCTATTTCACATATGACAGTCCGCATTCTTTTTTTGACAATCCACATTCTTAACAGTCTCCCACCTACACAGCAGGCCTGTGCTGGAGATGCCGGGGAGGGCAGGGAGCCTGAATTAAGGTGCAGGTTAAGGATTCGGGGATCTGCAGTCAGACGGCCGAGGGGCCGGAAGCAGAGTAAGCGCCCCATTACCACCAGTGCCTATTCTTCCAAGTTAGCTTCCAAGGTAGTTTCGGCGTTTCCCCCATTTCAATGCAACTCGCGCAAGTAACCGATTCTGGTTCTCTCTGGCCTCCCCGGCCGAGGCCAGCTCACCTCCTGATGATCCTCCACCACCCACACCGGGAGCTCAGGGTAGCGCCGGAGGCGAGCGCGCTCTCCTGCAGTGTCGCTCATGTTGCCACGCTCCGCTGTCAGTGATCCAGAGACCCTGGAAGAGGACCCACTAAGGACGGAGAACAGTCCCACCACCCTTCCCGAAAGGAACCGCTCGCTCACCCGGTTGCGGTTCCGGATTGGAGGACCGAGAGGGCAGAGGGCGGACTCCGGAGGGCCCAATGAGAGTGATTGGCTTAAATGGCCATCGCTTTTGGAGATCCGCCAATCACCGTATACCAGGCGCTGAGGCAGAGTCCAGCGGTATTCCTCCCGGGGTCCTGTGCTTTTCAGGTTTGGTTTTTAATTCCCTTCGTTTCCTGTTCCGGAGGCGCGGGAGGTGCTCTGGTTTTAGCGTGTGCAGAATAAGCCTGGCTTTGCTCCGTCGTTGACCTCGCGGCCCGGGAGACTTTTTGTAGGTAAAAGGGCCGCTTTGTGGGCGATCGAAGAGGGAGCAGTTGCGAGTGTCTGGATTTAAAGGGGCTGGTGTCTGGGGCTGCGGCGATCTGGATGTTAGGCGCTGACAGCCCCTCCTGAAATCTGCACTTAAGGGCAACAAAGCGACCCTAGGCCCAGATCCCGTAAATACTTAGATGTGACAAAAGAGACCTCTCATTCATTTGTGGAGCGCATGCGCTGATCCTGGCCCGGGGTCGCCTGCTGCTCCGAGGGGAGGTAGACAGTCAGCCCAGCGCTTGCCTGGTTGGGGCTCCCTGTGTGGCGGGAGATGCAAACGTGGAAATGCGCCGTTCAGCCCTAGAAAGCTGATGGGCCTGCGGATTCCACTGGAGGAAAGGAGGATGTTCTTAAGAAAAACGTAGTCACACTTTGCAACTCTTTCTACAGACTGATGTTCCTGGACGTGTTTACTATTCCAAATAGCTCCCTCATTTTCCCTACTTCCAAACAGCAACCTGGGAGTAGGCAGACGCAGAAAACGATCACTTTTCCAATTGCAGCAAATTCCTTGTCTTTTGAATTAAAGTTTGCATTCACAACACAGCCTGACTATGCCTTTAGTACGTCAGTTTCATAATCAGTGTCTTCAGATATTCTCTCTATAGACACATCCTTGAGGATCTCATAGTGAATGTTCGACTGGTACACAGTGAATTGAGAGTGTTAGTGATTTCTGGCACATTCCTTTGTGTTCCCCTAGACTTTGTACATACCTTTTTTCTTGAGTTTATTGCCTTATATTATTTTCTAAAACATGTATTTGTATGTAGGTTCTGAGCTCCTTGAGTCCTGCAGGCTATTGTTTTACTCCTCTTTGAGTTCACAGGGCCTGTGACAGTGTCCCACATGTATTGGCTCATTAAATGTTGTGTGAATCAGTGGGAAGGTCTTTTGTCTGGTTTTGATAATGCGGATCTGTCGTGGATATATGTGAAATGTACCAGAAACATATACTTTTGGTGAGATAGTAAACATTTATTGATCCCCTACTGTGTGCAGAATGCTCTGCCAGGGGCTGTGAAGGATTCAGAAATGACTGTGAATCAACCCATGTCATCAAGGAGCTAATAATCTAGTGGAGGAGTTAGACATGTACACACATGATTATAATATGAGGCGGTCTCTGGTAAGTGCTGTAAAAGAAGCACAGACTAAGAGGGAAGTCTAGAGGGAATGGGATTGCTTCTAGAAAGGTTTCACAAACGAGGAAGTGTTTGACCATAGGTAAATGGGTAGAAGTCAGTGGGAAAATTCATAGGGCAGGAGATTTCAGAAGAGTGAGAGTAAAGAACACGCTAGGTTATAGTATTCGGCATGATAGGGAGCTGGGAAGATCTGGGGTGATAGGTGCTCTGTGGAGGAGAAAATGGAAAATAAGCCTGGAAGCAGCTGGGTTCAGACTATAGGGACCCTGGCTGACAAGCATGGAGAATTTGATTCTCCTGCCAGGGAGTGTAAGATGTACTGTTTAGGCCTTAGATTTATCTTGAGGGCTTTGGACTGAAAAATAACCATTACTCAGATATTATTTGGTATCTGATATATATTAACCCCAGTGACTGAGACAGCTAAATAACCTGGAACAATTTTCATGAGCCGTTTGAAAACCTACTTAAAGCATATTGGTAAAGTTAGTTAGAAGGATATTAGGGAGATGCTTCTACATGAAAGCTTTTTGCATTTAATATTTATTTGCATTTTAAAAACACGTTTCTGGAGTTTAAGTATTTGGAAAGTCATTCATGTTCACAGTGTTCTTCTATGGGAAAAGTGGAGAATGAAAATCAAAGGTGAGTGTTATCTCTACAAGATTATAGTTATGTTTGAATTTGAATGCTGGTCTCACTGTGAAGGAAACTAAGGTATGGAGAGGGGGAGGAGAAGTGCTTATTTTCCCCCAATTTTTTTTGGCAAATTAGAGATGGAATGTGCTCAGATTTTCAGTCTTTTTAGCTGCTGATTGTTTAGAGTCATCAAGACATCTTAAAAGTTAGTTGTAAACTTTAATTTGGTTCCATATCCTCTTAATTTTGTTATTATGCTCAATGCCTCGGAGAATGCAACATTTGTGTTAAGATAACGATAGACCAGACGATCGCGGCTCGATTCCCAGTCAGGGCACATGCTGGGGTTGCAGGCCTGTTCCCTGCAGGCCAGTTCCCAGCAGGGGACGCACGAAGGGCAACCACACATTGATGTTTCTCTCCCTCTCTCCTTCCCTTCCCCTCTAAAGATAAATAAATAAAATCTTAAAAAAAAAAAAAAGATAACGACAGAAATAATTTCTAGCACTATCAGTCTAGGAAACATTTCTATGTCTGTTTTTATTTTTTCGTTCCTCTAGAGCTTATAGTCCCTGTGGAAGATGTGACATTGACCCAGACGGCACGTCACGATGCAAGGCAATACTTGGTGAGTGGCATGGCAGGAGCTTTGGGAGACCAGAGAGAGGAGCAAACACTGGTGCTGGGTTAGAGGCCATGGGAAGGCCTTAGATATGTGAAGAGAGGGGAAAATGTGTTCATTTGGGTTGGGTACATGGCTAGCAACTCAGGCCAAAGCAGTTAAAGAGACAACCCAGAGCCCTGCTGTGATGGAACTTGTAGTTTGGAGGTGCAGGCAGACATGAAGGTAATTAGTTGGTGAATTGGAATTTTCATAGGAACTGCCTAGAAGAAGCAGAGTGTGAGAACAGGAAACCTTACGGGCTTGGGGGGTGGGGGTGTTGATAGTGATTGTAGCAAGACCCACAGGGGTTTTTTGCAGTAGCCAGGCCAGAGAGGATGGTATGGAGTGGGCGAACGCAAGTATTTATGAACCAAAAGACTGTAGGAGTTGCTGCAGGCTGGTATGGCTGTTGATTGGAGGGTGGTCCTATACACTGAAAGGTCGTGGAATGATTCCAGGTCAGGGCACATTCATAGGTGGAGGGCTTGGTCATGGCACCTACGAGAGACAACCAATCAATGTTTCTCACATTGATGGCTCTCTCACTCTTTCCCTACCTTCTTCTTTTTCTGAAAATCATTAAGCATTTCCTTTGGTGAGGATAAAAAAAATTACAGGAATTTAAAAATAAACTTTTAGTTAAAGTGGGTAAAGAAGGAAAACCTTTTAGATAATGCCCCGGTGTGTATGACTTGAGGACCAACGTGTGTCTGGAATTTTTATCATGAGCATCTTCGCTGCAAGCATTTTTGCGATGTAACTGATTGGCCATAAGGCAATTTTGTTGTAAAAATAGATAAAGACAAACAGAAGAGGGACATGAAAAGGATATATGGAAACATGATAAAATGAATAACAAAATTAAAAAGACTTTATTGCAAAATACAAAATATTTGTATACATTGGAGATGTGTATAGATTATGTATATAGTATGTGTACAATATGGATTATATGTATAGTATAGATTGCGTGTATGTGTGTGTGTGTATAGGAAATACTATGCAAATGACTGATTTCATTTTGTGGATTGTACCTAAGCACTTGTTTTCGTTCTGTAGGAAATGTGGTTCAGCTCCATCCCCTCCACTCTGTGCCCTCCAGAGGGCTCTCAGCCTCTCTTTATCTTCCCATTGTTTTTGTTTCAGAATAAGAAACCGACTCTTGGGGCAAGCCCTCGTCATGTGGAAGAAATGCTAACTGTTTTAAGACCACCACCATCAGGTGTTCTGTATTGGTTTGTCATAATTTCAAATCCACTTGTTTATGGCCTGAGTACAGTTGTTTTGATGTAAAGGTGAATTTGCTTCCATTGAGGAAGCTGTGCTAGGATGTTATTAAAATCTGCTGTTGTCCGTACGCACTTAGCTATTGACAGGCGCTGCTGGGGACGCACTGATAGGAACATACGGAGGAGCGGCCATCACACAGAGTTACACCCACATTTCTCGTGGAACGAAGACAAGTGCTTGGTTAGGTACAGTCTGCACAGTTAAAGGAGCTCCCTGAGGACCTTGAGGCACTTGCTCCTGCCGTGGTCAGGTCTGCCTGACCCGCTTTGGACCGGCAGTGGTGTTAAACTGTGCAGTGGTCCCAGGAAGAGAAGGGACGTCTGTTCCTGCCTTGGGGAGGTCACTCCTCAGGGGCAGCTGTGTGTAACAGCCACCTTGCCTGCCACTTACATGCACCAGCAGCGAGGGACTTAAGGCAGCAGTTGGTACCCAGCTTTTAGTTGGAAGGACTGACTGTTCAGGGAACCAACTTGTAGAGAGGTGCACCTATACTAAATTAAGGTTACATTTATCGTTTTTATGGAAAAGTTGCCTTAAGACCAATTAGTTGTACAGTGAAAATGTTTGTGGCAAAGATGATAAAGGTGAAAGGACGTAGACCCTAAATAGTATCTGTTGAAATCGGAAATAAATTAAAAGGAGCAAGTGGTATTGTCTCGGAGGAGCAGATCATTGGTTCTGTCCCAGCGGCATTAGGTTGGGTTGGCAGGCTGTGCGGAGTGGGAGAAAAGGGGGACAGGAGGAGGCTGGTACAGATGGAGAAACCTGGGGCGGTCGGGGGTGGGGGGGTGGGGGTGTGGGGAGCTCAGGGTTTCAGGGAAACTTAATGAGGACAGCAAATGGTTGAACAGTGGGATACTGACTCATCATTCTGGAGGGGGAGTGGCCGCAGGGAGTGACCGGGTCCACAGGGTGGCCGTGGCAGTGGTTGGGTGGCTGAGACAGGGGGAGAGGAGTTTACTGGCCATGAGGCGTGTCCAGTATTACAGAGAACGCAGTATTGGAGGACAGGGATATTCCAGTGGCCTGAGGGGTCTGCCAGTCGCTCTTGAAGCTATTCAGGCATTTGTGGAGACCCGTTTCCATAGTTTTCTCTTTTCTCTCTTTTTTTCCACCGAAGTCATAGAATGTCGTTCCACTCAGGACGAGGGTGTCCTCGAGGGCGAGGCGGACATGGAGCCAGACCTTCAGCGCCAGCCTTCAGGCCCCAAAATCTGAGACTGCTTCACCCCCAGCAGCCTCCTGTGCAATACCAATACGAGCCTCCGAGTGCTCCTTCCACCACGTTCTCGAACTCTCCGGCCCCCAGTTTTCTGCCTCCACGACCAGATTTCGTACCCTTCCCTCCCCCGATGCCTCCGTCAGCCCAAGGGCCCCTGCCCCCCTGCCCAATCCGGCCCCCCTTCCCCAATCACCAGATGAGGCCCCCCTTCCCGGTGCCTCCGTGTTTCCCTCCCATGCCGCCTCCGATGCCCTGTCCTAGTAACCCCCCGGTCCCTGGAGCCCCTCCAGGACAAGGCACTTTCCCCTTCATGATGCCCCCGCCTTCCATGCCCCACCCCCCGCCCCCTCCCGTCATGCCGCAGCAGGTCAATTATCAGTACCCTCCTGGGTATTCGCACCACAACTTCCCACCCCCCAATTTCAACAGCTTCCAGAACAGCCCCAGCTCTTTCCCGCCCAGCGCCAGTAACAGCAGCAGTCCTCATTTCAGGCACCTCCCCCCGTACCCACTGCCAAAGGCTCCCAGTGAGAGAAGGTCCCCTGAGAGGCTCAAGCACTATGATGACCACAGGCACCGGGACCACAGTCACGGGCGCGGCGAGAGGCATCGGTCCCTGGACCGGCGGGAGCGAGGCCGAAGCCCCGACCGGCGGAGACCCGACAGCCGCTACAGGTCGGATTACGACCGCGGGAGAACGCCTTCTCGCCACCGGAGCTACGAGCGGAGCAGGTAAAGCACGTGTGTTTTTATGGAACTGCAGAGGCCCGTTCCCAGGCCGTCTCCGTCTCCGTCGGTCAGCAAACCAGACCAAAAAGGCCCAGCAGTGCATTTCTGCTTATAAAAAAGGAGGGAACGCTTCTTTGGGGCTGTTTGAAAGAGGAAGAGCGGACTGACAAGTAAAGAAATTGATGTCAGAAAAAGCCACTTTTGAAAAGCATTCTGAAATTATCGATGTAGATTCATTTCAACTGGATGTAAGCTGATTACTCTGCATAATACAGTTGACATTTTAATGATTTAATAACGTTACCTTTTTTTTTTTTTTGCTTTATATGTATTTACGTTCAGTATCAGGTTACACAGCACTTGAATTCTTTGGGAATCGATGATCTCCATATATTATTGATTCAGAATCAAAATAGTTAAGCAGAACTTGCTTTCTGATTTTTAGGATAAATGAAGTGTATTGTATATTGTTGCCTTCTTGCTGTTTCCTTGTAAAATGAAGTAGTATTAGTTACACATTATAACTATTACACATAGTTATCAAAGTAGCTTTAGCCTGCTTTTGTTGCACTAAAACAAATTCAGACTGAAGAAAATGGCATTTAAAAAATACTGTTCCACTCCAGGTTACATTTCTTTCTTTTTTTTCAAAAGACCAAATATCTATATGTACAAAAGGGTACAAAGAGGGTAAGGTTTCCGCAGTGTTCTTAAACTGGGATTCACAGATGGGCTTCTAGAAATGCCCCGAGGTTATATTCAAGACTGTATGTGTATGTATGTTTTTCTGTAAGTAAGTAGGTACCCTACATCAAATTCTCAAGAGGTGTTGTGAGTCTCTTACCCCCAAAGTCTAAGAACCATTGGTTTAGATGGAGAGATAAAAATGCAGGGGCAGTGATTGTACTAATGTTTACTTGTACCTTCAGCAAAACCCTTCGTGTCTATGCAGGTGTGAGGTTTTCCACTTGGCAGGTTGGCAACAGTGCTTCTCTTGCTGTCCCTGTGGTGTCCCCTTCCTTGTTTTGTGGAACTTCTGTGCTACACGGCTCTGAGCTCCGCCACCAGCTCACGTCCTCATGTGGGTTTGCAGAGAGTGGCTCCTGCACGGTCCCTTCTCAGTCTCCAGGTTTTCCTCCTGGCTGTCGGTTCCATTCTGATTGGACGTTCTGCCCATGGATGATGGTGGCCATTCTTAGCCCCAGGAGAGTATCTAGTGCTCAGATGTGGCAGGAAACTGTGCTGTTGCTTCTCCCTGATGCCAGAGGGAGGCGGAGGGACACGTGTTTCCTGTGGAAATGACTGATTCGAGAGTCATGGTCTTCAAAGTTCTTCCAGCACAAGTTACTGTTTCTGGCCAATTTTGTCCTTAATTCTTCAGTGATGGGCTAGTTAGCAGAGGCCTGTGATGGTGTGTTTCATAGTTTTACGGTAAAGAGCTAAACTGGAAAGAGTTTGTTCCAGACTTAACAGCGATGGTTGATGCTGTTCCCGGGGAAGCGTTTTGCTGCACACTTCACTATTCTAGATTGCATTCGTTTTTCTGTTTTGGGAGCTTCAGTTAGAGCAGAGTTATTAGGACTGCGCTCTAAAATCCTGAATTTTTCCATCCAGGCTTAATCTTGGAGTTAGGTGCTTATTTGAAGAAACCGAAATGTCTTGTAAACTGAGGGTGTCTGTCATTGAAGGAATTGAGTGCCAGAATTGCTGTTGATCCCTGTCACCCGAAACCACAGCTCCTTTGCCAGGAAGGACCTGTGCAGGCAGCTGCTCCCCTTTCTAAACGGCCTTTACTTATGTTGGAGTTGTTTTTCTGATGTTGTGCTCGGGCTGTTCGCTCTGGGTCTGCCCTCTATGTCACAGCCACACTGTAATTGGTTCCTATGGGTCTTAGATAAGTGTCAGTCATCTGTCTTACATGGATTGCTTCTGTAAGAGAAGCACAGGTCATGTGGAGGCCTAGTGTAACTTCTAGAAGTGTATTGGAGAAACCCCAGACTTCACACATTTGTGCATTAGGTTGTGTTGTCTGTGGAAATTCTATAGCCTGTCCTCTGGCCACTTCTCCCCTTGTTTCTTGGGATAAATGAGTCTGTCCTTTTTCAGGTTCCATTTTCCTACTATTTCTCCTCCTCCAAAATGTGGTCGAATAATAATGACAAGATTGGGTTAGGGCAAACTATTTCTAGAGAAAGTTCGTGAGGAACTGGGTATAAGTTATCGTTACCGCACAAGGTGAAGGTTACTCTGGGGGACGGGAAAAGAAACCGCACAACGCCCTGGCTCTGTCTGCCCCGCGTAGCCTGGTGCAGAGCGGGGCCCTCCTGGCTGTCCTGGGAGCTTGACGTGCAGCCCTTGGGGACCTGGTATTCGGTCCCAGAGGAAGATCTTAGTGCTCGCAAACAAGGATCGGTTTTGGGAAAAGTGACCTGCACACTGTTTTTCTTGCTTTAAAGGGGTTGCTCATAATTGTGTTTCTTCGGTCATTTATGTACAAATTGGTCTTCCAATTCATCCCCACTTGGAGCTGCTCTTGAGTGCAAATTCTATTGCCTAGATGTTAAAAAATAAACAAAAGTGAAGAAAGCCACTAAATAGAGATTTTATGTGAAAATATAGGCAACTTAATTATTCTTTTTAGCAGCCATGCCACTATGGATTATATCTTTATCGTGTGGTACTACTCACCAGTTGGGATTTATTGCCTAAAAGTAAACTAGTTTGAGAAGTGAATCAGATGAACTATGGAGACTCCCAAGCCCCGGCTGCTTTCTTTTGGACAGCTCGTGTGTGCCTGTCACTGATGCGTGTGTCAGAGTGTGTTGTTTAACGGAGTCCTCCTTGATCTTTACATGTGAAACAATGTTTGCTTTCTGTATCTAAGCATTGATGAATCTCTATTGGTTTTATAAGCTCTGATTTCAATGTATTTACCTCTCTTCTCTAGGTTTGGCTATAGGTTGGGGGATATTTTTGAGTCCAGACATTTTTATAGTCTTGCTGGACTCAGGCTAATACAGCATTTTTATTTTCCTTCTGAGGTCAGGTGGTTATTTCCCTTATATTTAGTGCTGATTGAGACACACTAGAGTTCTGATTTTTGTTCCTGGTCGCATCGTGCTTATTAAATAAACTCAGAAATTATTATTATTAAGTTTTCCTGGTTTAATATTGGGAGGTTTTAAAATCCCTCATTCTACTTTTATACTAAACAAACTCAGGGGCTCCATTTAGAGTTCTTTTCCGATGAAAGTAGCATTTACAGGTGACATGACCTCCAGTCTCCTGGCAGTTAGTGATAGCTAGAGCTCCAACTCAGGCCCATATCCTGAAGGTTCAGAACTCTTTCATTATGGAACCTTGTTCTCATATTTACTAGTAAAGCTTTTATTTACCTTTATTTCGTGGATGAAATTGAAAGTTTCCTAGAAACTGACAGGCAATAGAATACTTTAAAGTTTTCCCTGTAGGTTAAATACCCAAAGATGGGCTGCTTGGAAGGTCTCCACAGAAGGTTACGATAAAATTCCCTTTGTTGCTTAGCATCAGGTATGACTTCGTTGTTTACAGAAAACAGCAGAAAATGTCTAAGTTAGTGACATTCTGTGAAGGAAGAACTCCTTCATTCTCTAATAAGTGCAGGATGAATAAAAATGCCCCATAGGGAATAGTGCCGGAAAAACCCTTAGGGAAGTCCCAGGTATTTAGACGATGAATTCAGTGAAGAGAGATGGTGTTTTTGAGTCTTTCTGTTGCAAACAGCTCTGTGTATTAATTCCTTTAAGAGAGCGGGAACGGGAGAGACACAGGCATCGGGACAGCCGAAGATCACCGTCTCTGGAAAGGTCCTGCCCAAAAGAGTATAAGAGATCTGGAAGGTAAGCAAGGAGTCCACACGCAAAGAAGTCCTAGGGTCATCTCTCCGAACCCAGAGTTTGTGCTTCTGCAAAGTGTCAGCCATGTCTTCCAAGTGCTTAAGAGTCTTCCCAAATGCCCTGTGAAAAGCTAAAGCAGCCACTCCCTGAACAGTCTTTACTCTCAAGATGTATTGATTATGCGCAAGGAAGATCTTAATACATTTCCAGAAATTAGAAATTACATGGGCCACTTTTTCTGACGTCAATCGCTAATAATTCAATTTTAAAAAAACCCTTGGAAATTCATAATTATGATTTTAAATATACTTGTTTCAGAAAAAAAGTAAAACTACAGTCACACTGTATTTACAAAGATGACATTGAGATTGTTATAAACTAAAACTTATAGAACATAACCAATTTCGTGGTCTTATATAATGGTGATTTAAGAACAGCATTCTGGAGTCTGACAGATTTGGGGTCAATTATTAGTTCTCTCAATGTTGTTATTGGATAAAGTTATCTAACCTTTTTATGCTTCCATGTCTGTCTAAAATAAGGACACTTGTAAATGCATTTAGTGGTGAGGGGTCATTGAAATAATACATGCAAAAGACCAGAACTGGGCCCAAAATTAATGCCAAATAAATGGTAAATACACACACATACACACTATTATTACTGCTCATTTGGCTCTAGAAATTGGTAAAGAAAAGCAGAAAAAAGGATTTAAAGATAGATTAATGAGATAGAAAACAGAACTATAGCACTGTAGCAATATCTGTGTATAAATGCAAAACTGCTTTGAAAGGCTTTAGAACTTAAAAAGTGGCAAATCAAGAAAAGAAAAACACATTGCATGAGGTACGAGGAAGAATATATCACAGCAATGAAGGGGATTTAAAATTGACAGCACATTGGCATAAATATAGATGTTTTCCTCAAAAAAGTTTAGAGACTTGGAAGTGGAAATGAAAATTACAGCTTTCATATTAGAAGTAGAAAAACTGTTTTAGAACACCGGAGAAGATGGAGGGGAAACTCAGCTTCTGCTGTGACATCGGGGAAACCCAGTGGCAAAACCCAACCAGTGAAAGAAGAGTAATAAACCGTCTCTCTTATGAGTATCGATATGAAAATCTGATTCGTAGAGGGGAAAGTTACTATGTTACAATAACAATTTATTTCAACTTAGTATTAAGAAATCAATAACTAATTTTTTGTGTCAGAATTGACAGGGTTTTTTCAGTACCTGCCCATTAGATATTTCATATAAAACCACCATCGATTTATGAGTAGGAACTGCAGTAAACCACAAATATAAGCAGACTTCTTTAATGTGATGGAGAACTTTGTCTCATGATGAACATGGTTGTCATCATCTCAAAATAACCAAATTGATTGTCAGAACCTTACAGGTCTTCCCACACAGGTTAGGAAAAAGGGGAGGCTCCATTGCTTATCCCTGTCACCCAGCACCGAATAATTTAATCAGCAAGCAAATGAAATGCGTTACATTGCAATACAGTGTCCCAGGTATTGTGCTGGTGCAGGAGATACAGTTGTTAACACAGTCCCGGCTTGACAGGCATAAGAACGTTAAGTGCTACGAGAAGTGCTTTTGCTGGAGCAATTACAAGTTGCTCTGGGAACCCAGCAGTGAAAAAGGCAGCTTGGGGATAAAGGGACATTTTGCTGATACCTAGAGTGGGCACAGTTCGGGGATGCATTAGGGAAGGAGGGTGGGAGGGGAAGAGAAAGGAGCATATGTGGAGGAATGTTCTGTGCAGGTCAAGTCTGGAGGAAATGAGTGTAGAAAGGAACGATTGTGCCTAGGCTGGGGCGGTGGCGGCAGTAATGGGCACGGTGGAGGTGATGGAGACGTACTCGTGAGACAGAGTCAGCAGGTCTTGGTGACTGGTCGTGAAGGGAGACGATGCAGCCGTCACAGCCTGAGACCTGGTGGTCCCCACTGCACTGAGAAAGGCCAGAGGATGAGTTCAGTCTGGGGCATGTGGAGGTGCGACTCGGTGAGACAGCTCGGTGGAATCGTGTGGGAGCACATTGGATGCACAGGTGTAAAGTTCAGACAAGAGGTCCCAGGTGCAGGACTCAGTGCCATGATTAGGTGAGATGAACTAGGGTGAGTTTGTCCAGTGAGAAAGGACTTGCCGAGGAGGAGGCGAAGGGGGACATACGGACAGAAAGAAAGCCAAGTTGTTGTGTTGGCGGCAGCCACTGAGGACCCTTTGGAGGTCGATGGTTTTTAATGTGGAGTGTTGGAAGTCTCCTGGGTCTGGCGGTTCCTTGTCCAGTGCCCAGTAGCTTGTAGAGAAGGCTGACTTGAGTTCGGTGAATATAATTCAGTAGACTGGGAAAAAAACCCTGAGATGTAAGCATGGTGAAAAAGGACAAGTTACCATAGTTTCTAGTATAGTGTGTGGTTAAGAAACAGTCTCGAGTTTGGATTTTGGAATTTGGAATGCCTGAGACACTTAAGAGATGCCCCTTTTAAAAGGCCCCCCCGGAAGTGCTGCGAGACAAGACTGCTGGCTGACGGGCGTGGCGGTGGGCCCTGGGCGTCCGTCCTTCAGGGCACCTGCCTGAAGTGGGGGTGAGGCCGCCTTCCGCCTGCGTTTCTTGGTGATAACAGACACTTGGGGGGATTTTTAGTACATGTCGAAGTGTCTGTGTCAACCGCATTAGCATCTCCCACTCACTAGCTTTGCGGAATTGGACGAGTGACATAATTTCCAATTCTGTTTCTTCCGTAGGGGATGCTCACATCTGCCCCAGAGCATGCTGGTAAGGAGTGCATACGAGTGTCAGGAAAGTGCTTAGCAGAGCAGCAGGCTCCTGGCACCGAAAACAAACCTAACCCCACCCACCACGGGGAGCTCAGTGCTGTTACGAGCTAATGGTGCTATCAGAAAAATTCAAGTGGGTCAGCTAAGAAACTGAGCATCGACTCACTGAAGTTGACAGTTCCAAAACAAACCCACTGGAATTAATAGCCTTCCTAAGTAAATCAGGAATACCTACTTAGAAAATGTAATGAAGGAAAATGTAGGTTTAGTATAGAAAATTTATATAAATTAAAATTAAGTGTCTTAATAAGACTTAAAAATATATATAGGTCCATGGGAAGAAAATATAAATGTTGCTGATGACAAAGAAGGTGAAGCAGATGAGGGAGGCGGGCCACAGCCCCACGGTGGGGTGGATGGCAGTGTCGGACGAGGGCCAGCTTTCTTCAAGATCATCTATGGCTGCCATGCAGCCAGTTGGAGTGTAGGTTTTAGAACTTCTTGAGCCAAATTATTTGGAATAGAAGTGAGAGAAAGGAAGAAAAATGACAATGTAGCCTCAGGAGTATTGAAATGTTCTATAAACATAAGAATTATGAAAACTGGACATGGGCATAGATAGATCCGTGAAGCCAAATCTGAACCACAGTCAAGGACACTCGAACCTCCCCATCTGCTGTTGAGTTGCTTTCTGAGATCAGAGGAAAAACTGATGTGGGGGCAATCGGCGAGCCATTCGGAGGCAGAACCTGAAATTTCTGCCTTGGAGAGAGAGAGAAAAATGTAGTGTTATAAATAACTGAAGAAAACATAAAGTATTTATTTGACTTTCACATGGGAAAGGGTTGTAAGCATAATGCTGAGGAGGAAACACGCATTTAAAAATCGCTAGATTTTGCCATATGAAAGTTATATGTCACAATAAGCAGATAGAATTTACATGGGAAACGAAGCTGAAAAGGTTATATTACATATGACAGAAGAAGGGTGATTGTCTTCATAAGAAAGTCTTTCAATCAATAAAAAGGACTGCAGTCCTCATTTCACCTGGCAAACCAGATGCCCGGACGTTCACGGAAGAAGTGAATGGGACGTGTATAGTTTCAGTGGTAATGAAAATGAGCAGGTTACCTTTCATCAGATACTATTCTTACCAGAATGGCGAGGATGAAGGGTAATCGTGTTGACAGGGTGTGTGGAAACGAGAACTCGATAAGATTTGGGCGGTGGTCTAACCTGGCACTGCCCACGTGTAGAGAGGCCTTAAGAAAAAGCACTCACACGCCCTTTGTGTGAAATAACCTGACAGGTGTGCAAAGAACACAAGTTGTGTTCATGGTAGCATTGCTTTCAGTGGTAAGAAGTACCGACAACTTTCGTTTGATCAGATTTGTTAAATAATGATGCACGAGGGGAAGGATAATGTGCATTTATTAAGTGGTCCAGCTACGGATGCCTTGAAATAGAACGGTCCTCATTTACCGTGAGTGAGGACAGGCTACAGAATTTTTCTGGTTAAAGCTTGTGTATATTTATGTATATTCCTACATCTCCATGGTTTAACACGTTTGTGAAATACAATGCTTATCTGTGTGTGGTGGAACGGGCGATTTTTGTGTCAATTTTGTCCGTGCTTATTTTTTTTTCTATAGTGAACGAATATACATTTTACTTTGCGTGGCTTTTTTCTTCTGGTAACAGTGACATACATTGTGATATTTAGAAGTAATGTCAATATATATATAACCTTTCTAAACACCCACCTCTTCCCTTGATGCACACACACCTACACACTTACTCCTTTCCTGTCACAAAACTGGAAGTTAGCGGTAGAGTTGGTGGAAGGCGCTGACTCGTGACTCCGATCTGGACGTAGCCTCTCTTGGGTGACAGCAGCGGTGTTAGTGGAGCTGCGAAGGCTGCCAGCGAAACTCCGGGAGAGCGGTCACTCTCCTAGGCGGGATTCTCAAGGCCTCTATGGTCCTGCCCAGATTTCTTGGGCTTAAATTAGTTAAAATCTACCCTGTAGGTTTTCCCTCCAAGCACATCCATAGGATGGTCCTTGGCAAATTTCAGACCTCAGAAGTTCACGGAGACAGAGTTGCTTTTATCCTTTTTAACCCAGTTAGTATCAGTGTTTGTGGGGGTCAGACGTAGGGAAAGCGGTGGCTTGGGAAGCAGGAGTGATGCCCAGTATGGGGTTCCAGAGGGATGGTCAGGGGTGATTGACTGGTTCGCACTCAGGTTACGGTCCTCAGGCTAAATTTATCTCCAAGCCGAGACCGTGTTTGTGAAGCCTTTTCTTTCCTGGCGGAGCGGGACACGCAGGACTCAGAACTAGTACTCTCCTCGTGGAACTGTCCGTGCACAGAGATTTCCAAGTATTTTCCAAGTATCTCTCTCTTCTAGGAGTTACAGTTTGCCAGTCGCTCCTGAACCTGCTGGATGCGCACCAGAATTACCTGGGGAGATTATTAAAAATACAGATTCTTGGGCCCCACCCCTGGAGACTGTGAATCAGTAAGTAGATCTGGGGTGGGGCCTGGGAATTTGTATTTTTAAACAAGTAACTTCAGGTGATTCTGATGCCACCAGACTGGTATTTAGGATTCGCTGGTCGAACAAAAGTGAACATGGTTTGGCATGGCGTTTTTATTTTAGGTGAAAAGTGAACGAAACAGGTGAAATAAAGTAGCTTTGCAACAGAAGAACTTCTTTAATAATCAGCCTCCTTCGCCCCCTTTTGAAGTCGCTCCCCAAGTAGGGAGAAGAAGAGAGCGCGTTGGGAAGAAGAGAAGGACAGGTGGAGCGACAGCCAGAGCTCGGGCAAAGAGAAGGGTTACACCTCCATCAAGGAGAAGGAGCTGGAGGAGGTGCTGCCCGACAAGAACGAGGAGGAGGAGGAGGAGCTGCTGAAGCCCGTGTGGATCCGCTGCACCCACTCGGAGAACTACTACTCCAGCGACCCCATGGATCAGGTGGTAGGTCGAAGGCGAGGCGCTGCAGGCCTGGTTTCCGAACGCTGGAGCCCTCCGCGTGTCGGGCTGGGACCCCCCGTGCTGGGGCCTGCCCTGTGCACGGGGCCTGTTGTGCTCCTCACTCGATGCCAGGGGAGCCCCTCACCAGTGGTGACACCCAGAGCTGTCCGTGGACATGGCCAGTGTCTCCTGGGGGCCGCTTCCCACCGCGTATGAGCACCGCTGCTGTGGACTACAGCTGTTCCACGGAGGCGAGAGTGCAGTAGGCAAAACAGTGTCCTCCATTCTGCGTTTTTTGTGGCACTGCTTGACTCGGGACCGGGGGCTTCTCACTCGTATGGCTGCTTCGTGTGCCTATGTGTGTGTGTTTCCCCCCACATGGGACGTAAACAGAAATTTGAGCTTGTGTGTTTACAAGTGTGTGGTTGACTGAATGTAAGCATGGGAAGTTTCCCTTGCCTGTTGGCTGGCTTGTGGAATGGCAGGCACGGTCACTGTTCATGGGCTCCTGAGACACGCAGTGCGTGTGCCGTGCGAGGCCCGGCCACCACCACGCCGCGTTGCCGTGGGGGACTCTGCGGCCTCCTCCGTGCGCTCCCTTCCCTGTTCCTTTCTTCTGTCTTCACTTCGTTTTCCGCCGCTCTCCCTTTTCTCTCTCTTCTCCCGAGGGTGTAAGGCCTTCATCCCACTGCTCATCTGTGGGGGATAGACACGCAGGAGTGGTCCTTGATTAAGTGAAGAGTAAAGGGATGAACGTCTACAGACTCGGGACCTAGGAGGTGGCCGACCTTGGATTCAGCGTGTGGGGTCAGAGGAGGGAGCACGCTGTCGGTTGGAACTCTGTGAGAGTGGCTTCGTCTGGGACCGTCGAATCCTTACTTATGGGGACTCCTTTGTCTTTGGAAAAAAGGCTTTGGGAACTCTCTCATGGGGGGTGATATGTTACTTGATAAATTAAAGCAGAGATATAAGTCACAGCTCATGGTACAGGGAAGGGAAAGCTCACATCCCGAGCACTTTGTCCTGGTGCCAGAACTTCCCTCCATGCTGCTCGTATTATCTTGTTGAGTCCTCAGAGCCTCCCAGGAAGGAAAGTATTTGTCACTGAAGAATGTTGCTATAAACACAGTCACACCCACGTAATGGTGTTCTGGTCAGTGATGGGCCCATACACAGCTGCAGACTTTGTCATCTGGTGACTTTGTAGCCACTGCGATGCCACAGCACCACGCGTCACTCACGTGCTTGTGGTGGTGCCACTCGTTTCAGGGAGTCACCCTGCGATTGTGTGCAGCAGGTGATGCTTGCCGATGGTAGTAAACGGCCGTGTTATTGTAGTTTATGTGTCTACAACACTGCACTTTATTGTTGTTCTGGAGTACAGCCTTTCTCTTTGCATAAAAAGGGCTGCAACACAGTGCCCCGAGCTACACCGGCAGCCGCCTCCGGTGCCTCCAGCACGGCGTGTTCTGGTGCCTGACTGAGTGCTGCGTTGTTCTGTAGATGACGCGCTGCACGGGCTTGTTGCCCAGGAGCAGCTGGCTCTCCCACGTAGCTGGGGCAGGTGACAGGCTGTACCGCCCAGGGCTGGGCAAGCACGTGCGACGATGTTCGCACACGACAAAGGTGCGTAATGCTGCATATCTCCAGACAGCCGCCCGTCGTCCTGCGGGGCACAACTGTCACAACCCTCAACTAGTCACGACGTCAACGAGCCTGGTTTGTTTTCCCAGGAAGATGTGGGAGGGAGGCAGTGCTTGCTTTGTGGTCAGTGGAGACAGGGCTTCGGGTTGGCATCGGCTGTCCCTGGAGCACCCACCCTGGTTGCAGGATGACCGCCGCAGCTCCAGGCGTCACGTCCAGACACACCAGATGCAGGGTGCAGAGGGCACTGTTGGGTGGGGCCTTCCTCTAGAAATGTGCCCAGAGCTCCCACAGGTCTTTTCTTTCATCCCTTCTCCAGAACCGTGTCTTCTCTCTTCTTCAGGGAGTCATCTTCCGTGGCTGCCGTAGCAGGTTTCCACACACTGTGGCTTAAAACAACACACGTTTATTAACTCGCAGTTGTGGAGGTCAGAGTCACTCTTGGGTCTCATCAGCTACGTAAAGGTGTCAGCAGGGCTGTGTTCCTTTCGGGAGAAGACCTGTTTTCTTGCTCGTGCACGTTGTGGCAGAGTTCAGATTCTCGTGGCTATAGGATTGGAGTGCGTGTTCCCTTGCGGGCTGGCGGGTGCGGGCTGTTCCCAGCTTCTAGAGGCCACGGCCATCCAGGGACCCCTTCCTGCATCTTCCAGACCAGCAGTGGGGGTGGAGTTCTCTTTGTGCTTCCAGTGTCTCCGCCTCCTCTCCTCCTGCACCTCTGGCTCCCTTTGGGAAGGTTTTCAGCCGTGAGAGGCTCGTTGTATATTGGGCCTACCCAGGTAATCCAGAATAATCTCCCCATCTCAAATTTTGTAACATTGATCTCATGTGCAATCTCTTCTTGGTCATGTAAGGTAACATGTTCAGTTTCTGGGGACTAGAACGGGCCATTGTTGGGGGTGGGGAGATTGTGGCTCAGCCCACCTACCCCAAGGTCAGGAGTTCTCTGCCCCATGTCTGAAGAAAATCACAGTCCTATTAGCAAGGCAGAGGAGGACAATAGGTGTTATTCTTAAAAACAACAAAGTTGAAGATGGTGAGGCTCCAGAGCTTTTATTTTTTAAAAAATTTTTATGGATGTCTTCCAATCCCAACATAGAAGGAAGGCTGAAGCGCCGGCGGCCCCACACTGGGCTTTGCGCGTAGTCGTCCGGGGCAGCGAGGGTTAGGAGGCCAGCGGGGTCCCAGCACCGCCCGTGCAGCAGAGAGGTGGGGCTGGGGGGGACCATGGTCCCCTCAGGCTGTACTGCACATTTCATGATTAATGTTCTTACATGGAAGAGTGTGGACATTTAGGATGGTTTTCAGCCTGGGAAGAGAGTAGGAATGCATTGCAGAGCGCCGTGTTTGTGGTTTGTGGAGTGTGTGTGTTTGTGTGTGTGCGTGTGTGTGTCCCTGTGTTTATGGGGTGGGTGTGCGTAGGGATATATGGGTTGTTTCCCTTGCATCGTTGGGTTAGTGTGAAGGAAGGACTGCGGGAGATACTCAGTCATGGGGTGTGTGCTTCCTAGGAGCACGTCGGGTATCACGAATTCTCAGTGGGCCCCGATTGGTTTTTGTCATATCAAAAAGGCAGAGATAAACAGTTTTAATGGTTTTGCATGTTGGCAAAGTGCACCTTTCTGAGGAAGGCATAGGTTTGTGTTTGGGCATAGTTACCAACATCGGGTGTTTTATTTGTATCCGTTTGTTAAATGGAGGGTTGAAAATGGCCCCTTGCTGCTACGAATCTTTGAGTACTTGTCAGGTCTTACGTATCTTTGGAAGGACTATTTCTAATGTAGTTTCTAATACTGCCCCTTTATTTTTCAAAGGGAGATTCCACTGTGGTCGGCACAAGCAGGCTCCGTGACCTGTACGACAAGTTTGAGGAAGAGCTCGGGAACCGGCAGGAGAAGGCCAAAGCCGCCAGGCCCCCGTGGGAGCCCCCCAAGACGAAGCTGGATGAAGATTTAGGTGCGTCGGAGGTTACCAGCCAAGGCTCTGCTTTTATCACGGCCTGGTCCTGGCCTCTTGAGATGTGTCCTCGGGCGTCCCGAGTTGAAATTTCCTTCTCATTTTATTTTCCTTACTTAGTAGTTGGCAAAATACATGACAGTGGCACATTCTTCTTTTCGACAGTAGTTTTTCTCAGTCGCATTCGGCAGAACACATAGGAAATCCCGTTTGCAAGGCGCACTGACCAGCAGTTGGGTCCCTCGTAGAATCGTCTGGTCACAGAGCCGGAGGGACTTTAGTGCAGCGCGGGGCCTGTGCCCCGTTCCTCCCGCCTCTGACGGGCAGGCGGCCCCCGTGGCCCTGCCCATGTCAGGGCGCCCCCGCCTCACGGGGGAGTGCAGCTCGGTGCGAAAGGTGCTGTCCGCTCACGAAGACAGTTTCTGCAACTTTCTCGTGTTGTTCATGTGTCTGAGGTCTCAAGGAGACGCGGAGCTCTTTGAGGACAGACACTGCTGCTCACCACTTTGTGTCCTTGGCCCCTCGCCGAAGGCCGTGTCGAGGTGACACATTCCTTACGTGTTTTCCTTTGTGTGCTGTGGCTTTCCTCTGCCCGGCTTCACTCTGTGTCTCAGGCTGAGAGGCAATATCCATGGTGGGTAAAAGCGCCGACTGGACCAGCAGACCTGGGTTCGAATCCCAGCTCCTCCACTTGAAATGTGACCTTGAGCAAGCGATTCACTCGCTCTGTGCCTTAGTTTTGTCATCTGTAACAGAGGGTGACTGTGGCATCTGTCCCATACAGTACACTTGAAAAGACAGCTGTGTAAGCGTCAGGTTTTGTTACTGATCAATCTAAGTTCTAGGTATGTTTGTTTTTTAAATTGTGCTAAAATACACATAACACAAAATCATTTTTAAGTTTACAGTTCAGCAGTGTTAAGTGCATTCACAGTGTTGTGTAGTCCCCAGACTCTAGCCTGAAACTCTGTTCCCATTGAACAGCAGTCCCCGCACCGCTTCCCTGTCCCCGCCCCTCCTGCCAGTGCCTGGGCTCAGTGTCCCACTGTCCGTCCCTGTGACCCTGACCACGCCAGGCGCTGCATGTCTGTGCAGTCACGCCGCGTTTGTGTTTTTGGACTGGCTCACTTCACTTAGCATCATCCTTGGTCTGTTTTTATCCAGTTACTTCCAACTTGGAAAAAAAGATTCCCAATGAGTCTTTTATTGCTACTATTGAGAGAAAAAATTTAAACTGAGTCGGGCCATCATCACCCTTCAGCCCGTTAGCACATGGCCTCGGCCCCAGCCCTCTGGGCTCCGCTCCTCTCACCTCCTCCCGGGCCCGCCCGCCCACCACCCTGCCTGGCTCACCTGCACCCCGGCCAGGAACTGGTTGGTGACCTTTTTAGGTGGTGGGGTGGGGGGACTTGCTCTTTGCTGCACCTTTTAAAACGTGAAACCCGGTACTACTGTGGTTTGCATTTTCTCTGACATCGTTATTGAGTCTTTCTCTGTAAAAATGTTTGTTTGCCTTGCCTGCTGGGTCGTGACTTAGCATTACGGGCCGTGTTACTTGTCATGGTATCGTGGAGCAGAGTGCTTGGGGCCGAGCAGGCACTCAAATGTTTGCTGAAAAAATAAACCACTGTCCTTGCGTAAAGAGTTGTGGGTTGTTTGGAAGGTCGGCACGTGTGGACATCTCGTGAATTTTGCAGCCTGTCTTCACATGTTTCCCTCTCCTCTGTCAGAAAGTTCCAGCGAATCCGAGTGTGAGTCTGATGAGGACAGCACCTGTTCGAGCAGCTCAGACTCTGAGGTTTTCGACGTCATCGCAGAAATCAAACGCAAGAAGGCCCATCCTGACCGGCTGCACGACGAGCTCTGGTACAACGACCCAGGCCAGGTGCGCGTGTGTTTTGTGTTCTCGCTGTGAGGGCCGCTAACGCACACATCGCTTTTCTGCCTCCAGGCTGGGGGGACGCCTGTTGGCTGCCGCTGACACTGAGTTTACTCTCAGGGCCGCGTGTCAGTCTTCAGAGCCCATTTCTTTTCAGCTGCAGAGTTCAGCTTCAGAGCATCAGCACCAGGGCAACTGCCGCTTGAATCACGTTTGACGACGTTGGTAAATCCTGTGCTAGGGAACGGAATAATGGCTTTGCCTCATTAAACGTGCAGCAGGCGGGAGGAGACAAATGGCAGGGTGAGGGAGAGAGGACTCATGGGTCTTTTTAAAACACTTCCTCTGGAAGGTGTCTCGTAGCAGAGCCATAAACAATGTCTTCAGCCCTGGAGGACTTCCTGTTCCTCAGTTGGAAATTCCATGTAAATTCTCTTCCTTGCTAAGTGTGTTTCGGCTAATGATGTCATAGCTGGACATATTTTATTTCTACTTACTGCTTTGTTATAAAGTACTACATAATACAAAATAGTACTTTTATAAGAGATTGGTATTTTACAAATGTATAGCACAAAAATAGTGTGTAATACAATGAAGTTATTAAGTGCAATCAAACATATTCCTATAAAAAGATAACAAAATTTATATTTTAGAAGTAAACTCATACCATCCTGTATTAATTTGAATGTTTGCCTCTAGCTCTCAGGAGAGGGCAGCTCTCTACCTTTTTTTCTCAGTAGAATTAGTTAGAATGCCTGACAGAAATGTACTTCGTGGTCCCTTTTGCCCCTTCGATGTGAGCAGAAATGTTTGTAAGTATCAGTGCATTTTGAAACTTACGGTGACATATTAATCATATATATGATCTTTTAAACAGCTTTAGTGAGTTTTAAGTCGTATACCATATATAGTTTATACAGTAACTGTGAAAGTGTCCAATGCAGCATTTTTTAGAACACTCGCTGGACTGGACAAGCACCATCCTAGTCTGATTTCAGAGCACTTCCGTCTCCATCCTGCGTCCACTCCCCACCCCCTCGGCGTGGGTCCTGTGATGGACTGTTCTGCCCGTCCCTTGGTCTCTGTGGGCCCTCAGTCCTGTCTGAGGGTTCCGTGTGGCCCCACCGTGTGTTTTACTGTGTCTGGTTTCTTGTCCTTGGCACAGCTGGGGCTAGTGAAGGGCTGGTCCAGACGAGGGCCCAGACCCTGGTCAAAGGCGGGAGTGCAGGATGTCTGTCTGCTTGCAGGAAATCAGTGAGCACGGGGTGATTTTTCCACCTTTGTCATCCCAAGTTGTGCCCACTGTAAGGAGGGTGCTGTGGCTTTGAGGGGACCCTGTCGTGTCTCCGTTTGCCAGCTGTTACTTTGGATAATGTCTTAAACTGGTATTTTTTTTTAAGGTAGCAATGTTACTTCTCTGCTGTACCACCTGCGGCTTTAGATTCCCGAAAGGATAAAGGAAGTTATAGTTTTTCACTCTAATATTTCTTTTCAAAGTTTTATTGAGATATTTTCATTGGACACATCTGTAGAACTTTGAAGAAATGTGTATATTTGCGTAAATATATGTTACATTATAGATATGTATATAATATGTATATTTTTGTTAATACAAAGAGAGTGAGAAATGGGATTGCACTTTCTCTTTCTCCAAACTGATGCTCCCCTCTCCTTTTTAATTCTGTATTGCCGTTTATGTTGAGTAAAGTCATGAAACTGGCTGGGAAGGCCCCGTACGATGTCGGCTGAGCTCTGCCTGTTTGCCCTTCTTGCTCATGTTCACGGTGCACCCCACGTGGATGGCTCCATTGTCCCTGGGGCTTGCGACGTAGGGGTTTCTTCCTTCTCGTTCTCTCCTCCTGCTGGCGGCTCAGGGAGAATAGCTGCCTTATCTTCCTGCCCTGTTCGGCCATTCAGATATTTCATCTCTTTGAAGCCAGTGGTATCTCCATCTGGACTGACATATTTCCATTTTCCATAAAATTACTAAGCATGTTAGGTGTTATGTTATTTCTCCTATCTAGAATAGATGTCCCTTGAGTACATGGACCCTGAGCTATTTAAGATTCCCCTCCATGAGCTGCCCTGTGCCACGCTTAGCAGTGGTCTTTCCACCAGGTGGCATTTAGAAATTACTCACTCACCGAATCATGTGGGTGGAGTTCAGGGCAGCGCAGTGAATTCGGGTCAAAAGCCAGACACGGCCTTACCTGGTGAGTGTTGAAAGTTTTTCTGGTTCTGGTGGGAGTTTTCTTCTTTCTGCTTCAGACACCTTCAGGTGTCTCTTTTAAAAACACTTAATCTGCTGGTTACTTTCACAGCATTTTATGTGTTCATTCACTATATAAAATATGCTTTTCTTTTGTGAAAGCATCGTTTTTCCCAAATAAGAAATAGGAGAAACGTACTGAAAAGTGGTAGGAGGGGCTGGGGGCAAAGTGGGCCGACACCGACCCCTCCTGCCTGGCTGCGCAAGCAGCTCGGGGGTCCGACGGGGTCACGCTGCTTCCTTTTATCGGCAGCGTGGACAATTTATTGGTTTGGGAACATCCCTTTAATCTTCTAACAGCGACAGCATCTTCAGAGCGTCAGTGCTCATGACACTAAAACCCACACAGTTTCTGAAGCATCGTCGAGCCTGGCGTGGACTTGACCCCAATGAAAATGAATTCCCTTCTGTTTCCGACAGATGAATGATGGACCACTCTGCAAATGCAGCGCAAAAGCCCGGCGCACAGGAATCAGACACAGCATTTATCCCGGAGAAGAGGTAACTGGTTTGGGTTATTATATTTGTAAGCTCTGAGCAGCCAGAAGTAGACAGATGCCGTTGCTGTTTTCCCCCCTAAATGAAATAATACCATTGAAAGAGTCATTTCGTATTTCCTAATAGTCTCCATTACTGATAACTGGAGAAGGAAAGTACTTGGGTTTGGATTTGGGGTGGGGGATGTTGGCAGGAAACCGTAAAAAGTTTTGGAAGTTTCCTTATTTAAAGTAGGCGTGGCGGCGTCTTTGAGTTGGTTTTTGTTACATTAAAACCGTACGTATTATAATATTTTTCTCATGTTTTCATCACCACTGGTTATGAATTAGCCCGGAGAAATGATCTCAACAGCTGCTACGAGGCGCATGTCCTCTCTCCCTTGGGGGACGCTGGCTGCGCTGTTGTCTCTGTTAGTCACTGTTAGTACGTTGTCCCCCCCGCGAGGAGTCTCACGTGAATGTTCCAGCTCGGCCCCTGCCCTGCCTCGTCAGGACACTCTAGTGTGTTCGACTGGTGGAGTCGAATATTTTTACACGTCAGAGTTGTATATGACTACTCCCTTTCAACTATTTTTTTTCTTTCCCCCCCATTACCTTTTATTTCTGTAAATTATCCTTATTAATCCAAGGATTGCCACTTTATGATTCAGTGTTATATGTTTAAACATAGTGTATGTAAATCCTTTATTTCTATTTAAAACCTATTTGAGTTCATAACAACAATTGGAATAAAGACTGTGAGGCAACGATGGACACTTTGAACTGCTCGCCCCACTTCTACCTCATTTGTCTTTGAAAATTGGCGAGTGTAGCGAGGAACTGCGGGACACGGTCCGTACCTGTGGGGGTCCGCACGTGGGCCTCAGGCCGGGACCTCTGAAAGCAGGTGCTGCAGTGTGGTTTGGGGTGCGGGGTGTTTAAGGGGAATCAGGCAGGAGCGTGGAGGCAGGACTGAGCAGAGAGTGGCTCCCCTGTGTTGGGCCCGTGAAGCCTGGCTTGTTGGAATTGCCTGCTTTGAGCTGGAGTGTCCTTCGTGCCCCCATCTCCCTCTGTCCCTGGAGGAGGCGGCGCCCGTGAGGGGCGCGCTTTGGGGCAGGGGGCTCTGCAGCGGAGCCTGACCTTGAAGGAGCCAGCGGGACATCTGGGTGGCCGGTGGTGACGGCCGAGGCTCTGCGGGCAGAGCCACAGGCAGAGGGTGTGTTTACTCCTGTGCGAGTGAACTTTGGCCCTTTTGAGGTGGACGGGGCCTAAGCAGGCAGCTTCCTACCAAGCGGCAGTCGGTCTCCTCAGGGATGTGCCATGTCGGGGCTCAGCACTGGTCATGTAGGCGGCCGGTTGGACGTTCTGCAGTGGCAGTTAGCTAGCTTGGCCTTGTGCGTGTGTCCATGCTGTTGGGCCCATGTGAAGACCCCGTCTGTGCTCCCGTGGCCGCTTCATTTACGTGCCCATCCCTCAACTCCGGTGGCTGATGACCGAGGCTGGCTGACGCTGTCTGGCTGACTCAGTGGTTCGGAACCTTTTCAGGGGTGGGTGCTCTCCAGTGGACGCCCGCACGTCCCGTCGACCTGTGCTGACTCCCGTGTGTCCACCCAGGAGTGTCTGGCCCAAGACCTTATCCCTGATCTTCCCATTTTTTTCCTTTTAGGCCTCTGACCAGCTGGCATGGCCACGTGCTTCTGCCAGGAGTCCATCTGTATTCTAACCTCAGGCTACTTCTCTTTCCACACAAAGTGGACGACCAGGTATACCGCCTGAAACTGCCCGTTGGGAGGATTTGCCCTCATCACCATCTTGCAAAGCCATCTGTGAATGAGGCTGCGGCACAGCCTGGTTTCAGCTTGCACCCCTTCCTGACCCGGCCATTTGCGGTCCAAGCCTGGGCTTTCCCTCCGATTCCATCCTTCCGCCCTCAGTCATCAGCTGAGGGAAGGGTGCCGGTGTGACAGCAGTGGCCCATCTGCTCGTGCAGCTTGGTTGTGCCCGCTGCTCCTGCGTGTGCTTGATCCTGGATGTAGCCCCTCCCATGTTCTGATGGGTCATCTCTGGTCCCACCTGGCCTGCCTTCGTTGTCTACCAGGGCCCAGTAGCACACCAGGGCTTGTTTTTCAAAGGCATACAGTTCTTCACTCTAGGTGGCGTAGCTTTGCTCCAGAACCCTGGAGGCCGGATCGTGATTCTCCCTGTGCGGCCACAGACTTCTCTCAGCATCTTTCCCATCAAACAGTTCACTGAGCTGTGGGCCCCCACGGCAGGGCTGCTGGTGTCCCGGCTCAGAACCGCTGAGGCCGTCCTCCCCGAGCCGGGCGGAGCTGGCAGCCTCTCGCACCTCTCCGTGAGTGGGCCGGAGCCGTATCCCCCGGTGGGGCTTATGCTGCCTCCCAAACCCGAAGAGGCCCAGTTGATGGAGGATGAATTAATTCGTCTTTTTCTTTGGACAGATTTCTTGGCACTCCCCAGGCAGCTGACTCCTGACAACGGTGTCGCTGTGCCAGGCCCCTGATTCTTTGTGCAGTTTATCTCACCTGCGGAGCATGTGTTTACTTAGGCTTTTAGCTTGATCAACTTAGTAACGTCAGAGGTGCAGTGAAGCAGTATCAGGTTCCACAGTGTGTCCAGAAGGTCAAGAGCTTTCAGTGTGTTCTGACAGTGAGTGGGAGAGTTACTGTAGGCTGGTAGCAAAGCCATAAATGTCTGCTCCATGTGAATCATTTCTAGTCTACTCTGACTGGGGAGGAAATGAATATAGTCAGCAAGTCAGTTGCCATATATTTTGTACCTGAGGTCCGATTAATCTGCTCTAACTGAGCTAAAACACTTGGTGTAGCAGGGGTCATCGGAGCTACTACTTGGCTGAGCTTGTAGTTTGTAGCCATCTTCCAGGGTCCATTTAGTTACTTTAGAAGCCAGACTGGTGAATTAAACAGAGATGTGATAGGGACCATTACCACGTATGGTTCAGATCCTTAAGGGTAGCACTAATCCCCCCTGGCCCCGTCCCCAGAATGATACTACTTTGGATGCCCAGGTTGGGGCGGGGGGTGGTAATTTCAGTGGCTTCTGCTTGAACTTTCCCATTGTGATGGCTCTCAACCTACAGATCAGTGACCCAGGTTGGGGTGGTACCGTCAGCCAATTTCATTATTCCAGTGATACATTTGGGGACCAGGGAAATGACCGCCAGGTGGATTTATGGACTGAGTGGATATACTATAAGCCAGACCTTGATGAAGATTTTGTTCACCACCGAGGCCTCATGTTTTCAACTCCACCAGAGGCACCAGGATGATGCATCCAAGCTCTGAGAATTAGTGTGATTCAGATGCTGTGTCCAGCACTTCTTGACCGCCTGGACTTCCTCTTCCCCAGTGCACTGTTACCTGGGTAGAAAGCCATGGGCCCCTTGGGAAGGGTTGTCATGCACATTTGTGGTGTTGCAAAGGCTTCCTGGGAGCTGGCCACCTCTTCAGACAAGGAATCCTGACTTGACTGGAGCAATCTCCCTTCAGCCACTTGGCCGTCACTCTTGATTTCTTCTGTTGGTACAAACTAAGTAGTACTCGCTCAGCTGCCCGTTTATTTTGTGCCCAAGGACACCGAGTTCTTTTGACTGCATCAGGACTCTGTGTGTCAGACTCCCTGGACTGCCACTTATTGATTGATCGATTGATTGATTGATTGTTCAAGGACAGTTTTCTGCCTTTTCCCCCCAGCCCTCCCCACCTCCCTCCCATTTCCACCCCCGTCCGCCCTGTTATTGTCCACGTGTCCTTTATAATTGTTCCTACAAACCCTTCACCCTTTTCCCCTGAAATTCCCTCCCCTCTCCTCTCTGGTCACTTTGAGCTTGCTGGTCGTAATAATTGTGTGACCTGGCTTCTAATGTCCCCGTCATCTCTGGCCTCTCTGGGTTCAGAGTCCTGTCATACCGGCTGCTGCCAGCAAGCTGTGCTCTGTGACCACCTCTCTTCCAGCCAGCCCTGGCTGCACAGAGAGCCACTGATGTTCCTAGCGATGCTGGTGGCCCTGTGCCTACACATGCCTTTTTGTTTTGGTAACTGCCCTGACCTCTGGGCCTTGCCGTGGAGGATGATTATTGGGTATATTTTTCGGTCATAGATATTACAGCCATTCCAATACGCCCACTTCCTTGAGTCTTCACATTCCTTCCTCCCCGGTCTGTCGTGACAGTTTGGGTATTTTAACTTTACTCCGTGCGGGCCTTCCCACTTTCATGCTTTTAGGAGACATCCTTGCAGGGGGTTCTCGGCATTTCCTGGCATCCTCGACTGGAACGCCCCCGAGTCGGTCAAGTCTTCCTTAACCAATCTTATGTTCTGCCTCTCTTGATCAAGTGCTCTCAGCATCCGGTCCTGTGCAGACTCCTGCTGCTGGCACATGCTGGCTGGTTCTTACAGCTCCTTTGGGGTGTAAGCTCTCCTCCCAGCATCTCCCCAGTGGGGTTGTGCTGTGAAGTGACTCTAAGGCTTGTTGGTGAGGAGGGGAGATTGGGAATTGGGGTGGGGGTGAGGGGTGCAGATGTTTTCAGCTCTCTAATCTTGGCATTAACAGACCTACCTTTAAGGACCAGCCACTCTGAGTTAGATAAGCCCTGTGCTTGGTCCTGCTTTGCTCTCACCTATCACCGCCAATGACAAGAGCTTCTTTGTGTTCCTCCAACAGTCCCCTCTGGCTTTCACATCTGGCTTTCAGTTGCCTTTCTCCTCTGCTGTTCATTTCCGTAGAGCCTCACCTGGAACTTGTTAGATTCCTGGTCTGTGCCAGCTGCTGCTACAAACTCTGGAGGTGGGCATCAAGCCAGTGTGGGATTTAGCAAGCCCTTTAGGTGATCGAAAGGCACACTAACATTTAGGAACATGGTGCAGTGCAAGTGGTGCTTAGCAGTCACCGCCCACCCCATGTTCCTTCCTGCTACCATTCTCTCATGGTCTTACACACCTGTCTCCACTGGGAGAGCCTCTTTAAAGTTTCCAGTTCACCATCTTTAAAGTTTCAGTTGGTGTGCCCTCTGGTGCCAAGGGCTGTGTGCCTCACCTACCCCCACGATGGGGTCCTTGTTGCCAGTCAGGTGGTAAGTGATTTATCTCCAAAACACCCCCTTCTCCTGCTTTCTTGGATCGCTCTTGGTACCAACTGTCCCACATGGGATGTTCCAGAAGCAGATGCTAAGACGGAGTTTGGGGCACATGATGTTTCTTTGGGATCGGCTGTCCGCTCTGTCTGCAGTGCGCAGCGCGGCCGCCTGGCCGGCTTGCCCGTGGTGCCAGCCATGCTGCCTTTGCTGCCGTCCAGTTTTCCCGACCAAAGCTCCTTGCCGGTTCTGTTCCACCGCCTCTTCCACTTCCTTCACCCCCTGCCTTCTCCTTTCACTCGGCGCGTTTAACGTTTTCACTCTTCCTCCCACCCCCGTTGAAACCCACTGCTAATCCTTCTGAAATGATTTTTCCTGCCTTTTCTTTTTTCAGTGTGTTGGGAGTTCAGCCAGAGCTTAATGCTTGTGTTATTTTACAAAAAGGAAGGAAAATAGGCATATAATTTTAGACTTAGGAAGGTTTTTATGTTGTCCACACCTGTCCTATTGCACATGAAGAAATGAATTCAATACTGGGGACCAGCCAGCCCCTCTTATTGATCTAGTTAGTGGTAAAGTGAATGCTGCTCTTTCCTACCAGCCTCTGAAGGAACACACAAAAACCTCTTTTGTCAGATGTGGAGCTAGGAAACACAGTCTATTTTTAAATAAAAATACTTTGCTCGTTCACTTCTAATCTCACTTCTGTTCTCCCCCAGGCCATCCAGCCCTGCCGCCCCATGACCAACAACGCAGGCCGGCTCTTCCACTATCGAATCACCGTCTCCCCTCCCACCAACTTTTTAGTGAGTTCTTGGTTCCTAACAAAATCAGATTTCATTTATTTTAAAATGTAAATAGACTGAATGTGTGTGAATAGGTTAAAATATAAATAGACGAATTAGTGATTCGGTTCTTAAATGTTCTTTTAAATATCCTGTTTTGGTGTTGATAAAGTTGGCCTTTATCATAATGACTTTTGCTTTCTTTCTGTACTGCTTTTGCTACCTACCTTTTTCATTCATATCGTTGGTACCATGTAAGAGCCAGAATTACGGAGCCGTGGAGATAGGAGAATACATAGAACACATTTGCATCTCTTAAAAATCAGCAAATAGTTTATATATCATCTAGTGACCCGGATGAGGAAATCTATTGTATTTATGACAGTAACAATAATATTAATTTTTGTTGACTGTGGTATTGGGCACCATTCTAAGTATTTGCTAAGTATTTGACTTGTATTAACTTATTTCTCACAACAAAACGCTGAAGCAGATACTGTCTGCCCTGTGCAGTGGGACAGTAGTCCATATGTTCCAGGTGAGCGTGAGTAGCTTGCTCCAGTTACTCGGGTGGTGAGTGGCAGTGCGGGTGTGACCCTCAGCAGTCCGCCACCGTCGCGCATGTCACCGTGCGGTATTGCCTCTCACAGTGCAGAGCACATTCGTTCTGGTCACATGTACCTGCAAGAGATTTCAGTCTCAAAATTGGATATAATTTATATACCTTAAAATTTACCCATGTCAAGTGTGTATTTTATGTTTGGTCTTTTCACAGAATTGTGAGGCCACCATCACAGTCTAATTTTAGAGCATTTTCATCGACCCCGAAAGAAACCCCGTGCTCAGGAGCATCAGTTCTTGCCCACCCCCTGCCTTCAGCAGCTGCGAAGATGCTGTCTGTAGCACTTGCCCATTCGAGATATTTCACACAAATGGGATCATGGAATATGATCCCAAATCTGAAATTTGGCTTCAGATTTCACTTAGCAGGTTTTTAAGGTCCATCCGCATTGTAACGTGCCATGCTATTATTCCTTTTTATGGTCAAACGATATTTCATCGTGTGGACATACCATATTTTACTTACCCATTCATCAGTTGGTGAACATTTTGGTGGCCTCCACTTTTTGTCTGTTACAAAAAATGCTGCTGTGAATGTTTGTGGACAAATTCTCGTGTGGACGCGTGTTTTCGTTTGCCTTGGGTATACACCTGGGACTGGAGTTGCTGGATCATTTGGTAACTCTATGCTAACAGTTCAACGAACTACCAAACTGTTTTCCAGAGTGGTTGTTCCATGATAATTTCATTAGAAGTTCTTTTTATTATGTTTAATTTAGACCAGCTTTGTTGAATTATTCAAATCGAAAATAACAGCAATATTGACAAAACAAATAATGTACATTTGGATGTTCTTTAGTCCTCTTCCTACCAAGTTCTTTGTGTGTGTGTGTAAAATGTTTAAAAGAATGATGTTCCATACCGATGGGAAAAACATATCTTTCAGGTTGTCAGCCTTCATGATTAGTTCCATAGTGAGGATTAAAACGGTGGGTTATAAGAATGGCACAAGGAGGAGAGTCTCTTAGGTGTACATCAGCATTTGTGTGTTTTAATTACAGATTCAGTTTTCAGATAATTAAAATCTTAGGCATTCTGCAGGGAGATTTGTTACGGCGTTTTGAGGGTTGGCTTCCCCTCAGAGGGTGGAGGGCCCCAGAGTGGGGCTGCGAGGCGGAGCCTCTGGCACCTGAGGCTGGGCGGAGCCTTCCCGGTTGTTGTTCATCTTGACCATCTTGATGCTGAGTCTGTTTTCCTCTGAGCTCTGAATCGGGTGTGCTGTTACCTTCTTGCAGTCAGGACCTCTGCTGGTTCAGATGCACAGTTCAGTAGGGAAAGGACTGGTAGAGTTGTGGGATTACACAAAACAAGGTCCTAAAAAATGAAGCCACATAGCCTTTGTCTTTCTTCTTTATAGCCTCCGTAATAAACATTCTCGATCGTCTCAGTGTATAAATATTACTCATGCCAGAGAATGCCACCTAAAATGGAACTTTTGTGTGCAGTTATTCCTGGTGTTTGGAAAAACGTTAACTGAGTTTGTGGAGCACTTACATTTTTCTTGCTGGTTGCTCTGTACTCTGACGCATTTCTGCACATGCAAATCACAGCATTGCTTAACTCAGGCTTTGTGTTTCTGTTTGCTTTCAGACTGACAGGCCAACTGTTATAGAGTATGATGATCACGAGTACATCTTTGAGGGATTTTCTATGTTTGCACATGCCCCCCTGACCAATGTAAGTATGTGCTCGTTGGCTGGCGCGTTCTGTCCCTGTACCCCTTCCTTCCCTGCCTTCCCTCAGAGTAAATTTCTTTTCATCTGACTTCTAAGTAACATTTACTTTGTGTCCCTCTGCATGAGCTGCAGGAAGTCTGTGGCCGTGTGTGTCAGGTGGGAGTGCGACGTGTGCTAATGAATCACAGGTTTGGTCCACATTAAATGGTGCAAGTAAACGTGTCAGAATAACCTTTTGAGAGTGTGAAAGATTGAAAAAGAAGGATAAACTGTGGAGTAACGTGTCAGAGCTATTTTGGGTTGGGTGTCCTTCAAAAGAAAGTTGGAAAGTTTTAAGGAGAAGCTACTCTTTAGTCTCAGAACAACGGAAAAAGAAATAGAGCTGGTTTAGGACATCAGGAGGAGCCTGAATTACTTTCATACACTTTTCTGCTTTTGAATCCCAGGAATGTGTCTTCTTTAGGAGACTTTGTCTGACATACAGATCTATGATATTTTTATACAGGTATTAAGGCTGCTCTGTTAGTAATCAGTTCAAATGGCAGTTCTGTATCTGTGAGTCAAAATCTTGGTCTCAAAGCTGGCAGTCTTGGGGATTGTCTTGCTTATTCCGTATTCCAGTTGGACATCGAGTGAATTTGCTGGCGGCTAAGGAAGAGGGTGCAGCAGTTTCCTTTACCTGGTCTAGACACCGTTATAAAACTGAATGAATTCGAGCTGCGGTGTATCCACGTTGAAATAGAATGTTTTTAATTTCTGGTTTGGTTACAATAAATCACACATGCAGTTTGAGAAGCTAGTTTAGTTTTCTGTTAACTTAAAACTTGAACTTCTGTTCCTTTGGAGAGTAAAGATTCAAGTCTTTGCCAAACCTTTTCCTCTTTCTCATTCTCTTTTTCTTTATAAGTGGACATGATTCCATAGTGAGCCTAGTTTAAAACAAATTGTTTTTTTTAATGAAATTTTTTAAAAGATTTTATTTATTTATCTTTAGAGGGGAAGGGAAGGAAAGAAGGAGAGAAATATCAGTGTATGGTTGCTTCCCATGTGTCCCCTGCTGGGAACTGGCCTGCAACACAGGCATGTGCCCTGGCTGGGAATCGAACTGTGGTTGTTTGGTTCGCAGGCCACTCTCAACCCACTGAGCTACACCACCAGCCAGGGCTTAATGAGATTATTTTTATTCCACAGTATATTTTATCCTAGACAGTGTGCTTTGAGAAGATATTAGACCATAAATGTAAAAATAAAACCATTTGATAATACATACCCCATTTACCTTCAGGGCGGACCATAATGGAGAAGGGGGTCTAATATTGGACTATTCTCTTGAGGTCTCGTTGATACATAACATTGTATTAGTTTCAGGGACACAATGTAATGAATGATTCAGTGTTTATATTTATCGTGAACTGATCAAAGCAGTAAGTCCAGTTAGCATTTGTCACTTTGCATACTTATAGAATTTTATGTAGCACTGTTTTTTTTAAGATTTTATTTATTTTTTTTTAGAGAGAAGGGAAGGAAAAGAGAAAGAGAGGGAGAGAAACATCAATGCGTGGTTGCCTCTCGTATGCCCCCTAATGGGGACCTGGCCTGCAGCCCAGGCATGTGCCTTGGTGTGGAATCGAACCAGCGACCCTTTGGTTCGCAGGCCTGCACTCAATCCACTGAGCTACAGCAGCCAGGGTGGACTAATTGTAAACAGTCTACGTGGAAATGCACCAGGAGGCTTTTGAATTTTGTGGGGTTTGTTGTCTTCATGGAATGGCTCAGTTAGGCCCTCAGACCCTTCGTTGCACCACGTCCAGCCCTGCAGAAGGAAAGGCTCTTAGGAGGCCTTCAGTCTGGCTTCCCCGCCGTGAAGCGCATCTCACTTTTCTCCCCCTTAGAGGCTTTGCAGCTACAGATAATTTAGTTACCGTGAAAATATTTAAAAATACCTGTCATCTGATTTTTTTGATGCCCTAGAAGTAGTCTAGATCTTATGTGAACTTTTAGGATACCACCTTGTTCCAAGCAGGAGAGCAGTTTGGCTTTACAGAGACACATTGGTGCATTCCACTCACAATCCATATGATTGGACTTCTCAGCCTTTATAAGGCTTGATTTCTCTTAGGGGTATTGGTTTTAGCAATAGGCTTTTTAAAAAAATTAGATGACATATGAAAATATTTATCATACAGAGCTTGGCATGTAATCAATATCTCACTTCTCATTTTGGGGAAGATGTCTGACAGGCCTGGATTTGCATCTTCTAATTCTTTGTTTTTTTGTGTTTTTTTAAGCTAATTCTTATTATTTATGTGACCTTGGACAAGTGATTATCTGAGTGTTATTTCAATAAAATCCCTCAGCTTTGGCACTGAGAGGCCATTAATGCTAAATTAATTGCATGTGTTACTGTTATTATAAGATAAAGTATAGGACTGAAAAATTCGTGGCTTCAGCATATATTTTATACAAAAATATTCGAGTTCTCCAAATTTGAGAACTTAACTCTGTAATGAGAAGATAAGCCCCATCATTTATGTTAGAGATGTTGATAAAATAAATCGAGTTTTAAGCTGAGTGTTGTACAGTTCATGGGGATTAGATCCATCAAAGGCCTCTTGAATTGGAAATAGCCTCCCAAGAAAAGGAATGATTAAATCACTTTGCTGATCTGATTCATTTTCTTGCTAGAGAGAACACATCAGCAAGAACGGCATGCAAATGACTGTGACGTTAGAATCTCAACCAAATCTAGTTCTGACAAGTTCTCTTAAGGTCTGCTTGGACTGAAGTGGATTGAAAGCCTTGTTGGCTAAGTATAGAGCGTGGAGGGAGAATTTAATCCTTTTATGTAGTACGAATACTATTACTTCTAATATCTGCTATTACTAAGGTCTTTGACAACAGAACTGAAATTATAAAGATATATACATATTAGGTGTGTGACACTTTGTCCTGTCCTCACAGAAAGCCCTATGGTCATTTCCCTCCCACCTTTATTGGCTTTCCATTCCCACCGGCCCCCTGTCCTGATTTGGTTACTTAGTGCCTGGAGGTAGGAGAGTCGAACGTAGAAGTTTAGGGAGGGCGTTTTGCTTGGTATGATGAAAAGGGAGTTAGTATCAGTCAGTAGCCAAAGATGCTTTAAGAAATGATGGTAAGTATTTGTATTATTTGATTAGCCAGGGAGGCTTCCAATCAACTGAGCTCCCAACGTGTAGGAAAATGACAGGTTCTCTTTGCATCTTAGAGAGAGATGGGAGTCTGAATAGAAAAGCAGATCCTGCCTGTCCAGTGTGTGTGTCTGAGGAGGGCCCTGGGGGTGTGGATGAGAGTTCAGCAGAAATAAAGTGTACATGCGAGGAGAGGTCAAAGGAAGAATCTTCCAAAGTGGTTTTCGAAATGGTCTGGGGAAAGGATCAGACTGGCATGTGTCACCCATGCGAGTTGCTTTTGCACATGGTAGAAGGAGTCAAGTTTACACTTTTGCTCTTTCCCTGCCTGCTGCCTCCTTAGTCTTCCCAAGGGCTCTGGTCCTTTTCTGTCCTGTGCATATTCTCATGCCCACCAAAGTGATACTTACGTCTGTGACGTATGGCTCTGTGCTTCACACTTAAACTCACACTGCCTGTCGGGCACGTGTGCGAAACCAAACTCACCATCATTCCCACATACTGCGTTTGAGTACTCAGGACACCCTGTGGATTTCTTTGTGTTAATGTCATTGCCATGTGTCTAGTCACTTAGGCTGAAAACCTAGAAATTTTTCCTTATTGTTTCTTCTTTTTCACTTCCATATCAGATCGGACACTGTATTTCAGTAACATCTCTTATGTTTAAAAAATTTCCTCTCCTTCCCAGTCTTCTCTTCACTTGGCTTCTGGACTGTTTCATTAGCTCCTAGTCTGATCTTCTGGTTTTCCTGCCTTGCTCTGCTCTAAACCATCCCCACACTGTTTACATAGCAACTCATCCAAAATGTAAACTCTGAGAGCCTCTCACTTAGAGTGCTTGAATGACTTTTCACTGCCACAGGATGAGCCCTGAGTCCTTAACATTGTTTATACAATTTGTGTAATATAGTTCATACTCTCTTGTCAAACCTCATCTTGCTTCTCTCCCCACGTACTTTTCTCCTGAACAGCTAGATCACTTGTAATTCTCTCGGCTCCCTCTTATCTGTCATGCTAGAAACGAAATATCCTCTCTTCCCCAACTTAATTTTTCTGGGTGACCTAGAACATCATTCCCCATCTTTGAAGACTCAACTCAAATGTTACCTTCTTTGGTTCTTTTGAACATTATAATCCTGTTTGCGTATTTGTTTTTTAATTGTACTTATAAGTTACATTGTGTCATATTCTATTGACACTTTCTTACAAGCCTTTCTTCCTCCTTTAGATCCTTACTTTTTGAAAAAGGTAGGAGCTGTGACTTATATTAGAGTAACTGTGAACCTAATATTGTCGTAAACAAAGAGTAGGTATTTAAAAAATATGAGTAATGCCCAAATTTGTAGCTCTCAGATCATTTTTAAATATAGAAATAAAAAGAACTTAAAAATGATAGTGGCCTTAGCATGTTGCTTCAGTTGATTTGAGATTCATACCACAAGAAGGTTGACTGTGGATCTCTTATTAAAACGAAGTATGAATTTTACTTGAATAAGCTATTATCCTTTAAAAAAATGAAAAACACCTAAGAACTAAATTTGATTTCTGAGAAAAAGATTTCCAGTAGATGGCATTATAAGACTTTTTGTTTTTCCTACCATTCGTTTGAATGGTAGGAAATTTTAATTCGGTAGAATTAAAATTTGTTTCTTTCTGATTGCTGTGGTTTGTAAAAACGATTCCATTTATATAAAATCATCTTATGGACAGATTGAACGGCCAGAAAAGCCTACTTGACACCTCTCCAGGGCTCCTGAGTCTATTATTTCCCCCAGCTAGTCAGCCAAGCTGCTGCAGTGAACTCACACCCCCATTTCTGCTTCCTCCCTTCATTCAAAAATATACTTATGGAAAACCGTTATATCTAGACACCAAGTTAGTGTCTGATGAAACAATGGTAAAACAGGACAGATTGGGATTTATTTAACATGACTCTGTTTCCCATGGACCTTGAGTATTACAGCAGGTAATGTGTGTGTGCGCGCGATATATATATATATATATATATATATATATATATATGCACGCGCTCGCTCTCTCTCTCTCTCTCTCCTGGTTACCCAGCTAGTGGCTTAGACGGGGAGTCTAGAGCAAGATTTTCGACTCACCAGCCAGCAGTTGCCTTGGGCACGGTGCCTTGGTTTCCTCCTCTGTCCAAGGGGGTAGTAGTGCACCTGCCTCACAGGGTGGTTACGTGAGTGACAGTAGGCGAAGCATCAGAACAGCGCCTGGCTCAGTAAATGCTGCCAGCCATCACTGTCATTATGCTCCATTGTATCACCGCCATGGTCCCCTTTGCCCAGAGCCAGCCGGGCAGCCCGACTTGTGTGCACATCAGTGACCTTGGAATTCGTATGAGCTGTCAGCCCGCTCTCCCTGATCTGCCCGAAGAGTCAAAGTTCTGAACACTTTCAAAAAGCCAAGAAAAAGAAGCATTTACGTGTGGTTTTATTAATTCTTTAGAGGCCATTTGTTTGGTTTTAATGGGTTCTTGTCATGTTTGTGTTGCTCATACAGTTCGTTAAGCACCAGCATTATGCAGGTTTCCTGCAGGGGCCGGGCCAGCTGGGTTCCTGCCATGAAAGCCAGCAGTGCTGGTCAAGCTTCCCGGGCAGCGCTGTCAGCAGCGTAGATTGAGTGCGGCCTTCTCCTGTGGTTGATGGTCTTTCGGGTCAGGTGGAAGACAGGTGCGCCGGGGAGTCGGCAGGACGGTGTTGCGGAACTGACTCTCTCCTTGTCATTGCAGATTCCACTGTGTAAAGTAATCAGATTCAACATAGATTACACGATTCATTTTATCGAAGAGATGATGCCTGAGGTAAGGCCGATTATTTAACAGTTTGCTCTTTTGTTTACTCCACACTTACATCTTTAAAGCACTGAGCTTGGCCAGCTCTGGCTTTTGGCCCTTGGAATATCCCTAAAGTATGGGGCTCACTGCTGAAAGGGTCAGTGAGATACACAGGGTTAAAATTCAGGACGTATTTCAGCTTTGGAGCCCTTGTTTCACATCTGCTGATAGTAACTTTGCATTCGTTTCCAGCTTGTTCTGGATAGGGGACAGGTTTTGATTACTGGCAGTTACCAGAGGAAATTAGAATAGTGAAACTGAATCTGATAGCTGTTGAAATAATCTTATTCATTATCTCCAATGACAAGATCAATGCTTGGTTCATTTTTCTTCCCATATATTTACATATTTTTCCTAATTGTTTTTCACTGCGGATGCTCAGCAGCAGATTTATCTAAATATATGCGAGAGGTTTAAAATTCCAAAGCAAGATTAATGTGAATCTCAGGATGATTCATTGCCTGATCTTGAATTTAGTGATGTCAACAAATCACACGAAGAAATAACAACTAGACAGCCAACAAGCTTGTGCACTTAACCTTGTGTTGGAGTTGGGGTCGATTTCCTGAGCTCCCGGCTCTTCTTGCGAACCTTGTTTAACAGTGTAGCTCGGTCACGGGCAGCCGAGCACCAGGGGGAATTGATAAGCATGATACACGTGCTCAGCTTGCACCTGTTTCATTCAAAGCAAGTCCTAGTGATTCTACCTGTCTTTCAAACAGAATTAAAGAGAAAGGGCCTTCCCTTCACTCTCTAGCTTAAAAGGGCTTTTTGCTTTCTTTTGATTTTTAAGGTCATAAGCCTTCATTTGCTATTGTGGAGGTTTGTGACTCTGGAGTTATCTTACTCAGGGTGATTTATGAACCTGAGCAAACAAATAGGAGGAAGAATTATGAGACAAATCTTAACTTGCATATATGTCATCCGTTAAGCTTGTTTACTGGAGAAATTTTGGTACAAAGTTTTGTAGTTTTTCATAGCCCATTGTTTGCCTTTGTTAAGAATTTGACTTTTTTTGTCCCGAAAGGCCTCTGTTTACCATTGATCTGTCGCAGTGACTCCGGGTGGGTTGGGGGGTCAGCGAGCAGGGCCGGGGAGGGGCAGACCTATCAGAGCCTGTGGGCATGTGGGTGTGTAATTCGAATGACAAGAAGCCCCCAGGAGATTCTGATTTTATAATTGGGTTAGAAAAATATGACATAAAGAAGACTTCCATTTTTAAATTTCTCCTCATTTTACTTACCTGTTGTGAAAGACTGAGTTCGCATTTTCTTGGGAAACCTAATGCCATGGTCGCCTACTTCATTTGTGTCTCGAGCCAGTGAGTTATGCTTTGTAGGATGGTGGTTACACGTTTTAGGAAATTACATGGTTTTTGTATAGTTTTAATAAGACACTTTTTAAGACACTTGAGTAGAACAAGTTGAACCTTTAGTTAATGTTGAGGTATATATTTGCTGTTCTATAATAATTCAATTTTGGTTTATTTTTCAGAATTTTTGTGTGAAGGGACTTGAACTATTTTCATTATTCCTATTCAGAGATATTTTGGAATTATACGACTGGAATCTTAAAGGTAAATAACAGGGTTTAAAGAAAAGCGTAATGCTTCTAGAACATTGTGCCATGGAGGGGGCAGGAACATAATTGCAGTTTGTATTATTTTCTGAAATACCCAGGGAAGAGCGTGACATGAGTATGTCCTTAAGGATCTTTTTTCCCCGCTGTGCACTGTCTCATAAATACCGCGTGCTAACCGATTGTGCCGCTGGAGCCCGGGACCTTTTTCTAATACAGGCTGACAGTGCCTGCTGCTCAGAACGCCATTGCCCATCACCCCGCTGACGTGCACGGAGGTGGTGTCAGTTATTATGAGTAATTACCTTGATTTATGTGCATCTCACTAGTTAATATTTTAAATCTACTGAGCTTTGCTGTAATAAACTTCCAAGATAATAATGTATTAAAACGAAACTTTGGTTAGCCCTAAAAACACAATTCATACACTGTGAGCTACATTAATTCAAGATTGGTACTTGGATGTTAGGTAATAGTTTCCTCTTTTGGAGGCTCTATTCCAGCAGACATTTATTTATTTGTTTTCAAACAGTGTATCGATGAATGGCTTTTCAAAACAAGTTTTTAATAGCATTTCTCTCTTCCCCCTCCAGTTGTATTTGATTAAAATGGGAAGGAGTGAAAACAAGCATATTGTATCATGCAGTAGTTCAGTTATAACAAAAATCTTTATATTTTTGAATTCCTAAAAATAGTTTTGCCCTGTACATCATACAGCACATGTCCTTGGGGCTTCCATTCTCGTTTGGGTCGACCTCACAGCTGACTTCTCCTGATGTTTGCAGCAGCTGCCATGTGACTGATTTACCTGCTAAGAAGAGCAGTGGGTTTTTTAATGCCCCTTCTTCTGGTGGTGTGTGTTCGTCATTATCACGAATCTTAGGGATTAAGTCACAGTGTCTGCTTTCTAAGGCTGTTTTATTTACTTTTCTTCTTTCCCCTTCACTTGTTTGCTTTAGGTCCTCTGTTTGAAGACAGTCCTCCCTGCTGCCCAAGATTTCACTTCATGCCACGTTTTGTAAGATTTCTTCCAGGTAAATCTTCTGGCTTGTCAGTGACCCATTGAGATAGTGCGTCTGGCAATCAGCCTGCCCTTCCCCTTTCAATCTTTAGGGACACCTTTCCCACCACAGACACCGGTGAGTCTCTGCTTCCCCAGTCCGGCACGTAACAATGTGGAATTACGCTCCGTGATCACACCCCTGTGCAGTCTGTGGTAGCCCCAAAGTACGTGAGCAGCGGGAGAACTGATTGATACGTTATGAAGTTCCACTTGATAAAATATCTTGCAAGTGTTAAAATTAATAGGGAAAAATGCATGTAGCTTCAAAACGCATAGAGTTAATTGGAAAACAATGATTATAAAATTTTATGTACAGTATGACTATAATATGCTAAAAATTACTATAGTAATTCTTGTATTGAGGTAGTGGTATTGGACTTGTTTTTACGTATTTTTTTTGACATTTTTATTAATTTTACAGTGATAAAACAAGAATTTATTTTTTCACTACATGAAAAAAATAGAAGTAACCATACGACATGTTTTAAGTGATATTTCAACTGTTTCTAAATGTTTTTCAAGAGTGTAACTGTGAGATATGGCATTATATTTAGTGTTTCTAAAATAGTTGGGTTTATAATGAAATCTTGGGCGTTGTTTCATTTGCAAAGTCTTCGCCGCACCGAATGCATTCACCCCTAGGCTCCCGTTCTGATTCCTCGTTCACCGCTGGTGCCCTCTGTACTTCCAGCCTCCCATCCCCTCAGTTGCTTTGCTTTCACTTGGATCTTCCCTTTTCTCCCTGCATAGTCGCCTTTCTTTGCTTTCTTGCTTTGGTCCCATGTTCTGATTTATGTCTCTCAGCTCTGGTGGGCTCGGCGCCTTCTGCTAACCACCATCCTCCATGGAAATGTCAGTTCAAGCGCTCCCTTTTTCTTCTCCCATATGTGGGCCACTCAGAGATGCTGGTGCAGAAATTTGGCTGCTGTGATAAAACTGCGATCTGTAATTTTGGCTGTTGAGCTTTAAGCTCCTATCTGTGTATCAGCAGTTTCAGAAATTTCATTGAACGCTCACGCTCCCCTCCTCACGCTTGCTGCCCTTTTGCCACCTGGAGCAGGAAGCCTGCCTCCCCCAGGCCTTAGAATTCACCTTAGAGCCTGTCAGACTTGGGGCCACTCACAGCTGGCTTTGCTGGGGTACCCCAGCCCCACTGACCTCATCCCCACCCTGCTGCTGCTGATGTCAAAGCCAGCCTCCAAAAGACCACATCCAGGGACATGCTTCAGATTTAGCCTAACGTGGTACCTGGCCCTGGACCTGGTCTGCCAGGTGAGCTCTGCTTACTTTCCTGCCTAAGGAAGCTCTGCTCCCTCCTAAGGAAGCACCTAGCTCTGACGCACCTCTCTGTGGCTTTTGTTTCTTGTCTATTCAGTCTGGCTTAGATTTTTCTCAGGATTTTGCCCTTTCTTCAGTCCAGTCACTCAGTCATAAAGACTTATTTTTATTTTAGAATAGTGTTACCCACATTTTTAGCATTATTGTTAATGTTTATTTTGTTTGGCAGATGTATTCAAAAGCTCTTGCCCTTTATACATCTGGTTTTATTTTATTGAGAAGTCCTTTTTTCTTTTCAAGTGAATACATTTTATAATGGAGCTGTAGCAGTGAACTTACTATAAAGTGGCGGCGTAAGAATGAGTTTTTTGAAAAGCCTTTTCTTTCGGTATCTATCTGCCTCTAGGAATTTTACGAGTAAGCAAGTCTGTAAGAGAAAGTAGACAGTTTTAGAATCATCATAAAGAAAAATCTTATGTCAGATACTTACTTTGTGGGATTTTTAGTCTCACAAAATGTTTTTCATACTATATAGGGGTAACATGTTGTCATTAAAAAAAAAGGTCTGTTGATTTATTTTTCAAACACGATATACTTTGAAAATATACATACTAAAGAAACCTTGAAGATTTCAGTATGGATACCCAATTGACCAGGCACCATTTATGGTGAAAAATGACCATGTTTTCTTCACAGAATTGAAGTGATACCTCTGCCCTTACCTGGGTTGACTTGGTGTGTGTGTACACGTGTATGTGACAAAGAGTGCAAAAGCGTGTAGAGTAAAAAGTGAGCACCCTTTCTCGGTGTGTGAAAGTGAGTAGGTGCTCTGAGAGGTTTGTTTTGTATTTGTTGTAACCGGTATAGGAAGAATTAATGCTTTTGTCTATCAGTGGGCTAATTAATACTCAGTATGTTACGTCGCTTGTATTTATAGAGAGGCATCCCCTATATAGATACACTGCCTTGTTCTTTAAAACCTAGATAGAATTCCACAGTATGAGTAGACATTGATTTTTGATGATTCCTCTCATGAGGAATATTTTGGAGATCTCTGTTTTTCCCCCCATTATAAAAATACTTCCGGAATAGTCTGTGCATCTATTATTCTTCGGCATTTATGTCTTTGTTTCTCTAAGGTGGAGTCCTAGACATGAAATTATTTGTTACAACAACATGCACATTTTAAATTTGGAAAGATACTGGCCAAGTTTCCTCTAAAAAGGAAACTTTGTAGTTGTTACTAACATACTTTGTAGTTGTGACTAACATTTTTCACAGTACACATCTTCTGTACATCTGCCGGCACTGAGTATTACTCATCTTCTGTAGCTTCGTCTAATAGGCAGGAGGAAGTTCGCTGTTAGTGCTGGCATCTCACACGCACTCCCGGGAGAGTGTGTGGCTGGTTTGTGTTTCGGGGATTTGTTCATGGTCCTCCATTCTCACGCGCTTTTCGTTGATACCCGTTTATTGTCTCTGGTTGAAAGTCTGTCCAGCATCATACTTTTTTCAGTTCTCCGGTTAACTTGTTTTCAAGATAGCTATCTCAGTTGCTTTATACAGATTTATTCAAAATTAAGCTATGGTTTAAACTAAGTATTATTCAGCGAAGGTCAGTTTGCTAGAAGTGAAACCATGAAACAGTTTATTGAGATTTTAATAATTTTTTCAATTTTTTTCTTATCCTCACACCTCCCTCTAGTAGTCAGACAGTTGACATGAACTCTCCTGGAGCCCTTTTAAAGTTTATTTTGGCTGTAGCTGGGGCCGGGGCACGGTGTAATTCAAGCTGGGAAAGCTGCATTAACGGGAGCGCCTGCTCGTGTTTGTGCCATTGCTGTAGCGGAGCTTCGGAATCCTGAGTCGGTTTTGCAGGTCTGTTGTTGGAAGTGGCCCCATTCTGAAGAAGGAGTTCTTAGTGTGGCTGACGGGGCAGGAGGGCGGGAGAGTGTCTCAGAATTCCCAGGAGGCAAGTGCGGCTTAAAAAAACCACTAATCGAGATGGCATCTTAATTTGACTTTATATTTGGGAAGTTTAGGAAATACCTGTTGTTAATACAAATTTTCAAACATGCAAATTATGTAAGGGCGTGTTACTCAGAGTACACTGAAGACATAGTGATGCAGTTACTCCGTTATTCTCCGTGGAGGGAAAGGGGAAGGCATGTTTGTATTTCTTAAAATTGAGTGGTAGACTGCCGAGAAATACTTGTGTAACCAGCCATATTCTTAACACAAATTTCCTAACAGATTGCCCTCCCCACAAATAACCACATAAATAATCCAGCAATATAAATGGAGAGAATTGGGTCTCTAAGAAACAGTTTATAAAGTCTGTCAGTTCGTTAATGACTGTCCAGATTCATTGCCTGAAACACAAACTCCAGTTCTTCCCGAATAATGAGCCGTTGTCACGGGTCTCGGTCCCAGTGCTGGCGCAGCTCCTGCTAACCTTAGCTTACCCGCTCGATTTCTCATTTATATCATGTCCTATTTATCTCAGCCAACGAGATCAAAATTACTTCTTAGCCCGCGGTGACATAGTTCCATAAATCCCCAACATAAACATGTAGCAAAGCAGACAAACCAAAAGAGCCAATTCATTAACATTAGTAAATTCATGGCCGTCTGTGAGCGAATGGCTTTGTTATTTATCTGCTTCAGAAAGTCATTCCACAAATATTTATGAGTGTCTTCTCGCTGGGCTGGGCGTGCGGACGCGCCCTTGCAGGGCTCTGGCAAGACTCTCTGGTCTTGTCTGTCTTTCCTTGTATTGGCATAAGGAGTGCACCCCGTTATTGAACCAGAGGCAGCGGCTCAGTCCCCCTCCTTAGGTTGTCTGCCTTGGGTTTCTACTTTTTCACAGTGCTAAATATCTACCTTTTTAGGTTTTAGGTGCTATTTTAAATATTTAGCAGATTTCAACACGGGTTTACACTTTCTCCTTCAGTATTACCGACTTTGCACCTGCTGTGTGTGTGTGCGTGCGTGCGTGTTTATTTAAAGTTTCCCAGTTTCTGGGCTGCCGCAGGGCCCCTCCCTCGTTGGCAGCTTCGTGCCCAGACTCCGTGGAAGCGTTCCTGCAGGCATGGTTGGCCTTCCGTCTTTATCTTGCGAGTATTCTCCTGAACTGGGCAATACTCCGGGTTTGTAGACTTGTGTGTTCTTCTTCTGGCAACTCTTTTGGTTTTCTAGTCTTTTTGCTTTAAATTCAATGCCCCTACTGTATTTCACTTTTATTTGAAGTTCCGTGAAGTCAGCCATCTGAAACTGCTTGTGGCGAGAATCTAGTGCTGTTTTTCGTTTCCTTGGACTTGCATCTGTTTGCTCCATCCACTGTGCACCAGCCAACCTCTCCCAGTAAAATTTCAAAACTTTTTTTCTGATCCTTATAGGAAAACAGCACTCTGCTCCTTCTCATGGTACCCTGGACTCCTGCTGTACCCTTATTGGTCCAAAGTACTCTTTAGGAATCTTACCAAATACCAGATTATAAGCCAAATCCTATTTTACTCCTTCTTTCCTTGGTGGTTCCTTGTCTCAAGGCTCTGCCGGTCGGTCACCCTTATCCCTGCTGTGCTGACTGCATGCACATGCAGCGCAAGCTGACATGTTCCAGCGGCGATGTCCTCCTTGGGCACCAGGGCCTTGCTGCACCACAGCAAATGCAGGAGGGTCTGGTGCGGGGCAGTGGAGTTCTCTCGTTCACCCGCTCACCTCAGGGCCCCTGGGAGCAGAGGTTACTGTGGGCCCACAATGACAGTAGGCATTGTGACAAACGGCACTAGGGTTTGCTGGGCCCCTTTGCAAAGAGGGGGACCTCACTGAGGAATACATGTCACACAGAGGCGTATTGAAATGTCTTGAGACAAACTCTGATGTATAAATAGGTCATTAATCATGGAAGTTTGTTAATCAAAGTGATTCCTGGGTCTAAGGCAGATGTTTTGTAATGAGGCATAAAAAATGTCACTGCTGTGAACAATAATCTGAGTCAGTAGATAGAACAGGTCCTCATGTGAGTTGATTGTATTTTGTGTTTAGTGACTCCTTGGTTAAGAGAACTCTGTCTGCAGAATGTTTTCTGCAAAGATCCCTCTAGGAATTGTGACTAATCATTATTACTCTGCGGGCATCATGAGGGCCTAGACCTATGGCTTTTTTGTGTGTTTTTTCCCCATGACTGATATGGCCCACACGTAGTGGTCCATTGTGTTGGAAACATGCTCCCACCTGAGAATGGAATCCAGAGCTCTTGCTGTGCTCTGGAAAGCTTTGCACGAACAGACTGTCTTGCTGCCTCTCTCACACTCTCCTCATTTCACTCCATCCACACTTCCTGGAACACTCGAGTCTCTCTCTACCTGTGGACCTGCTGTGAACCCCGACAGTGGTCTCCCAGATTGCTGCATGGTGGGCTTCTCTGCTGCTTTCAGTCTCTGCTCACATGGCTCCTTGTCACAGACACCTTTCTGGACCACCCATTTACACATAGCTGCAGGCCCTGGCCCATTTTGGTCTCCTCCACGGTCCTCACTGCAGCATGATCTGTTACGTAGTTGTGTATTCTCTTTCCGTCCCCTGCAGTAAGTATAAGGGTCTATGCTTGTTCAGATCGCCACTGTGTTCCTGGCTTCCAGGAGAATGCCTGATGAGTAGTAGGGGCTCAGTAAATATTTGCTGAACAAATAAATAAGTATTCAGATTCATGAATGAATGCATGCCTACATATACAGTATCTCTGTAGCAGCAGTGCCATCTAGATTCAGAGTAGCATCTAAGATAAAAAAAAAGAAATCTTGATCTTTACTCTCTTCTTTCTCCCATGTGTAGGCCTTCCCAAGTTCTTAGCCCACAGCAACTTGTGTTAAAGTCCTTCACCCTTTTCCACGTTCTGGCACTCCAAATTCCTTGCCCGTCACTAACTCCTCCAGCGCAAACGGGGCACTCATTTGTGCCCACCCGTCCCCGCCATCTTGGTTCCCTCATTACTTGTGAAGTGTTTGGCCCTGTACTGCTGTTCCTGAGCATATGTTGTGAGTGACCAGGGGAGGACATTGCCCTCTAAACCTTCAGGGCTGTTGTCTTTCCTCTGGGTGGGCCTAAGCAAAGAAAGGGGGTGTCAGGTGGCTGCACGTGTTGGTCCAAAGAGGAGGCAGAAGGCTGTGCACCCGAAGTTAATGCCCGCGTTAAGTGACTCTGGTTTAATCAAGTACCAGATTAATTGGCTTTTTCCAAGGAGCTGTAATTATGTCCTTCATTGTTTCTGTCTTCCATACTTCGCGGTATGTGCTCTGTGAGCCTCAGAATACTTGGTATTTTCCCATGTACTAACTCCGTAATCATCGTCATGATATTAGCACAGGCTCTCTACGTCCATTCATTATGGCAGGTGCAGCACATTAACACCAAAAAGTGAGACCATAACACAGTAATCGCTTATTGAAGACACCCATAAATATCCCCAAAGCTTAGAGTTTCCTTAAGACAGTAACATCTCTTCTAAAGAGCTTTCATCTGTTACCCTAGAAAGAATGATAAAATATTTAAGTTTTGTATTTTACAAACTGTGGTTCTTTAAGCTGGTGGTTTTAAATTTATTTAGGTAGTCACCTTTTCTTATACTCATATACCTCACAAATGGAGCCTTTCATCATTTATCATGTTGCTCTTACCGTTTTAGTAAATGAGATGGTTTACGAGTACTGTTCATCAGGGAAACAAATGGCTTTCGGATTGTTCAGCACCTGGCTGAACTGTGTCAGTTCTACATCACCTTCGTAGAAAAGCTGTTTTCCCCGTCATCTTGTTTTCCTTCCTTGGCGGATTGGCTGTTCACTGGGCAGCCTCACTTTTCAGTCTCTCTCTCCACACCCCGCCAGACGGAGGGAAGGAAGTGCTGTCCATGCACCAGATCCTCCTGTACTTGCTGCGCTGCAGCAAGGCCCTGGTGCCCGAGGAGGAGATCGCCAACATGCTGCAGTGGGAGGAGCTGGAGTGGCAGAAGTACGCGGAGGAGTGCAAGGGCATGATCGTCACCAACCCCGGCACGGTACGTCCCGGTGCTCGCCCCGGCAGAGGCGGAGGCCCTCTTTCCAGAGTCGAGTGTTTCAGAAAAATGGTAACAACTTTTCGAAAGTTACGTACTCATTGCTTATCCTTGAGTCATTTTTAAGTATGAAGTAAATACGGAAAATATTGCAATGTGGGCATATTTGGTAGTAAGTCCGTCTTAATAAATTTAGTCTGCTTGTGATGGAGAGCTTTGAAGTTTTTAGATATGTTCAGGTCTAATTTTTCTCTGGGTATAAAAGTAAAACATCTTCAATGTAGAAAATTAGGAAAGTTGAAGAGCAGCCCAAAGAAGGCAATAAAAATGATCCATAATTCCATTCTGCAAAGATGATACTATTCAGCTTTGTGGTCTTTTTAGGGTAGATATATTTCAAATTGTTTTGGCATCATACTGGTAAGACTTATTATATTAAATATTAAATATTTAGACCTTTTCCTTCTCAGCCTGTCTAGAAACCACCACAAATACCATTTTCCCATAGTCTTAAATTTCTTTAGGAGTGTAGTGAAAAAAAAAAAAAAAGGCCCTGAGTTATAAAATTAACTCCTTATGGTTGGGAGCCCAGGTCGCCCCCAGGCCTTTGCTGTAACAAGTACTGCATTGCATTTGTGTGTGTGTGTGTGTGCGCATGCTTGTGTCTTTGAATATTTGTCCATCTGACTCCTTCCGATGAAGTCCTGTAAGTGAAATTAGTCATGTGAATAGATGCACTTTTGAGGTTTGTGGTACATGTGGCAAGTACCTTCCAGAAGGGCTGTGAGGTTCGCTCTCAGACTCGCAGGGGAACAGGCAAGTGCCCATTGTCCATATTGGCTGTACTGTTTTAACAAAAAAACGCTGTCAGTTTGATGAGGAAAAACATTATTTAGTTCAGTTTTGTGTTTATTTTGGCTTCTAGCAAAAATCGACATTTAAAATGTTTATTCGCCTTTTATGCTTTCTTTTGATGATGGTCTATTAATGTCCTTTGTCTAATTTTCTTATGTGGTATTTGTCCTTTTGTCCTTTTCTATCCATCTGTTTGTCGATCTTTTGCCATAATTGTCACATATATTTCTCATTTCTTTTTACTTATTATTTTGTTTTAAAATTAGCTTCTAATGTTGTTTAAATAAAGATATAAAAATTAAGAGAGAAAATGAAAAGATAACTAGTTTTATCTTATAAAGAAAATGCTGTTTTATAATTAAAATTATTGTTTTCAGAATATGTTATTGTTTCATAAAATAGTTATATATTGGCATCTTACCAGGATAAGGTTTTCCAGAAATGGAGAATTAAAATGCTTCCATGTAAAGAAACAGAGTAATCGATTTACACAAAGCTGTTGTTTTAAAAAGGCTGCCAAATTGTTTAATAGCCATGATTCATAAAAATAAAAACTCTGGACCAACTTTTTGTAGCATGACGATAACATCTGTACCAGCAGAATGTTGCTGTTTGCAAACACAACACTCCAGCTCATGCTGGTTATTTTAAACAAATCTCGAAAATGAAAGTGTTTAATAAAAAGGTTTTTAAACATAAAACTTAGTTAAAGCTAAAAAGTCCTAGTTTTTTGTTTTTAAATATTTTATTTATTTATTTTTCGAGAGAGGGGAAGGGAAGGAGAAAGAGTGGGAGAGAAATATCAATGTATGGTTGCCTCTCATGCGTCCCCTGCTGGGAACTGGCCTGCAACCCAGGCATGTGCCCTGACTAGGAATCGAACCGCGATACTCTGGTTCACAGGCCCGTGCTCAATCCACTGAGCTACGCCAGCCAGGGCAGTCCTAGTTTTTAATGTTGTATTTTAAGCCATAGAAGTCATTGGTCAAGTAGCTTTAAAAGAAATATACAAGTCATAGCACTATGAGAGCATGGCTGTGAATTTAATTTTTCTTCTTAGATAGTTGCATAAATTTACATTTCTCCTGTCGGGTTTATAGCTGGGTCAGAAGATGGGTCGAGGTGATAGTAGACATTATCTCTTCATCTTGGTAGGTCTGCTTCAAGCGTCCCATGATTTACAGTGGACACTTTGGGGACACTCTTACCTTGGAGCTTCCTTTCATGGCATGGTTAAAATTTCCTGAAATCCTAGAATCAGTTGGAGAGCTTTTAAAAATATAGCAAGGCCATGATTATCCCCGCCCTATACACTCCAGGGAGGCCCAAGGATCTGTAGTTTAAAAAAAAAAAATCCCCTGGTGCTTCTCATTCATTCATTGGTTGTTATTGAGCCAATGGCATAGAGGACATTTACTCCACGACCATGATCATCATTCAGCTCGTCGCTGCGGGGCAGCTCTGTGAGCTGGTGCTAGTGAAGTGTATAGGTTGTACGTGATGCTTGTCCAGGTGCGGTCTCACGGCATGTCCATACAGAAGGGGTCTGTGATAAATCTGTGGGCCAGTCCCTAAAAAAGCCAGCCAGGAAAGCCCATAGTGAGGTCTTTAAGGAATTGAGAAATTGTATGTTATTGGCATGTTTAAGTGTACATGCATGGCATGGCGTGTGGCCAGTTTGAAGATGCTGAGGAAACCACGTTAGTCAGGATGGAAGGTTTGTGTTGGAAAGTAAGTGGGAATAAATTAGGAAAGGTAAATTTGGATGGCAGGCTTTGGGGCATGTCAAAGTTCATTCTTGTTTAGTACTTACCTGAACATATTATGTTTAAGGGAGGAAAGTATCCTGAAAACCCAGTAACATTCAAACATCTTTCATTATTCTGAGAGTAAGGCAGAGTGTGCATGGCGCCACCTCTCACCCTCTGCACTGCTTGCTTTGGAAGGTCACCCAACGGCAAGACTATTGGGGAATTGATTAAATTTTCCAGCCCTTATGGTCACATTAAGTACTTGATTGCTACAGAACTGAGAAGAATCTCCCTGTCTCGGCACTTTGTGTCTGCTAGAGAATATTTTGGTCGTTAGTAAGAAGGGTTTTTATTCTTCTGCAAGGATGGAATGATAGATATTGTAGGGTGTGGCCAAATTCTAGAACTTCCTTCATTCCCCTCCTCAACCTGTATAAATTTAGAGATGCTATAGATATTTCAGATCACCATTTCCTCATTGATACCATAGCATGGTGTTTAATGTCATGGAAACGTGAATAATTCAGTAGCATTTTTCAGTTGTGTGATTCCCCTTTTAAAAAGGAACCTTGCTGTGTTGATGCTCAGGATACAGGAAGCAACTCTCAGACCCGGAGAGCCTGCTGTCACCGTGCACAGGCTTTCGTGCACTTTTACATCAGGCTATCTGTGACCGAGGTCTGCTCCAGGTGTTAATTTTGAGACCAGGGGTCAACTTTCGAAGAGGCTAGTGAGATTTTGATTAAATAACATTTAAATATTCTTAAACAACTTAAATGTAAGTTGTTTTTAAACTATTCTGGATGAGTTGACGCAGACCCGTTCATTTTTGTCACCTGCTTGGATTTGTCAGGTGGTAACTGGGGTACAGTTGTGGATCGGGTAACCGGCTGGTCCCAGCTGCTGGGGGCTTTCCCACTTTTGATATTGCAACTCCTCTGTCCCGGACAGTCCAGGCCACCAACCAGACTCCAGTCATTGGTCATTGCTGTGTGACAGAATGAAGCTTATTGGCCTCCATTCAGTTCTGTCCTCTTTGGTCTAAAGCACCTGAGCCAAAGATCCCACAATCTCCTAGTGAGAATTTATTTGCTTTTTTATTAGGGACTGTCCAGAGAGTCCTTCAGCAAGAAGGTTGCTAAAACATTCTCTCCATGATTTTACGATCTTCTTACAAGCTTAAGTTTTCAGGTTGAAAGGTGTTTTACAAATGGTTCTTCATATTTTAGTAACTCAAGAAGGAATGCACCACGTTCACTTTTTCCTTTATTAGACTTGGAAAAAAACCCATGAGACTCCCTGTTAAAATTAAAAATGGCCTACATGGACATAATAAGAGAAGCTTAACCATTTGGCCTTGTAGGTACCATACCCTCTAATTTAAAGATGTGGGATTAAAAGGATACACAAGGTGCACAGAGAACTAACGGGGAACAATTACACAGAGGCGTATCTGTCTGTGTGTGCGTCCTGGGTAGAAGCGAGCTATCCATCTGAAATATAAAGTGAAAGCAGAGTAAGCCAGCCAGCGCGTCTCTTCTCCGTGATGTGGAATCCTTCCCCTGTGCCTTTGGAGAGGTGAAGGAAAAGTTATATCTGACTAGGTGTCCTTTTAAAAGTTGAATTTTTTAAAAGGTTTCTGTGTGGACTGCAAAAAAGGACAAGATCATTGTTCATTATGCCAAATGGCACAGACTCATTTACAGGGATGACATTACAGTTTTTATATGGTATAACTGCTATGATTAAAGGGTTTAAATGACATTTTCCCTTTGGGGATGAGGCTTTCCTAGAAAAAATCCGATTAACTTCTTTCCTGCTTAGGTTAAAGTCAATACTTAAAGACTTCTTCTGGGAATAAATGGCTTTGATTTTTCTCTGTAGAAACCAAGCTCTGTCCGCATCGATCAACTGGATCGTGAACAGTTCAACCCCGATGTGATCACTTTTCCAATTATCGTTCACTTTGGGATACGCCCTGCACAGTTGAGTTATGCAGGAGACCCACAGTAAGATATTTCTCGGTGTTTGTCTTAGCCAATTTCACCTTCTACTAACAGCAGAATCAGCAGAGGAATACCCTTGAGTAGATGTTTTCCTTTGTAAAAAGTGAATGAGTCATGTTTCCAAATTGCAGTTACCAAGTGAAACAAGTGTTGGTAGCTCCTGAAGAATTATTTCCTCTACATATATAACTGTAGGAAGTTATTATTCAATAGATTATCCTTGGCAATCATGGTCAACAAGAGTCCTGTGTGTTTTTAATCTTTAAGGAGCATTTCATTTATTTGTCATTATAATGCTTATTATTATTTTTATTTTTCCAGTGCCCTCTAGAGGAGAGTAGCACCCTGTGGTTCCTAGCACTGCTGAATTTATGCAGAGCTCTGTTTTTGGAGCATCTTAATAAGAGCTCAAGACCCCTCGCAGAGGGAAGGGTTGTGCTGGAAGGAGGAGCCATGACTTCTGACTTTCAGAGCTGGTGTTTCTTTCCACACTGGGTTTTTAAAAAAAAATATATATATATATTTATTTATTTTATTTTTTAAATTAATCTTATTTAGTTATTTTTCAAGTACAGTTTTTTGTCTATTTTTCCCATCCCAGCCTCCCCCGCCCCTTGCTCCCCTCCTCCCTCCCATTTCCAAGGGGGAGGGATTTAGAGGAACAAATAGGAAGGACACAGGGACACACTGGGGTTTTTCTAACCGGCACGGCAGTGTCTTTTGGGAGAAGAGGCGGCCCTGTGGGATTGGACATAGCGCCGTTGTCTTCTTCAGGAGAGTTTGAAGTTTTGTTAAACAAACATTTTCCTGGGTGAACTTTTTTTTAAAGGATTCGTAGTGGGAGAAAAGGGCACGGGATATTTTCAATTCATAAATACAATTCTGGCTAATATATTAGAAGAGGCTAAAGGGCTTTGTTCTTTTTTTCCCCCTCTTTGGATAAAAGTATGAAGCAGTGACCCAGGCACTGTGTAAGTACTCCTTTCTTTCCTCCATTCTCTAAGAAATTGTTATCAAAAAGGAAAGACCCAGCTGAGGCCGAGAAAGGAGCCATTTCAATGATAGAAGCAGTTTCAAGATGACAAAAAAAATACTTTGAAAGTGGCTTCCTGTCAGAAAAATGTTAGTAGAATGTGATTAGGCTCTCATGGACTCAGAAGGCGGGAATGGGAATCGATAAAGGGCTCCGTGTTCTTACTTCCCAGGACGCTTGCGCAGTCTCCTTTAGACTGACCCAGGGTCTCACACGCTCGGCTCCCGGTGTGCGTGCTTGTGTCACGGTATATCCATATCGGTGTGCACCATTTGTCTCGTTTCCCCCCCAGTGGAAGAGTGGATGCAGCCATGTAGCTTAGGCGTTGGCCAGATGGGGTGTTCTTTTGTAACTTTCTCCAGCTAGTACTTTCAGTGTAGGCAGTTTGGAGACTGACAGTATCCTTATTAAGGGGTCTTTCTCTCAACAAGCATCAGAAAGTACATATTTAAATAAAATGTGTTACTTTCAAAAAGATCAAATGAGAAATGGCACATGTTTTTCTTGGTTTTGTATGTCTCCTTTGGAATTCTTTCTAGAGAGATTCATCCATATAGTATCACCTCATTTTCAACCCAAATAAGAGTAATCAACTTAGGAACTAAGTTCAGGCTGACTCCTGGTCATCCTGACCTTCAGCACCCCCAAACCCTATTCTTCCTTAGAATGAAGGAAGGTGTGCTGCCATTATGATATTAAGAATAATGCGATCTGTGATTGAACAGGCCTGTTAGAACAACTGGCTTTATTGGGCTCCCGATTTGCCTTCTCTTTGTTTACGATGTGTCTCTGTCCTTTTCCTCAGGTACCAGAAACTCTGGAAGAGTTACGTGAAACTTCGCCACCTCCTAGCAAATAGTCCCAAGGTCAAGCAAACGGACAAACAGAAGCTAGCACAGAGGGAGGTGGGTGTTCCGCCCTGTTTTTCTGTGATCAGCGATGATGCACTTCAGGTTTATTTCAGGATTGTCATGTGGCGCCGTGGTTCTAGAGTAAGATAGACAATACTTTCAAAATAGCGTACTTTACTCCGTTCTTCTCGTTAGCATGCTAAGTGATTTTTTAATCTTATTTGTATCTAAGGAACCATTTTTTTCTCCTAAAAAGGATAGTTTCTTTTCCTTTTTTTCTTGATTGTTTCTTAATGGATTGCTATCATTGGGAGTAAATATATCTTTTATAGAAATTAAAGTGTAAAACTTAGCAGATCAGCTTTTTATCATTAATTAGACTGCACATAATACAACTTTGGGTCTTGCGCAAATTTCTCCGTCTTAAGGTTGTAAAAGATTATCCTCTATACATCTACCAGTTTAGTCAGGTCAGTTTATCTTGTAGGGTTTTGTGTTCTACATTCCACATTTCTCTATTAATGGGTAGTATTAGTCCTGTATTCCAGGATCACTTATGTTTTAGTTATCATTTTAAGAGTAAATGAGTTTGGTATCAGAATAGATTTTGTCTCAATGAGGTCTTATTCTGCTTGGTGGTATGAGAGCAAGGCTTTGAAGCTGGGAAAAAATGTTTGAATTCTGGTTTTGTCACTTACTGTGACTTGAGCCAGTCGGCTTCATTATGAAGGCAGGAGGCAGGGCTGAGAGAGGCTGAGTGTGGTACCCTGCCTCCTGTTGCACCCAGGGGAGGAGGCTGTTGTGTGGGCTCCTGAAAGATTCCATTCCACTTTCCTCTGATCGGTTAGGATGGTGGTGGTGACTCCTTTGTTATTACACATTTCTATGAGATTGGTATTGAGGAAGCATTCACATTTAAAAATACTTTTATGATTAATTATTTGAAAGGCAGTAGAAGGAGAGTCAGTTCCTGATTACATCTTGCAAAAGTTTTGGATTACTGTCTTAATTTAATAAAATGTACCTTGGCTTGTTTTTATAATGGGCTGACAAATTTGAAAACAACTTTTAAAATTATGTGGATTGCAGGTTAATTTACTGATTGCCTTCCTTAGATGTAAATGCTTGACATAAGGCTTGATAGAATTATAATTTTTACATGCTGATTTCAAAACCCAAACACTGCACATTGTGGGGTTTTGTTTTTTTTTAATCAGTGAAAGGGCATTCTGAATTTGAACTTGCCAAAATGGTAGATTTAGTTTAGACTTTTTCTTATCTAAGTTACCCAAGGCTTTGAGCATTCTGGCCCTCGTTTCGAGTAAATTATTATAATTTGGCATGAAGAGGTTCGAATACCTGAATGTAAGAGTGATAGCGAATGAATCTAGCTTATTTTCTAATGCTTGATGTCTGGCTTAATACTGCTTTACTACCACCAGGCTGCTCATCGTGATGAGTTCTTTTCCAGGAAGCGCTCCAGAAAATTCGGCAGAAGAACACAATGAGGCGAGAAGTGACGGTGGAGCTGAGCAGCCAGGGTTTCTGGAAGACCGGCATCCGTTCTGATGTCTGTCAGGTAACGATGCTCTGAGAACACAGTCGCACCTCTCCCTCTCCTCCAACACCCTCTGGCCCTGCCATTTTCCTCCTTCGGGGACGTGGCTACAGAACATACCATCTTGTAGCTAAAGGGGACGCCAAACATACATTGTTTTGTACTATCTGGGTTTCGTTTTTGCCGTCAGCTTTGGTGTTGTCTGGGTTGGTTCCGTGGGTGTGCACACCCACATGCACGGTGGGCGGGTGGGGCGACGCACCCCGCTGCAGCCCCTGTGGAGGTGCTCGGCAAGGAGGTGCTGCCGCACGCTGCAGGCAGACTCCCGGAGGCCGCGTGTGCCGGCTTTACAGGCCGGGACTCAGCCGCACCGCGGAGAACTGACGGCGTTAACGAACAGAGTCCGTGTAAATTTTATATTTGAGCCAGATGATAGTATGTTTTCATCAGATGCACTCTGTAGCGGAACATGTTGGATGTGTATGCTCGACTCACTAATAAGTGTTAAGCATCTTTGTTTCCCCTGTGGGTGGAATTTACACCAGATCAGAGATCCCCCGAACCCAGCGTATTCTTTGACTTTTCACCTGCTTTTTTGTTATGATTAATATTGGCTGCTGCTCTTCATGGGAATTACAGTAAAGGTCGGGGTCAGGTAAATGTAATTTGCTGTGTTTAGCATTTTGAAGAATTCTTTCCAGCCTTCCACTTATCTGTTTTGATGGTAGCATATATTGTAATAAGTTCAGACACTCTTAGGTATTCATTTCATCATAATGGGTTTTTAAGAAAAAAATCAATGTTGGCATTTAATTATTATATTGAACAGTGGGATTTAATCCAATAATTAAAGGTATTGCTGTGGAATTCATTTAGCATGTGATGTCCAAAGCTAAAGAGTTTTGTTTTAAGATGAACTGCTATTGATGCAATGTTGCTAAATAGTTTGAGAATAATCATCTGCAGTGGTACCCAGCCACGTCCTCCAAGTCTCCACTTATTTTGCCAATTGACCAATTTTTTTCTCTCTAAGTACCTTCAGAAGTGAATACTTTAATCTGTCGATTTTGAGGACCATTTGAAGCTGTGTTCCCAGATTTTCCTGTTTGCTAGTGTTTGTCCGAATCCAACATAACTTCATCCTAAGGTAGACACCGTAAGAACAGTGAGCAGAATGTTAAACAGTCTGCTTAAAGTCTGGTGACCTCAGTGACAAGTCCAGGTGATAGTTTAGGGACGCCCTAAAATTGGGGAGCAGTGAGAACTGGCCTGGACCTTAGTGGCCTTCTAGTATGGTGGTTCTCTAACTGGAGTTTTTGTTTTATAAGAAAATCCTGTGAGGGCCTACTTTGTTTCTTCCTTGGAACATAATTTTTTTAAAAGCATTGAGTCCTTTTGTCCCTTTCTCTTGGTAAAACAAGTCGGGGTGCCGAGTGAATGCTCTGTGCCACTGCAGTTTTGTGTCTCTCGGCTGTATCACTGATGTCCCAGTCTGGGTCCTCAGCGACATTCCAAGTAGCTTGAGGACAAGGTGATCTTCTCTCTATGTGTATTGTACGTTCTGTTTGGCGGTTGATAGGCAGAAGCACTCAGTCGTTTTCTTTGACTAACAGGTCGGAGAAAATGGACACTGATGAAAACACACAAAGGTGAACACTTCTTGATCTGATAATAGTTCCTCCCTCTGTAGGACTCTCATTCTCCCAAGACAGCTATCTGTTTAGAAGCCATGCTTACTGTCAACCAATTCAGTGCCAGCAGGAATTTCCAGTTTGCCTGTGGTGAAGAAGGAAACTTTTATTCAGTGCAAAACAGGTCCACTGTGATGCGGCAGCTGTGAAAACAGCATGGCCGCCGGGCAGCCCCGGGGCCAGGTGGCTCTGGGACCTGGCCCCTCTCCGCTAGCTCCGCTCTGCTCCTTGATGGCCTGCCGCGCTCCTGGCCACTCTGCTTGGTGCTGCGCTGCTCATCTCTGCTGCGCTTTGGGCTGCTCAGTTCTGTGCCAGTCTGCTCTGGTGAGACACCTCCCGTGTTTCAGCTCAGCCAGGGAGACAAGGTCTTCCCTCTTCTGTGGAAAGGGCAAGTGCGCTGTCAGAGCCAGAGGGTAGCTGGCTTCTGTGGACAGAAACTCCTGCCCCTGGGCCCTGATTAATTTGTTCGCATGCAAATGAGGCCTCCAAATCCCTGCAGTTTGAGTGATCTAAAAGTCACTGTCCTGATTGGTCAGAGTAGAGCCTTTCTAGTTGGTTGGAGCTGCGCTCTGATTAGATGGGGAAAGCCTCAGTCCTATTGGTTGAAATAGGATTGCAGGAAGTCTTTTATAAGGGCTGGCTCAGGTGGCCCGAGCACATTGCAGGCAGTGCAGACCTCTCCCTGAGTGCAGCTAGTTTAGGGTTAGAGACCCCTGCATAGACATGGCTGCCAGGCTCCTTTTTTAAAAAAAAATTTTGAGCCCACTTAGCCACCAGGATCCTTTCTTAGTAGGTGTCCTCTTCCTCTGGGTTTACATTACATTCTCCAGTCCTCCTAATGGAATTCTTTTATGAGATTTTAGTAAAATTATCCTTGCCTATAAATGACTTGATGAAGAGTGTAAATCGCTGACTGTGAGTTCATAGACTGAATACAGGAATTGCTTTATGGTTTGTTTGTTTTTTTAAGTCTGCATATAAATTAATGAAAGTGTGAGGCAGCCAGCTACCTGAGACGTTGATAAAAGTGGAAGAGGAAGAAATCTGAGCACAACGACAGTGATAGGGAGGGGGGGGCAGGGGGCGTGGACTATTAAAGTCAACAATAAAACTATAAAGTCCATGTGTTTTGGGGAAATAGTTCCTTGTGTGCCCAAATCAAATCATCCTGGAGTCATTCTGTAGCCCTAGGTGAACAGATGAAGTATCAGTTTATTTATCTCGACATATTGAATATTACTTCACCATCTGTGAATATTTGGGGAGTTGTGAAAGTAAACTGTTACCTACACTGAGCTTAAAACATCAACATATAGAAACTCCACCCTGTGAGAATTGAAGGTGTTACTCAGCAACTCATTCACCACATAGGAGCAACCCAGTTCAAATTTAAATGCAAAAACCTAAAGTAAGGTAAACATGACTTAGGGGAGGATGGCCAGGGTAAATTAACTTCATTGACTTTTGGCTCAGAGTGAGTATTTTTGCAGTGAATAGTTTTATGTTTATTTATTCATATCATTGTAAAATTTATGTTTATTTATACTGTTCCTTGTTCTAGAAAGGTTGTAATTCTTAAATATGGGAGTAAACACCATGCCTATGCAAGCAGTAAGCTCCATGGTGAGAATCGTTAAATTTTTCAGTCCTGTCTTTGCCATGTACTTGAGTCTCCGATGCCTCTTCTCACTTAGCTCTCTGTTGTGCTGTCCTCACCCAGGAAACTGGGTTCTGCAGCCCCATCTCCAGTTTTGGTCACACTCCCAGGGAGTACACGTTGGTCATTTTTCGGTTCTTCCGCGCGCAGGGTCCTCAGGAGCCCTGCCGCCCTCCCTGTCTTTTCTGTCTCACACACGACGAGACCGCGCAGGTCTCTGTCCTCACAGACCCTTATTTAGGCGTTCCTGGGGATGCTCTGTCATCCAGTGTTGTGTATGTATTATTCGTAAGTCTAGTTTGCTGCTCTGGTTGCCCTGTTTTGATGAGAGAATTTGAATAGATTTAAAACTGCACATTGCCACTGCCTCACGATCTTCCAGGGGAACTTTTTAAAAATGAAAGCATTTGTCAGGCATGTATTAGAGGAGGACAGAAAGATGCTCAATGTTTGCATGCATTGCAATAGTGCAGATTGTTAATTTTAAAAACCGAACTTGCGATTTTAACAGTCTTGTAGGTAATAGTAAGACTCAGATGCCTGGGATACTAGATGGACATGGGTCATATTTGCCTTTCCATGATGTCTGAGCAAGTTTAGAGGAAGTGGTGAAGGGACTCAAAGCTATTTCACATGAGTAAAGGTCCAGGAAATAAGACTCAGGCTAGGCAAGAGAAGATGTGGGGACATTGCCATTTTTTAATTTTTAATTTTGTCTCTAGTGGTAGAACCAGATTCTGAGGAATAAGGAGACAGATTTGGGCTTAATGTTATAATAATTTTCTAATAATCAGAGTACTCTAAACACGGTTTTTGTTTTTTTTTTTGATGGGTAATGGTTTCTTTCTCACTGGAAGTATTAAACATAAACATCTCGCCAGTTTGAGTGCATCTTTAGGAAGATAGTGGCACTGTGCCATCTCCTTGACCTGCACGCCTCCGGCTGGAGCGTCAGCTCTCGTGAGCTCTGTGCAGTTTAGATGCCTGCAAAACCGCATTGTTTGGCCACGTGCTTCCATAGTATTGTCTTTTTTAAAAAGACGGGTTTTTTTGTTTTTATTGTTTTTTAAATACAGCGCTTATAAAAACAAAGTCAACAAACTACCAATACTTCAAATCACAATGCCATATCTATGGAAAGGCCTCGAGGTCAAAAATAGTGTCTCCATCTTTTTCTCTGTACAGCTCTTGTAAGCTTTGCACATGGAGGGGCTCAGTGTGTGTTTATTGAACTGAATGGGAAAGGACGTTCTCTTGATAGAAATTCTGTTTGGAGAACTAATCGTTTTAAGTTAATAATACAAGAAACTGATTTCTATAGTTTCAAGCAAAGCCATTTGCATGTATTTTTAAACAATGCCAGCTTAAAATACTTTGAAGACTAAAAAGATACAAAGCATATGTCAGTCATTCTGTGGGCTGTGCCCATCCTCCAGCTTCTGATGAACAAGAATGACTCCTTTATTCTCTTGAATTCTAGGGAAACGTTATTAAAGAAAAGAAAAAGATACACCTTTCATGAAATTATCTCCCAATGAGGAATCTATAGTGAAATGAAAAGTGATTGGAACAAAAAAGTACAAGTTCTATGTTCTTAGGCACCTTAACTGTATTGGTGGTTTTATAAAAGTCGCCCTTGAAATGTTAGAACATGAAGTGTGAAAGCTGGAAAGCCTTTGAAGGTCGTCTGGCTGAGGCCTTACCTAAAGGATAGTGATGGGCTTCAGGGGCTTGTGAGCACATTAAAATGGCATGCAGCTTCTGCATGTACATGTGCAGGGGCACTTTGAGGGAAGAGTCATATTCCTTAGATTCTCAAGAGCTTGACCATGACGGAATTTCAGAATCGGTGAGTCCTAAGCCGTTCCCTTTTGAATTCAAGCAGACGAGGAGGACAGAACTTGTACTAGCCTAAGGGCTGCTGCGGCTTCTTGTAAGCAGTTTTTTGTATTTGCTTATTTAATCCTTTGAACTGTCCTTGAAAGTAGCTACACGATTTTCCTGGTGTTACAGGTGAGGAAACTGAGGCCGAGAAGTGAAATAATTCTCCCCAAGTCCCACAGTCTGTGGGTGACGGAGCTGGAGTTGGACCCGGGCATTCTGGTCACTAAACAGCTAAGGCCCACCGCCCCTTGCAGGTGACTCGTCAGGACTCCCTGCAGCCGGCACACTGTGGGGACCCAGTGACATGGGATTTGTGCTGCGAAAATGGTTCTTGTTTGTTGCATTTTGAAAGCTTTTATAGAGTTAAAAATGTTCAATTTTTTTTTCCTTAGCATGCAATGATGCTACCTGTGTTGACTCACCATATTCGCTACCATCAATGCCTGATGCACCTCGACAAGTTGATAGGATACACTTTCCAAGATCGTTGTCTGTTACAGGTGAGAATCTCTTCCCTGTACACACGTGATAACAAGACGGGAGTAGTTCATCGTGCAGGTTTCACAGGGGGCATCGAGTCCTCTGTTCTGGGAGACGATGGCGATGTTCAGAAACATCTCTCCTCCGTTCTGGTTGCCACTTTCAGATCCATTTTCTCATTTTGTTTTTTGAGGCTGTTCCTAAAGAAATAAACTAAAGCAAAAATTTGCCTGTTAGACCTGAGCCCCTCTTTACAGCTTTTCCTTCTTTATGACTCTTTCCAGGTCTTGAGTACTCTAACTTTCCTCTGAAAGTTAGATGTGGATTTTTAGATTTATTTTCAGAAGAGGGCTTGCCCCAGAGCTCTGGAAATTTGACACGGGAGGAGATAAGATGGAAAGACCACTGACCGGATAGACAGATGTCTTTCCTGTTTCATCTGAGATGATATAAAGGTGGTGCTTCTGTGCTGGGTTTTTGAGACTGAACTTAATTTCATTGAAATTTTAGCTGGCCATGACTCACCCGAGTCATCACTTAAATTTTGGAATGAATCCTGACCATGCCAGGAATTCTCTGTCTAACTGTGGAATTCGGCAGCCCAAATACGGAGATAGAAAAGTTCATCACATGCACATGCGGAAGAAAGGTATGTGGCTTCTACTCTTGGGTTTTGGCCTGTGCTGTCGGTTGCAGAGGAAGTCTCCACCAGGCCTGGCTCCCTGGTGACTGTTCCACCCTCTCGTACTTTGCTTCTTGACCCATAAATAATAAGATTTGCTTTGAGCAGAGCATTGTAATAAGGGTGGATGAATTTTTGGAAAAATTTCTTTTTCCTATCAAGTGCTTTAAGGAACTGAGTTTGTTAAACTTGTATGTATGCAGATAGAAAACTTTAAAAAATCAAATCGGAGTGAGCTGATTTTCTTTTTACATTCCATATCATGGCCTAGATGCTTCTAACAGTATTTACTTGTGTATTTCTTTCTAAAATAGGAATTAACACCCTAATAAATATTATGTCTCGCCTTGGCCAAGATGACCCAACTCCCTCAAGGTAAAGTAGGTTTTTAAATAATAGCTGTATTGTGATGTAATTCACATAGTGTGCAATTCACCCATTTAAAGTGTACAGTTCAGTAGCTCTTAGCGTGTTCACGATGTGGTGCGTGCCGCTGTGATCACTCCCTAGTTTTAGATCATTTCGTCACCCGTAAGAGAAACCCTGGGCCAGTTAATGGTCACTCCCCGTGTCCCTGAGCCCTGCTCAGCCCTGCTCAGCCCTGAGCAACCACTACTTTCAATCTTGATGGATTTGTCTCTGTCCTGACAGACAAATTTTGTATCAATAGTACTGTTTTGTATGCTGTGATCCTTTACTGGAGTACTTTATTTAGTATAACAGTTTCAGGAGTTAGCCATTTTACTGTATGTATCAGTGTTTCCTTTCTTTTTAATATTCCATGGTATGGTTACACCACATTTTATTCGGTCATTTATCAGTTAGTGGCATTTGCGTTGTTTCTACTTTTCAGTGAGTATGGTGTTGCTGTGAATGTTTGGGTGTAGATTTTTGTATGGACATGTGTTTTGATTTTCCTTGGTTGCACATCCAGGGGTGGAATCATTGAGTGATACGCTAACTCTGCCCTTTTAAGAAACTCCCAGACTCTTTTCCAAAACGGCTTTTCCATTTTATCTTCCCAGCAGCAGAGCATCGGGGTTCTGGTGTCTTCACGGCTTCCCAACGCTTGTTATTACCTGTCCTTTTGATGCCAGCCATCCTTTTGGGTGTGAACTGTTATTTCATCGTGGTTTTGTTTGAATTTCCCTGATGGCTAATCACACTGAACATCTTTTTTCATGTTCTTGTTAGCCATTTGTATGATGTTTTCTGGAGAAATACTCATTCGGATATTTCCCCCATTTTTAATTAGTTCTTTTTTATTATTGAATTATAATCATTTTTAATAAAGATTTTATTTATTTATCTTTAGAGGGGAAGGAAGGGAGAGAGGGAGAGAAATATCAATGTATGGTTGCCTCTTGTGCATCCTCTGTTGGGAACTGGCCTGCAACCTAGCCATGTCCCTTGCTGAGACTTGAACCACAATTGTCTGGTTCGCAGGCCTGTGCTCAATCCATTAAGCTACACCAGCCAGGGCTGAGTTATAATTATTTTTATATATTTTAGGTTCAAGTCCCTTATGAGATACATAATTTGCAAAATGTTTCTCATCCTGTGGATCATTTTTTCATGCTCTCAATGATGTCCCTTAAAGCACAGACATCCACTTTTCTGTTTCTTTTGTTGTTTGTGCTTTTGGTGTTATGTTTAAAAAACCTCCCGAAATCTAAAGTCACAATTGGGATTTTGATAGGGATTGTGTTGAATCTGTAGATCATCTTGTGAACAATTACCATCTTAATATTAAATCTTCTGATCCTTGACATTGGGAGTCTTTATTTATTTGTCTTTTTACATTTCTTTCAAGAATATTTTATAGTTTTCAGAGAATACGTTTTGTACACCTTTTGCTTTTGTACACCTTTTGCTAAATGTGCTCCTAGGTATTTTATTCTTTTTTATGCTGCCATAAGTGGAATTGCTTTCTTAAGTTCATTTTTAGATTGTTCATTGCAAGTGTATTAGAAATACAATTGATTTTCATATATTGAGTTTGTATCGTGCAACTTTGGTGAGCTCGTTTGTGAGCTTTAGTAGGTTTTTAGTGTGTTTCTTAGGATATTCTATGCATATGATCATCTCACCTGAAAATAGAGATAATTTACTTTTCTTTTTCAGTCTGAGTGACTTTTGTTTCATTTTCTTAACCTTGTTGCTGGGCTAGAGCCTCTGGTACAATATTAAATAGAAGTGGTGAGAACAGACGCTTTTCTTTTTCCTAACCTCACGGGGAAAAAGCATTCAGTCTTTCATTGTTGAGAGTGATGTTAGCTTTGGGTTTTTCTTAGATGCTCTTTTATTAGGTTGAAGAAGTTCCCCTCTCTTCTTAGTTCAATTAATGTTTTTTATTATGAAAGTGTGTTGAATTTTGTCAGATACTTATTTTGCATTTATTAAGATAATCATGTGGGTTTTTCCCCCATTTTTTCCTACTCACATGGTGTATTAGTTAATTAATTTTGGGGTGTTTAACCAACGTCGCTTTCCTAGGGTACATCCTACTTCATGATGGTGTCTAGTGTTCTTTATATGCTGTGAATTTAGTTTGTTAGTGTTGAGGATTCTTGTGTCTGTGTTCATAAGAGATATAATTCCGTAGTTTTCATTTCCTGTGATGCTTTTGTCTGCTTTCATAGACTAATACTGGCCTTGTGACATGGGTTGAGAAGTTTATATGTTAGCTTTCCTTATTTTATTTCTTGATTTTAAAAGATACTTTCATATATTATTATTCTTATTTTGGGCAGCCTTGAGCCTTTGAAGAACCTGGGAAGGAAGTGGGCTAGGCCTGTGTAAGTTCGTTAACATCCTGGCAAATGGGATGAAAGCAGATGCCTAATGGTTGAGGAGGCCAGGGTTAGATGATCTTTGTCTCCTCTGCCCCAGCTGCAATTGTTGGTCCGTTAATTACGTCTGCCGTCACATTTTCAGACCTCACGATTTATGTTTTCTTTTGCTGTATTACAAGGAGATGGCTTACTTACTGTGTTTGGCAAAAGGAATATATCCGAGAAGCTGCTCTTTCTGCAGCTCCCATTTTGAAAATGATACCACCAACAGAGAATAAACAATTTCTTTTGTCCTTTGACTTCTGGCCTTTGGTGCTTTTATTGAGTCTCTTGCTGTGTCTCTGATCTTTCTGCAGATACAGAGTTGACTCAGGTTTCTGTTCAGGAAGAGCCTCCTGGCCCCTGTGGTACGGTCCAATGCTGCTGCTCCCTGGTTGCTGTCCAGCATCCCCCAGCAGGGCGCAGCCTGGGAGCCAGCTGCCCTTGGGAAGCTTCATACAAATGTAACTCAACAGACACTTATTGATTGGTGCTTTCTGAGTTGGAGGCAGTTTGTAGGTATTTTGGGAGATCCAAAGGCCAGTAAGACAAAGCTCCTCTCACCAGGAGGCCTGACGACCTGGGGTGTGGTAAGTATGCTGTAAACATAAATAAGTTAGTGTAAGGGAGACTCTGCTAAGTGTTCCGGTGCAGGTCAAGAACAAATATACTCACAAGACTGCTGTGAGTATAGCTCTGGTTGGTGGCATATTGGGATCATAGGTCAGTTTTATTCTGTGCACTTGAATAATTGAGTTCACTTTGCAACGATTTGCCCTCTCCTCTGTTTGTTTCTTAGTTTGCTATTGTAAAATGGGACACAGTAGTCTCTGTTCTTTGGAAGTGTGTGCATACCTTTGAAGCAAGCACCATCAAGTGGCAGGTGTCAGTGCTGTCTCCTCCCAAGGAAGCTTGCTCAGACTTTAGAAAGGGAGAGATCGAGCGACCTAGTCAGTTGTTGGGGAAATCTCATTCTCCCGGTGGCAGTGGAAAGGTGGACAAACCAGGGGGCTGAGAGGAGGGGCTCTCCCTGAAAACCACTCCTCCCACCCGCCCATCCTGCAGCACAGTTAGTGACCACCTCTGGCAGTTCCCCTTCACACTGCAGCTGTCATCTTGCTGTTTCTGGAGCCTTGAGTCCAGTTCTCAGTGGTAACCTGCTTGGAAGCTTTCTGTAAAGTCTTACTCGCCTACTGAATAAGTTGGAACCTCCGCACCTGGTAGTCCCAACACCCATGACGTAGCCCCAGGCCACTTTTTCAGGCACATCTTTCCTTACTTGCAGCTCACTGCACACCAGTTAGGTATGAAGTACTTACTGCATACCTACACTTTTAGTTTTTTCTTTTAAAATTTTCCTTTTGCAACCAGTGTCTTTCAAAGAGTAGGGCCTCAGTAAAATAAGTATTAAAGGAAAGAATGCCATTCTTTATATTATCTTCATCCAAGGTTATTTACTTGTTGGCTAGCAATAGGGGCACTGGGGCATTAGAAAGGGTCGTGGCACGCTGACCAGTGCGGCTCAGCTGGCTGGGCGTCGTCACGCAAACTGGAGGGTTGCTGGTGGGTTCCTGGTCAGGGTTGTATGTTTGGTTCACTGGTTGGGGTGCAGGTGGATGAGCGATGTTTCTCTGTTGTGTTGATGTTTCTGTCCCTCTCTTATTCCCTTTCCCTCTTAATAATAATAATAAATAAATAAATAAAAAGAAGCGCTGTGGTTAGAGCCGGAGCCATCAGGAGAGGTTTAAATGGCTGGTTAGTATTTTGCTTAATCTGATTAGGGACCAGCTAGGATTTACAAAAAGTCACAAAGACTTAAAATGAATAGATAAAATTCTGTCTACCTATTAAAAACTACAAAATAATGAACTTTCATGATGGCATAATTTTAAGCAACTACGCCACACATAATTTTAAAAAGTGTTACTGCTTAACTACTAAATCTCAGATATATTTAACTCATGAAAATTGCAATGAAATGTTACCACAGAAAGAGTCCCTGAAGGATTAGGTATTTGGTGGTACTTAAGTAATCCATGTATCATCAGAAGACTGGGGGTAATGGAAAAATGAGAGAATTGAGTGGCCTTGGCTCGTTTTCTTTTGATTGACGGCATCATCGCTGGACGGACTGTGTAAGGACCTGTTGGGCCAACAGAGAGACACACCCAAGGATGATTTATTAATGTCTGTGCTCAATGAGATTGTAATTGCCAAGTGTATTTTAAATCAGTTATACACAAGTACTTTGCATTAAAAACACAGTAACAACATTCATTGAATATATATGAATTCCACTGAGTGGATTTAATGATTTAAAAGCTTCAGGTTGCATTTCAAAGATGCTTCCCTGGGGACCCATGGCCCCAGTGGGTCTTGGATCTAGCAGCCTAGTGACCTCCCTTGCTGCTGGGCACCCTCCCCCACCCCCTGCCCTGGGCCATTGGCCAGGCCAATAGATGAAATGAATAGCCCGGACTCTTGCACTGGGTGGAAGGTTTGACTGAGCCCCAGGACCTCTGCTAGCACTGCTCCCCCAGTTACTGCTGAGGCTCAGAAGGTGGAGTGAGCAAAGGCTGTCCCTGCTCTTCACTCCGGCAGTTGCCCTTGGACTGTGCCCAAATCCAAGATGGTCTCTGTGAAGTAAATGACATCTTACCGCGATTACTGTTACAGGGAGACTCTTTGTTGTGTTTGGTAAAGTGCTTTGAATTCCTCAGACCAAATGTGCTGTATAAATGTTACAGTTCATCTCAATTTCATAATGCCTCTGTTGATTCAGTTCTCAAAAACAAATGGAGTGTTTATTGCTCAGTAAACATCTCATCTTCCAGTGCTAGTATTTATAATGGGGGTGATTAAAGAAAGTATAAACAATGGGAGAAGGAACAAAAGATTTGCTACTGTTTTAAGGCCTAATGCTTCTTTTCTTTATTTCGTTCTTTTTCTTTTAAGTAAACTTTTAGATTATGAATTCTTTACCGTAGCCACAAATTTTTCTTTCTTTTTTATTAAATAAACTTTTAGATTGTGAATTCTTCACCCTAAATTTTTCTTAATTTTTTAGCCATTAATTTTTCTTTGTTTTTTTCCAACTTCCCATTATTGCCTTGCCAGAATGCCTTTTTCATATAAGTAAGTGCCATAAACTGAGATGAGGGTTCAGAATCACTTCTTTGGGGCTCATATTTTTCTAGTTTTTTCCTATTACTTTTATGTTTCTCTTAAAATTCCAAAATGTAGAGGACTGGTAGGTTAGAAGAATAAACTTACTTATGAGATATGTGAAATAATATAAAATGTAACTCAACATGCCAAGTAGATGATGTGGTAGCCAGAAGTCATTTAATTTACAAATGTTTAAAAATTTTCCACATGTACTGAAACTGTAGGGAGACTTTAAGTATGGAAACCGGACTGGTCCACAACGAGAGATAGTTATGTCACATCGTCATACACTGCGTGGTAAGCGCGGGACCGCAGGTGTGGCGAGCCAGCAGCCCCGAGAGCTCCGGTGATGAGGCCGGCCCCCAGCCGACCTGAGGAAGGAGCAGGACCCAGGAGCAGGGGCATGCCAGGGAGAGGGGCCGCGTGTGTCTGGTACGGTGCCGTGTTGGCCAATGTAGGTTCTCAGTTTCTGTTGAAAGCAGATAAAAATGATGCACTAGATAAAGAATGGCCTGGAACGCCAAAAGGTTTAGTCTTGGTAGTCAAACCAAGACTTTGGTCTCAAACCAAATTCGATAGTCAGCTCCTGAATTTGTTGAGACCTTGAGGGTCTGTGGCGGAGCTACTTAAGGAAGGCCCTGGAGTCAGGGAGGCCGCTCAGGCCCGGGCCGGTCCCTTGCCTTCCCCGCTCAGGTCCCAGGGACTCCGCGTGCCCTCTTTTCCTCCTCATCGTTGTCACCGTTCTCTATGGTTTCCTCTTATTGTAAAGCCCCAGAGGCCCTATTTTCTCTTTCTGCAGCTTGCCCTGAAACGAGTACTCGGGTTCTCCTCATTTACGGCTTTAGATAATCAGTTAGTTCCCAGGCTACTCTGGTCAAATCAGGTTTGTGTCCACCACGTGAAGAGATTGCCCATCAGTGGCCTTGGCTATTTCTTCTCATCACGCTGTTTCTTCCTTGAAACACGTTCTCCTTGGCTGGAGGATAACGCTGGCCTCCTTTCCCTCCCACCTGCCTGTCCAGTCCTTCTCCTTTGCTGGTTTCCCTTCTGTTTGACCTCAACCGTGACAGCCCCTGGGTTGTAACCTGCTTCCAATTAGCAACAGGAATTTTAAGGTATTTTGGAGATGCTCAGTAGAAACTAAGAAGCCACCCACTTTGTCTGCAACTATCACCCATAAGATTTCTTGCACTATCCAGGCAGGGATATTTCACTGGCACCCAGCACTTCCCCGTAAAGTCGCCGCTATACAAACCTAACGCACCCTTCTACAAACCTTCCTGGTGGTCGTTACTAACCTGCATACCCACTCTGAAAGGGGGAGCCTGGCCTCAAGGATCCAGTTGACATCAGTAGCAAGCATTCAGTCAGCCCTGCATGGGCCATAGAAGGACCACAGACGACTTGATTTTTCTGTTGCACTGGTCAGTGTTTGGGTCTCTCACTAGGATGCCTTCTCCTTTCTCCCGTCTACCTGGCAGCAGTGCAGAAAGATTCACATCTGTTAGGGTGCTATTGCCTCACTTGAAATCTGATTCCCAGGAAAGGGAGCCCCTAGTGGGAAAGCTGGGGACCCCATGATATGAGGGAACATCCCCTTGCTCTCCCACTAGGCTGAGATGGCAGTCAGAGTTAGGCGTTTTCACTGCTGAAAGAGCCGACTAACCCTCCTGTGTTCTTTCTTTGAAAAGGGAGGGAGGGAATGTTAATGCATGCTATTTTAAGGGATCTTAAAACTTTTCCTATAGGATTAATCACAATGAACGGTTGGAGTTCCTGGGTGATGCTGTGGTTGAATTTCTGACCAGGTAAGGGGGCTTCTCTGCTCTTCCCCATTAATTGCATTTTGTAGGTTACATACTTAATGCATTGTCTTCTTTGTAATTAGCCAAATAAGCCATTGAAACATCTTGTATTTTGTACCCGCTGTGGAGCTTAAAGCCACGTGCCCGTGGCTCTGGCCCTGATAACTTACACTCACTGTTGCTGTAATGAGCAAGATTACAAGATGAAAGGCTGGTGTCTCTGTCCTGTCAAGTTTATGTTCAAGTTGCTACAGCCACAAGAGATCAGCTAGCCTGGACTAGATGCTTCAGAGCTTCTGTTCAATTTGTAAAGAAAGGGATGATATTTCAAAATGTCATTTCATTTTCTAGGATTTGTCTTTGATCCCTTTCTCACTCTTCCTGATCTCTAGGGAAGCAAAGCTTACAAGTAATTTTAATGACGAGATTTTGGTGGGTGTGTGTGTGCTTTCTCCCCGGAAGGGTTTTAGGGTCTTTAATTTGGAAGTCAGGGAAGGAAAGTGTGTTTTGTTTTTTCATACTCACATACTTTCTCTTTAAAGGGAGATAACACATGGTTTTCTTGGAACTGTCATGAGCTATTTTTATTCTCTTCGGGTCATTTCTTTTCCCAAAAAGGACATACTGAGCGAAAGGGGCTGCTCCCCAAGCCTGTTCTCAGGGGGCACAATAGGACTACGCGGACTTGGTGGATCTGCCGACGTGAGTCCCAGCAGACCCCAGCTGCTGCTGTGGCCCAAACCGGCATTGTGGGTGTTGGGGCTTCCTTCCCTGCCCCCACACTTTCCTAGTCAGCCCCTTTAGGCTGGTTCTCACAGCACTGCCGGCCGCAGGCGCCACTCTCTGTTCTGATCCCGGCCCTGTCTGTCCCCGTGAAGAACATGTCGCCACTGCTGCCCTCTTTGGGGCTTCCCAGGCTCCTCTTCAGGGGCGGCTCAAAGTCCAGTCCAAGAAAAGTATTTGTTTCCAGGCCCAGCTTGTATCCAATAGGTTTGCTCTGAGCAATGTGTGACAGATTGCTCAGGCTTCAGAGAAACCTTTCAGCAGAAATAAGTGTGGAAATACCAGTGAATGGTGCTGCCTGGGCTGTGGTGCATTCACCTGCACTGCGCTTTCTCCTTAACTTTCAGACATTTTGGGTCAGACTCTTGAGTCTTGTTCAGCTCCGCGGTACTATTGCGTAGGTCTTTTGTGCCCGGCCTGTGTCTGTGACTCAGAGCCACAGGCTGAATGTTGTAACACATATTTACTCCCGTGCTTTTTCTGCAGTGTCCACTTGTACTATTTGTTTCCGAGTCTGGAAGAAGGAGGATTAGCAACTTACCGCACTGCCATCGTCCAGAATCAGCACCTTGCCATGCTAGCGAAGGTACGTCCAGCGCCTGGAGCACTTGCCGTAAACCTGCCACCCTCTTCTTCGGTGCACGCGCAGATCGCATTGGAATAGGGAACTCTTTAGTAGTGTGTGTTAAGGGCTTAATATTTTAGAGACCAGGAAAGATTTTTGTGAGGGTTTTAAGGATTCTGCCTTATTAGTTTCGTTACCTTTGTGCGTTTCCCCAGCAGCTAATGAACTCCATGGTGAGGTAACTTGGTAAGAGACGGAAAAATCTGACAGACGCGCATAAACAGTTATGCATTTGAGGAAAAGGAACATGAGAGCAGAAGCAAAAAATGAAAAATTTTTGGTATTACGTTTTTAATTTATTTTAACGAGCAGAATTTAACAAGATTTGAATGGAATACTCCAGGCCATTTGTATTCATAGGGGGTACTTTACAGACCTTTGAGAATCCCCCCAAATTACAAATCTCATTCATTAAGATTTAGGGTTTAAGCTGTCCAGCTCGCCGCTTTGACTTGGCTGGGCGACTAGCAGAACCCTTGATTGGATTTAGACGCCCGCTGGGCACCTTACCTACATTAGCTGGTTCGATGTTCCTGTCTCTGGAAGTGTCTTCTTACAGTGAATCATGGCAGGCAGGACGCAGGCACTTGCCTTGGCCCTTGGGATTCGGTCCACACCCCTCCGTCCTCTCACAGACCCGGGGCTGTGGCGTGTCGTTCTCCCCTCCAGGCCTCCGCTTTCTCGTCTGTACAATGGAGACGACATTAGCATCTGTCTCGCAGAGTCGCTGTGACAACCATAGGACATGATCATTTGAGTTAATGATTCAGTGTATAAAGGGCTTGGCATAACGCCTGTTCATCGTACTAATCCCCCAAACATGTAAATGAGTTAGAAGGAATTAGCTGCTTTCATTGCTGCTGCCATTATTCTCACTATAGATCATTACATTGTATAGGCCTGTGGATGAGTTCAACAGCAGGGTGGACTGTGGCTTAAATCCCCCAATCCTGATGATGCACTGAAAAAGCTTTTGTGAATTTTCCTTGATTTGTGTCTTAAGTAATTTTTATTGTTTTTTAAAAATTTTGATAATAACTGTTGGAATTTGATACAAATCACTATGTAAAACCCAGTCGACGACTGACTCCTTAATTTGATCTTGCCAAGGCATTAATTACATTTAGAATGTGGTTAACTTTATCCTGTGGTTTTTGTGTTAGCAAGAGTGCGTTGTTGTATTTTACGCAGCAGCAGCTGCTGCAGCATTGCTACAGTGGTAGCTTCGACCTAGCTTCAGTGGCATTTGAGAATGGAAATAATGATGTCTTAATGAAAAGCCATAGGCAGCAGATACACCACCTTGGCTTTAGCAGCCTCACAATGAATAAACTTCTACAACTCTAAAACTCTTCAGTGTTCAGTTGATTAAATTGTCAAACTGCTTCCTGGTAGTCCACATAAATGTCCACTGGAAATACTTGTTAATAAATAGATTGTCAACCCCCCTCCTGCACTGTTTTCTTTCTGGGTTCAGATATAATGGAATTGCATAATTATTTTCCGAAAAGTTTTAGGGAGGCTATTTACAAAGAGTGGGAGGTTGCAACAGCGTGGACCAGAGGTGTAACGGAACGCACGAGTTATGAGGGGGGTGCTTTACAAAGCCATGGGGTGTGAGGGGGGTGGCGGGTTTCTCCCTTCAGGGCTTTCCGTATGATCTTCCTCCACACCAACACCCGGCACTCCCATCATACTCCACACCTGTCTGCTCCAGCGGGAGGCAGTGGTGGTCATGCTCTGCTTCTGCCTGGACCAGTGGTTCCCAACCATTTGGGAGGAGAGAACTTGATGGAGGGTGGCTGACCCCTTGGAGCATGCAGGGAAAGCTCGAAGTTAACTCTTTAGGCCAATGAACATGTTAACACATGCACAATTGAACATCACTCTTCTTTTTAAAAGTTCCCCTAATGCCTACATGAAAAAAATAAGGCTATGGAGCAGGGATTAGGAGGCATTGGAAGATTCATACTGCCCCAAAATAGTGGTTTGTAATATAAAGTACGGCTTGCAGTCTACTCTTAAGCAGGGCTCCTGAGATAGCTGGCACCTGGGTTTTCCCAGTGAAGGCGTGAAATATGAAATTTACATACTCTGAACTCTTGTACTTGGGGATCAGTTTTTAAGAGGTGTTTTCTGCTGTTGCATTTGTGGTAGTCAAAACTCCCATTTGATTCTAGTTTATGCTTATGAATTCCTAGCAATGCAAGGTACTGATGGCATATATGTCTGGTTTTTATTGTCTCTCTCTTCCCAATATAAATGGATATGGATATTTTTAGCATATATACCGAGATATACAAAATCTGAGTATCTTTTATCTGAGACTCATATTGTCCTAGATTGCTCATTGACGTGTGTCTTATTCCATATTATGTGGTGTGTTATTGCTTAGTAAGTATCTTTTGAATCAAATAACATGATAATGCAAACAGCATTAGTGCATGCTTGTGCAATGGTGCATCTCCTTTTGTGGAAAGAATTATGATTTCTATTAATTCAGTCTCAGGAGTTTTGTTTAAAAAGTACATTCTCTGTCTAGTTCTAGAAGGACTTGAATTGATTTGTATATTATAATACAGTAGGATAAGAAATTAGTAGGTACTGAACTCAAAGTAAAGGGAAAGGATGGGTAAGACAGTAAAATGAAGCCAGAGGTAAGGTTAGTATACGCAGATGTATTCCTAATGCTACACAATTTCTAGGTGTGGGCCGCAAATTTGGCTGGAAACTTTTCTGAGGCCAAATAAAAAAGGAAACATAATTCATTATAAACAAGATTCCCAGAGCCCTTAAAATAAATCCATCCCGTTGTCGAGATCTCACTGAGCCTTCAAAAAGGTGAGCATGGAGATCTCATGAAGGGGACAAAGTACAAAGATACAGGGACCCCCAAATCCTTACCAAATTCAAAAGAATAGAGATATAAGGCATTTTGAAGTCTTCTGAGGGCTCCCATGTACTCTCCCACATAAAAGTCTGTTCTGTACAGTACCAGCATTATCGGTACTGCAGAACTCTGGGACCCAACAGGTTAGCTTCGGGTTGGGTCTGCTTCTCCCTGGACATACTGGGTGAAGCCAAGGCTCATGGTCTTTTAGCAAGGTCTTATTCCAGCCTGGGCTACTACTTGGTCCGAACGTGGAATAGACTTCATAGAAGCCTGTTTGGGGAAGAGTCAGGGTTCGTCAGAGCTGAACCATATGTAAGGGTTCCTGATGAATAGTAGACTAAACTTTCTTAATATATGTGCTGACGTAGCTAGTTGATTTGTAACCGTAACTCTTTACCCTTAGGAGTTATGGAGTTATTACAGCTAGGATTTTGCCAACTACTCTCTTTTTGTCATTTTGAATTTTCTAGAAACTTGAATTGGATCGATTTATGCTTTATGCCCATGGACCTGACCTTTGCAGAGAATCAGACCTTCGCCATGCAATGGCTAATTGTTTCGAAGCATTAATAGGTAATTCCTTTCTCTATAATCTCTTCTTGCATGTCTAAAATGTTTGGAGGGCACATAAAATTCAGGGCGGGGACTTGGCACAGGGTGACTTGTCCCTAAAGCATGTGAGGTCCCCAGTAAAATACCCACCTCGTTGCACACAGTGTTTGCAGTTCCTCCAGGGCAGAGTCCCAGTGCCTGAGGGCGTCGGGTGTCGTGGACATGCTTAGATGTATGTGCTGAGTGGAATCGAAGGGAATTAATATGGAGATGGATTACTTTCCAGATCTGATTCAGAATTGCATCCATACATAAACATTAACTTGGTTGCTGGTGAGGCCCTGATTCTGTTTTTGATCGCATTTTAAACAATTTACAAGATTTTTTTGATTTAAACATCTTGGAAACATGGCATTTTTTTTAAACCTCAGGGCTGGAGCCTGTACAGCTATTATTTATTCTCGAAGCAAGACTGATGCAGACACTTTACTTCCTCAGTTTTTTTGCTGTTGGTACAGGAAAGTCATGAACATTAATTAGCTGGTGACTGCTAGTGTGCTTTACAATGAAATGTTACAGTAGATTGACGATTCTTTGATTTTTTTCTTTTTAGGTGAATGATTGAGTACATTTTATTTTTCAAAGGCCTTTGTACTTCCTTATCAATTTTGCCCTCTTCCTTTGAACATGAATATAAAAGCTTCCCGTTACAGTGTGATGCGGATGACGGTAGCAAGGGAATGTTTAATTATTATCCAGTCCGTTCACAGCTATGTCTCTTTTCCCACAAACATGTCGTATTTTCAGCGTTTGTCACACGGAATTACTGCTCTCTGCACACGTCATCTTTTTGACAGTGAGGGTTGCGGTCGGCCGCAGAGCCAGGCGGGCGTGATTCCGTCCGCCCCCCGCCCCCCCCCATCTCTTCTCAGCTCCGTGTCTTCCCCGAGTTACTGAGTCTCTTTGAGCTTCAGTTTCCCCGTCAATGACATGGAGGGCCTATTACTTAGCACACAGAGCCGTTGGAAGGATGTCCTTATGCAGTCCTGGCAGCATCCAGCGCAGAGCAAAGGTGCCTTTACCCTACCCTGAATCACTACCATGAGCCTAAGTCCTGTAATTCTGTTTTAACACCCTCTTACTGAGGCTCCCAGAAAGTGAAGAATGTGAAAATGCTCTGCACAGTGCCCAGGGCAGAAGTGCCCCCAAACCTGCCACTTCAGAATCTATTCTCAATACCAAACAGTTATTTGGATGCTTACTCTTTAATGATCTGGAGATTTGTTTTTCAACAGGCGAAAAACATGCTGGATTATTCTGGCAAACCTGGTTTTCATACACTGTACTCTTCCAGTTAGGGGCAGACACAGAGTGGGATTGAGTCTGACTCAGTGGGATTGACTGATTTACAATCCATTGTTAAAATAAGCAGGGATGGCCCCAGGTCTCCAAAGACGTTGGCTTCCATCCCATTCAGTTTGCTTGGCAGCAGTCACTTAGATCCAGGCCTGACCCTCACTGTCCCTCCGTCATCTCCTTGAGATCAGAGACCCAGCCCGGGTCTGGCCTACTGCTGCTGCTGCTGTTGTTACTGCAAATGTGGTAGATAATACCTGTATTTGGTCACCAACAGCTCTCGTGATTAAGTGCCTTAATATTTTACATGAAAATGGCCTTTATGAAGACAGATATAAAAATATGATTTCAAGAATATATGATTACCCTGCTCCAGAGTTATTTGATATGCAATTAAAATGTTACTGTAGTACTTACTGGCTATGACGAATGGCAGATGTGTGTACAGTGCTTAATTACTTAAAACATTTTAAATATTTCAAATTAAAAGTGAAATTGGTCCTGATTTTTATTTGCAGAAACCTTCATTGATCTGATCTCAGGTTTTATCTGTGGTCTTAACCATAGACTATAAATATAGAAAACAAAACATAACATTTTTGTCAAGTCAGGTATTGTGTGCAGTGAGGTTTATACCCATTCCTTATATGATAGTTCATATTTGTCCTCTTTTACTTACAATATTGGATTAGACTTTAGTAAATTGAATTTCATATTTCCGTGTTATTTATAACACAAAACATAGCCAAAAGAGGAAAAACACTACCTTGAAACAATTGCTTCTGATCTTGTCGGTAGTTTCTGTGAGTGGGTTCTGGCTTGTCTGTTCTTCACTGGGATGCGATTTTCTCTGAATATTAACATCTCCCTCCCTCTGGGCACGCTCTTCCTCTCGTGTAGGAGCCGTGTACTTGGAGGGGAGCCTGGAGGAAGCCAAACAGTTATTTGGACGCCTGCTCTTTAACGACCCGGTATTTATCTCGACTCATTTGGTTCTCGCTGTTACAGATGATTTCCCATCAGTTAGTCTTTGGGCTGTAAAGAGAGTGCAGGGGAAGGAAGTGCACCAGAAATAGCCCCTCTGGCTCTGATGCAGCTGGGGGAGGTCCCTGGACACTCGCAGGAGGGGCTTGTCTTCTACTGCCTTCCCTCCCCGTCACTTGTAAATGGAGCGCAGATACAAATAGAGCAGGACTTTGCCTCATTTTGAAGTATCTCAGAGTTAATTATGATTTTTCTGTTTTATCGTCGTGGGGTACCTACCCATGCAGGCTTAGTGCAAGCTTTAGCCTTTGGCTTCTCTGTTTAGGATTTGTTTTTATGTAAATGAAGCAGACTAGATAAATGTATATTTTAAAAAGTCAGTTCCTAGGGAGCTTCTGTTAGGGTCATGAATAAAGAGTATGGAAGTACTTTTTGTAAAAAAGCAAATTATAGTTTAAGAAAAAATGATAGATTCCGAAATAGTTTCTGTTGTTACTAAAGTATTAAGCTATGAATACTGCCAGAGCTGCCTTTTTAATCCTGCATGTAATAGAGCACACTGGGTGCTTTTTGTACCAAAACAAGTCAATTTAACATTTAAAGGGAGAGGCAGCTCTGTATTCCAAATTGAAATGTCATTATAATTGAATGAAATAGCCCTCCCGGAACAATAAAGAACACAGGAAGCGAATGCTGTAAGCTTTGGCGGCCTTCAGCTCAAGTGGCTGTCAGGTGTTATTACTGTATTACTTAGGGCAGCTCCTAAACAGGAGTCAGTGGTTTTGAAATACGGGACCTGAAGGATATTCTACCTGGGGGTGTGGTTTTTCGAAAGTCTGTTTTTATAGATATGTGATGATTTTATGTGTTTGAATGTCCTCCTGACGGGATGTTATCTGCAGATGTCCTGTCCCCCGATTTGTCCTGCGCCCATAAATACATGTGCGTCTTGATTGATGTCCGCAGCAGATGGCATGTGTTTTAAGTCCTTTTCTCTCATCTGAAAATATCTTTGTTCTTGCCTCTCTCCTTTGTTGGCAGTTTCAGCAACCTCTTTATTCTGTCTCCTCCTTGCAGCCTCGCCTCTGCACCCCCTACACCCTAACCGTGTCCCTCCCCTCCCCTCCCCGCTTGCTGTCTCTTCTCCCACCTTATCTGCACTCCCCATCCGCTCCGCACCCCTTCTCCTGCATTAAATGCAGCCTTACACCTTGTGTTCTTAATTGCATCAGTTTTTGTTTAGATTCTTTTCTCTCTTTAAACTGCCTCTCTCCCACTCGTCTACTTAGCAAGTTTATCTTCTATTTCCAGTACCGAGTGCAATGCTGGCATGTGCAGTGTTTAATAAATACTTGTTAAAGGAATGAAATGAATAAATGGCTGAACGAAAAAGCAGAGTCTGAACATTATCTTACGAATGGCAGAGCTGAGATTCAGCAGTCATGTTAGTGTGCCTTTCACACAGTGAAGCAGGGCTTAGTGGCGGACGGTCTTCCCACTGCAGGGTGTTCCAGTGTGCGCGCCGGGCATCCTAACTCATCTGACATCTGCACATTGGTTTACATCTATTAGTCGTAGCATGTGAGAGACGTTGGCAAACCTCTGTACCTTTTTTTAAGTAATGGTATTGTGAAAGTCTAATCAGCCCAACACAGCCAGGGACAGACCTGTAAGCCAACAAAGAATTACTGACTCCATGCAGGGAGGGCAGGCGCTCCCAAGAGGGAAGCGGGTGTTCTTGCTGAGCCTGGGCTGGTGCGGGCTGGTGCTGACGAGGGCCAGGGATCTGTTCTGGGTTGGTTGCCTCGTCTGAGGCCGGATTAGAAGCAGCAAGGGATTAATTTGGGATTGGGCACTGTCAGGAGCTGAGAGCAGTTTAGCAACTGAGTGTCACCAGTGATCTTTGTTTAGGGGGTAAGACGAGGTGAAGCCAGTCAGAGGGCAGCAGCCCCCAAAGAGGGGCCGTCTGGCATTTTACAGCTACTGCCTGACCTTGAGGGAACCCTGGTTTCCGAGTGACCCTGCAGTTGGCTTTATCTGTGTCGTCCTCCCAGCCCTGTAAGCAGGGCTGTTTTCTCTTTCTCAGCCTGAACCGGCTTTTACTCTTTTGGCCCCAGATAGTCTGGGTCGGTCCTGCGTTTTCCAGTTTGTGTGCCCGTCGTGGTGTACCCAGTACCTTCAGGGTCACTGTTTCGATTGGATCACCCCGGGGGCCCTCTTAGGAAGAGAGGGGGCAGTGACTGTGAAAACTTCCCTTTTCTCCCGCTCCCCATACTTTTTTTTGTCTTTACATATCTGTCCCTGTATCTAGAAACTGGAAAAGATGTGTTCAAATTGCCTCTGGGCAGGTTCATATAGGTGTTTCATAAACACTCATCACTTCACCTCAGAATGTACTTCTCCTTTATTTTTATGATCTAAACCAGAATACTTAGGGCTTTTTTTATCCTCAAGCCTTTTTCTCTCTGCCTGCACTCAGTGGCCAACTCCCGTCAGTTCTGCTCCTCACAGCTCTTGAGCTGGTCTGCCCTGGTCCTTCCGCGGCGGTGCTGCCCAGTCCTCCCCATCGCTCCTGACTGTCGAGCTGGTGGCCATTCCCGCCACTCCAGTCCATCGTCCCTGCGGCATGTCCTGCTGTCTTCTTTTTAATGTACAGATTCGATTATGGTCTTTCTGGCCTAAAATCTTTGACTTCTTTACTGCCTGCCAAAGGCTGCACCGCACATTACACAACGCGGCATTTAATAGTGTTCATAATTCGACTCCCACCGATTTTCCCCATCTCCTTTCTTAGTACTTTCTGTGTGCTGTTCTAGGAATTACCATTTTATTTAATTTTTTTTAAGTCTTAAAGAGCAGTTTTATGTTCACAGTAAAATGGAGAGGAAGGCATCTCATTTGCCACATGGTCTTTGCCCCCACTCACGCACAGCCTCCCCCATTTTTTCGAGATCCCCGACCGTGGCGCCACGTTTGTTGCAGCCAGTGAACGCTGACCCACACAACCCCGCAAACTCCGCGGTTCGAGTCAGGGTCCGCTCGCGGTGTGGCAGGTCCTGTGGACTCGGACGCAGCCCCGAAATCCTCTGTATTCTGCCAGTTACCCTTCTGTGCCTGGATGCTTTCAGACCTATTCGTGCGTTTACGGTGCCCCGTTTTTTAATTCTCTTGCTCTGCTATTTTCTTAATTCCTCACGTGCCTCTGAGTACATCTGAAGACTCAGCGTCTCTTAAAGCCCCGCCTGACACCTTCAGCCAGCATTTTCCTAGCGCTTAGTGTATGTCACTATTATAGAACTTATCAGAGTTTATTAAATTGTACTTACTTACCTTTATTCTTCCCCACTAGGCTTCTTTGAGGACAGCGATAGTGTCTATTCATCTTAGTAAGCTAATACATAACAGATATTCAATAAAAATACCCATGAACAAAATGTCTTAAGAGGCAGTGAACACATTTTCCGTAAGAGCAGACTGAAGGTAGAGGCTTTGCCTAGGAGCTTGTACAGGAGAGAACAGTCTGGATCCTTCCCAGGAACTTTTCTCCGACCCCCAGGTGCAGTGAGACCTTAGCTCCATGTGCAGGGCAGATCGGGGACGGGGTGCAGTTGAAAGAGTCTCTGTGAGTCACGCATTGAGCTCTTACACCAAGGCGGGTGGCAGCAGACCTCTTGGAGAGGCCGCCGTGTTCGTGAGTGTAGAACGCATGGGAGAAAGATGGATCAAGAAGCCCCTGAGAATTTGGAGCTGGTTGGCGGAGATGGCCCTTTACTGTTGACATCCGCTGTATTAATCGCGTGTTTTCTGTGTGCCAGCACTGGGTTTAGCGCTCCCAGTTCCTGCTCATCGAGGCGTCAGGGACGCTTCGCAGTAGGTGCTGCTGTGATTACCTTTTCTCACGAGCGAGGAAAGGGGGGCTCCGAGAGGGTGAGTGACGGCCACCAGGGAGTCAGGACCATACCCAGGCTGCCTGACTCCGGAGCCCTAGGTCTTCCCTGACACCGTACTCCCTGGTTTAAGGAAAGCTGAGAAGTTATTATTTGGTCACTGGGGTGTGAGGTAAAAGATGCTCTTTAAGGCAAGAAGAGTTAGGACTTGCAGAGATGAGCAAGTCCTCCAGATGGAGGGCGGAGCGTGAGTATTGGGAGTGGGGAGCTCTCCGGAGGGGCAGGCAATGGAGAGGTCAGGACAGAGGCTGGAGTCTGGTACATGATCCTTTGGGTGTCGGAGGAAGAAAAAGTATTGAAAGAACACAGGAAAGTCTCAGGGAGGGAGTGACATTCGGTGTAATTCATGCCACAGGGCATTCAAGGGAAAGGTTATTCAGTTGGTTAAGAGAAGTCCTTTAAAATGCCTTAAAAGAACAGCTTGCTATTTAAGCACTTTCCAAATATTGGCCAGTGAAAACACCACCTAAGTGTTGCAAGTCACGCAAAAGTGTCAGGCATTTCCTCTGCCTTCATTACTGTCTGTCACCGGTGATCGTGAATTTTCCTATGCCTCTCCCATACCCCCACATTCAAAAACATATTTTTCTTCTTTAAGAAAAAACTCTTGTTATTTATTTCAAAAACCTAGCATCAAGGTCAGAAAGTAGATTCTGTTGGAGGCTCCCTAGAGTCGAAAACAGGGAAGAACCCTCTAATCCTCAGGAAGTTCCAATTATAACTGCCTTTAGATGTAACTCAGTGGATAAAATAACGCACTGGGCTTCTCCATAAAATTCACTCGTTCCCATTCTTTAAGTAAACATCTGTAGTGACTCCTAGTAAAAAGTGCAGGCTTATTGATCTAAGAGTTTAGGGACTAGGTATGGGCTGTTTTTCAGTCCACTTGAAACAGCTCACAATAATGAATGAGTACCTGAAATAAAGGACATTTGAGATGAGTTTTAATTACAAAAGGCACAGCTGATGCACATTTCTGGGGAATGGTAAACTAAAAAATATGATTAAGGTAGCAACTCGATCCAGTGTATTAGGTTAAGCAAATGTGTAACTTGGTTTTAAAAGGTGTCTTTGACTCCTGGGACTGGAGGTGGCTCTTGTCCTCCCCAACTTAATAGGCTAATTAAAGTCACTATCGGCAGTTTGAGTGGTGAGTACACTTTAAAAAAAAATTAGTTTGCTAGCACTATTGAATTTGCAATAAGTGGAGTCAGCATCTGAAATAGTTCAGTATTTCACATAATGGCATTTTATTTAGTACTCTAGAGCGTGTTAAATGGCTCCCTTGAGCATTAAAGGCACCACTCCATTTTCCAGGACCTGCGCGAAGTCTGGCTCAATTACCCTCTCCACCCGCTGCAGGTGAGTGTGGCCTCGGGCGGCAGTGCTGCTGTAGCTCCTGGCATTCGTGCTGCTTCAGTTTGCCTTTCCTCCTCTCCTGCTTTGACCCTTAGATTCCTGCTTTGACCCTTAGATTCTTTTCAGTGGCATCATGACTGTAAGCTGGGTGTCTGAATGGGGAAAGTTTGGAACAAGTAGTGAAAGGATCCCATACGCCTCATTTCCGTGGCCTGGGAACATGGCGGGACTGGGACGCATCTTCCTGACACGGCAGGCGGAACTGGTCCTGTGGTTGCAGGGTGGTCCCTCCTCTTCTCCCAGAAAGTGGTGTTCAAAGCCTGTGTTGGCTCAGCGGATACACTGTATCCGCCTGCCTGGTCTTACAGGGGAACTGTGGGAGCAAGTCTGAGCTCGCACAAGGTGGTGCAGATGCTGAGTTAGCACCACTGAATGGTAACCCGGATTGGACCTTGGAAACTGAAGACTTTGGCTCAGACTGAATAAAACGTATTGCACATTAAAACTTCAGTGCAGTGTGATAACTTCTCACTCAAGATTTTAGATTTTAAAAGGTCTGCACATGGTGATATCCTGTTCCCCATTTGGTTTAAAAATTCTTACTGTTCTTTGCTTTTATTTCTATTTTACCTTGGAGATATACATATATGTGTGTATACATATATATACATATGTTATATACATATGTGTATGCTATATATAATCAGAATAATCACTAGTGACTGGACTCTTTCATGAGAGGCCTTATAGTAATAAATGGCATTAATTCAATGTACTTTAGAAATATTTTATTAATATAAAATTGCCCACAGTTGTTAGAAATGATTATTTCAATTATTCTTTTTTTATTTGTTCTCTGCCAGTTGTTAAAGGCTCATTAGTATGTTGAGCACCTGCCTAATGATATAATTCTCTCTGTTGTAAGCTGAATCCAGTTTCAGTGATGCTCGTTTGCCAAACTAGGTTGGTCCCTAGCAGACATGCGTAGCGGTCAAGTTACTGTACTGCAGTGGTTCTGAAGGGCAGCCCCTGGACCCGCAGCATCTGCGTCACCAGGGGACTTACCAGGAAGGCCAGTCCTTGGTCCTTACTCCAGATGCACGGAATCAGAAACTTGGGGGCTAGGGCCTGGCCCTGTGCATTTACCAAGCCCTGCAAGCATTCTGACCAACACTGAAGTTCGAGAACCGCTGCATTACTAGAGATACATGTTCTCCACCAGCAGTTCTTCAGCTTGCTTCTTCCGCGGACAGCCAGTGCACTTGGGACTTTGAACAATCTGTGTACACTACTTGGCCTTGAAATTTGATAAAAGATTGGAAAATATTACTTGAACCTTCCTTAAATATTAGGTTTGTTTGCTATTCTAAGGGATGAGAAAGAAGCTTCCACATTTTATTGGCCTTTCAGAAATTGCCGCCCACGGGAGAAGGAATTTACAAAACGCTGTCCTAGAATTGGTAATTGCTCTTGTAACCAAGAACTGTACAAGATTTTTATTCATTTCCCTTTTCCTCCAGCTACAAGAGCCAAACACTGATCGACAACTTATTGAGACTTCTCCAGTTCTGCAGAAACTCACAGAGTTTGAAGAAGCAATCGGGGTGATGTTTACTCACGTTCGGCTTCTGGCAAGAGCGTTCACACTGCGAACTGTGGGATTTAACCATCTGACCCTGTGAGTTCAAAGTACCCACAGAGTCCCATAGTGACGCTTCAGACAGGCAGGCCCACGTCTTTGCTGTGTGCCCTTCAAGGGAATTGGGATTTCAGACCGATTCCTAGGAAATCATGAGATGGGTGATAGGCAGGGGCTGGCACGGACCAGGGGCTATGCTCCAGTCCATTTAGTTTTGGTTTCATTGTCATGCATCTGTGTCTTCTTAAAGTATAAGAAAAGTGTGGAAAGTAAGTACTTTTTCTGTGAAGGGACAGATATTACACATTCTGGGCTTTATAGGCCATGTGGTCTCCGTCGCGGTGACTTGATTCTGCCACCGTAGCACGAACGAAGCCGTAGAAACCGCATGGATGCAGAGGCAGGCCCCCGACCCCTGCTCTGGATGAGCGGTTTGCAGACGAGCTCACATGATAATGAAGAAAATAACCAGAATATGATTTCTCTGCACACAGTTTTTAATTCAGTTTTTGCCTTTTTTCCCTCAAATCAAATATTCACAACTCTCTCTAAACTATAAACATGAAAGAATCTTGTCCTAGTTTTTCTTAGTGTTTTTAAGCTAGATTCCAGATTTGATTAATGGAGTATATACAGGTTTGTAGGGGAAAAATGCAAGTTAATACATAATAATACAAGAATAAACTGTTTTATTTAAACTTGTGAAAGTAGTTGAGTACCCACAATTACTTTTACCCACCCTGTATTTCAATAAAAAAGTAAAGATTTAGCGAAGAAAATTCTTGGACCTTTCTGCTTTGTTTTGTCTGTGTGGAGGCTGCTGTGCAAGCTCGCTGTCCGCACTGCACTTCTTCCTCCAGCTGACGCTCCTCGGCCTCTGACCAGGCGCTGCTCGCCGGTCTTTACTGAGCAGCTGCTTAGTCCTTAGTCAGGGCTCATGGTGCTCTGTTTTTGAAACTCAGCAGTCTTGGGAATTCTGTTTAGTTTTGTGTTTTACAGCGAGATGAACAAATACATTGCCTTTTAAAATAGCATCTTTTTCAAAATTCTGGTTTTTTTTTTAAATGTACTTATTGGTCCCTTTACACTGGTGTTTCTTTATTCAGAGGCCACAACCAGAGGATGGAATTCCTAGGTGACTCCATAATGCAGCTGGTGGCCACAGAGTATTTATTCATTCACTTCCCAGACCACCACGAAGGACACTTAACTGTGAGTTTGTGAGTTTGTTAAATCATTTCCTCTGTAAGATTGCTGTATAATAGAGAGCAGAGGTTAGAAGAGCCAAATATCTGCTTCTGTAACTGATGACTTAGTTCTTGGTGACTTTAGCATGCATGTTATGCAATTTTATTCATTTAATTATCAAGTTACGTATAAAGGAGTGTATAGTAAGAACTCATTTTTCATTTAATGATTGCTTACTCTATGCAAGACATCGAGCTTGGCTTCATGGGCGGGGGGCAAATATTAGTTAACACCTAGTCCATGCATAAGGAGTTTAAAATGTAGGTATATAACTGCAAATTCTGTCTATCTGTTTATCTACCTACCTGTAAGCAAGCAGCGTACATATTATAAAGAGGCATAGACAAACCGCTCACTTGTGCTGTTTAGGAAGAGATAAGTTTTCTTTTGGGTGTGGAGTTCTAAGAAAGCTTCACAGATACGATGATGTTTGGGCCTTTAAAGGTGGGCAGCGTTTGGCCATTGGAAGTTGTGAGCAGAAGTTTCTGTGCAAAGGCCTGCCACACATTGGGACCGCCGAAACAAGGGTGCAGTGTGAAGGGTCAGAAGGCAGAGAGACACCAGGGGCTCAGTAGTTCGTAGACCACGGTGGGGTTGAAAGGGACGTACAGAGACAAGGTTTGATTTATGGACAAAGCGAAACAGCCCCCACTCTCACTTTTGTCTCATTTTATAAAGCTTTACTAGGATTTTTTTTATTTGCTGTGTATTTTTACTCTGTGAAACTGATCAATAACATAATTGGGGTGGTGAACATAACGCATCTGGAACCCAGTCGTGGTGATCTCTCAAGACACAAGGAATAATCTGAGTAGTCCCTCTGGTACCCGGGATTGAGAAAGCAAATACTTTAGTAAGCAAAAGAAAAATGCAGTTGCTCCGCAGTATCTTTGGCGTCGCTTTCTGCAGTTTCAATTACCTGTGATCAACCATGGTCTGAAAAGATGAAGGGAAAATTCCAGTGAGCAATTCACAAGTTTTACCTTGCATACAGTTGTGAGTAGTGAGAGGAAATCTTGTGCTGTCCCACGCCAGCCCGGGCTGTGAACCGTCCCTCTGTCTAACCTATTCCTGCCGCGTGTGCCATCTGCCCACCTGTCACGGCATCGCAGTGCCGTGCTCAGCCACCCTCATTTGACTTACCCTTGGCCCCGGAGCCCAGGAGCGGTGATGCCGCAATTGGGGAACTCTGTGGAGAGGCGGAAAAGGGCTTTCTGTAAGTGGGACGGCGAGTACAATAAGATATTCTGAGAGCGAGAGGGACGGAACACATGTATGTAACTTTTATTACAGTATATTGTGATTTTTCTGTTTGGTTGGTTATGGTTGTTAATCTTCTACTGGGCCTAATTTATAAGTTAAACTTTATCATAGATATGTATGTATAGGGAAAACATATATACATAGGCTTTGGGACTTTTCTCAGTTTGCGGTGTCACCTTCGGAAAGGAGAGGACTGCTGTAGTAGCACACTGTAGTACAGTTTGTTAGTGCAGACTTTTTTATTATGCTTGAAGCAAATAGTAGGTCTTTTATACTTTGCATTCCTACAAATTTTACACATGTTTTGCTTTGAACAGAATTGGATTTGATCTCTGTAACTGTGAGTCCTGGAAATAGTTTATATGAGACACAAATATTAGAATTGGAGACTCTGGTGATTTGGCTATGTTTAAATATATTTTTCAGCAGAATTTCTAAGCCCAACAAAATATGGTTCTTTCATTCACTCACTCAATGAATATTAATTCTGCCTCTGCCATAACCCATGTATCATTATGTGGGAACTCAGAAGTACTCTTATTTTAAATTTAATTTAAAATTAACAGTTTGATTACCATTGTAAAATTAACTGCTTTTGGATGGAAAAGAAAGTGTTCTCGTCTTGAATTAATATTAAATTCTTAAGAACATGTAAGCGTCTACCAGAAACAGACTAGTATTTGGAATCTTGCTCTGTGTTAGGGAATCAGTAAACGTTCACTCAGTATCTTCCATCAGGGAATAGACTTCATAACTGTCAGAGGATCTGGTTGGTCTGAGAAACAGCCAAACCGAACCAAATGGCTTGAAGTAGATACTCATTTTATGGCTGTATAGAAGCCACTGTTGAAAATGTGGGACGCGAATACACACATTTGCCCTGACTGGTGTGGCTCAGTGGGTTCAGGGTCATCCTGTGAACCGAAGAGTTGCTGGTTCATTCCTGGTCAGGGCACGTGCCTGGGTTGCGGGCCAGGTCCCCGATTGGAGGCATGTGAGAGGCAGCCAATTAATGTTTCTCTTTCTCTCATTGATGTTGCTCCGTCTTTCTCCTTCTCTTCTCCTTTCTCTAAAAATAAATAAAATCTTATTTAAAAAAATAAAATAAATGCACACATCTACCCCGTATTTCTACAAAATTATTTATGGACTCTAGGATTTTGTGGAGATGGGATGTTGCAGATTGACAAGTTTACTTTCTCCCATCCTAATCTCTGCGTACACCCCGGACCTCAGCCCAGCAGTGAACAGATGGCAAAACCAGAACTCACAGAGTTCTCTCCCAGGGCCAGGTAAAGGGAAAACCAGGGCTGTGCCGGTCTCCGGTTTGGTGGTCTTTCCAAAATTTCACTGCCGTAACTAGTTTTATCCAAGGTGTATTTATCAGCCTTGCTGTCTTAAAATTAAACAATTTTGGGGTCACTTATTAGAAAGATGTTAACAAATGATAAAATTGGGACATAATGGTTTTTATTAAGTATATTCATAGAAAGCTTTGGTAAAAATCAGTAGGACAAGCAGATGGGTTGGCAAAACAAAGGTCAGTCATCAGTTAAACGCGTATTTTAAAAGATGGGGCCTCTCAGTTAGGAGAGCAACCACTTCATTTCTCCTGCCTGAAACCCTATCTTGCATGGGCTTCGACCACACTGCACTCTCTTGGTTTTTCTCTCCTCTTCAGCTGCCCTATCTTAGCCTCCTTCCCGGGCTCACGTTATCCTACATAGCTAATGAATGTGCCAGTGTCTAAAAGGCCCGCTCCTAGGCCATTTTCTCTTCTTACTAGTCTTTCCGCGGCTCTCTTTTCCAGTATTTCACTCTATAGGCAGATGACTTCCAAACAGATCTCTTCAGTCCATTTCTTTTCTGAGCTCCAGACCCACTGCCTTCCCAGGACTTCTGCATGTTCAAGACTGAGCTTAACCATCTTGTCCCACCTGGGTCCTCTTCCGGTACGCCCCGAGTGATTGAACGGCAGCATCAGCCCTCCGGTGTTGCAAGCCAGACACCTGGGAGTCACCTTTGATTCCTCCACCTCCCTTCCTTGTGCTCTAGACCACTCACAAAGCCGGGCAGTATTATCCCTTGAGTAAGCACCTCATCTTGATCACCGGATCCTCTGTGCCAACTTCTGTCAGCTGGACTCTTGCACTACTTTCAGCATAGCTGTCAAAACGTTATAGAAATATGACTGACAAAAGACCCAGGCAGAAGGGGTAGCATTCATGAAATTGCAAAGGATAGGAATCTTACGCTGTGTTTGTACAAAGCCCTGGGCAGTGTGGCAGGCTCAGATTCGGCCCCCCAGGATGTAGGTTTTTGTGGGTGTTTTTGTACTCTCCCGTAGGGGACATTGTCCCAGGCAGAGCTCCTTCACGGGCCCAGGTCTCAGGCCTGTTGGGCAGTGTCGCAGCCTCCTGCACGCATACTCGTCTTCCTGTGTTAAGTCTTGCTCCCATGCGGGCCGTTTTACATGCTGTGGCCAGTGGAGTTTTTTCACAACCTGTGTCCTGTGACCAAGCAGGTCAGTCATCTTCAGTCCAGTTGGTTGTTCCTCTTTGTCTCCCCAACTTCCTAAAATTGGAGCGTCCCAGTTCCTTGACCTCTCCTCTTTTCTACCGACTTCCTCCCGTAAGTGGTCTCATGGCTTTAATTACGTCTCTGCACTGCTTCCTAATCTGTGTCTTCAGCCTTTGCTTCCTACCCCTAACTCCAAGCTTATAGGTTTAGATGTAATCTATGGATATACTCGACTACCCAGACAAACCGATACACTGGCGCCCCTAGTTGCATTTCCATCAGGTGTCTCAAACCCGACATGTCCCCCCAAAACTCATTTTCACCCCCAGACCCGCGTCTCTCCAAGTGTTCTCTGCATCAGTCACGATCAGTGCTTTCTTCTGGTTGCTCAGACTGAAAACCTGGGGGGTCATCCTTAACCCTTGTTCTTCTCTCGTACCAAACCTCCCAACCATTCGTGTATCCTGTTGATCGTACCTTAAAAGTTTGGCTGGAATGTGACTACTTTTCACCAGGGTGCACTGTTACCTTTCCCCTGAATTACAGCCATAGCCTTACAACTGGTTCCCTGTCCCCCCAGTCCCCCTCACCTCCCCTCCTCAGTGCAGTCTCCTCAGTAAACCTTTGCCGTGTGGCCTTTGCACAAACGGTGGCCAGATCGCTCACCTCCTTCAGGTCTTGGTTCCAATGTCGTCTTGCCAGCAAGACTTCCTTTAACCTGCCCCGCTTAACTAGTAACCTCTTCCCTCTCTGCAGGCTCTTTACCGAGCTTGGAGCCTCATCTCCATTGTGTCCTTTACTCATTTACCACCTGTTTTCTCTCACTAGAGTGTAAACTCCATGGAGAGCAAGGGGAGTTTGTCTGTTTCCTTCATTCCTGATTTCCCGGGTCCTTGGAGAGTTCCTGGCGTACCAGTGCTCAGCAAATACACTTTGGATGAATGGAGAGTGGCTGTGTCCAGTCAGGTGCCCTTCAGTTGTCCTCTGGACAGTGACTAAAGAACGAGCAGGGCCCTGAGCGGTCTGGCCTGCCCGCCTGCCCGGCCTCACGTCACTTCCTCTTCACTAGGCACCTCCGCCCTGGCCTGCTTCAGGTCCCTCTGAGCCTCCCCCGGCCATCGGGCCTTCCCTGTGCCGATCTCCTGCCTGGAGTCCAGTCTGCTCCCGGCCCTCGCTCTCTG